CTGTTTCGTCCTTCCAGGAATCGTCAGTAATGCTACATCATACAGCTGTTTCGTCCTTCTAGGATTAGTCAGTGATTGTAAGGGCCCCTGATTTAGAAGCCTAAAGGGCGACAGAGAAAACCTTAAAGTAATCGGAAAAACAGTCTAGATCTTGATGGGGATGTGTATTAGCCCATTGTTCGATACATTTAGTAATTTTCATATATCTGGTCATTTTAGAACCCATGATGCGAGGCTAGGTCTAAAATTTGTACAAATCACATATACATATATCCTTAGTTTAAAAATAATCTTGAGGTCATCATATTACTTAATCTGGCAATGATAAGTTGATAACACGTGCTAGATTATTTTGTAATTCACAGTATAGGTAGAAGTACCCGTTATTTTTCTCTAGCTAGTCAGTGTCACCAGCCCCTCCCCCATCCCTTTCTTTTTATGTATGCCGCATAAATCGGGAAGTATTTTTGTGGTGATGATATTATCAAAATTAAAACTGTGAAATAAACATGGTCTGTGTAATAAAGAAATCACATAACAGTAAAGCTTTTACAAATATCGAATGAACGAGCATTTAAAGATGTTTGAGTTTCGCCATCAATATCCAGAAAATGTAGTCGTATCATGTTTTACCAATCAATGGGTTGGAACTTGAAATCGTCGGAAACCTCAAACCACAAAACAAGGGGAAGACTAACGAAAGAATATAAGGGACGATGCCATTGAATGTTCTGTTGAAGGAGACATGTTATAACAGGCAGAAAAGGGAAGGAACCAGTACATTCTCCTCATGTGTTGATTTCTTTTTGCAGCTTTGATATATTTCCGTTAATTGATTCAAGCCTCACATCTATTATCATATTTGACCATAGATTATCGTTGCTGTTTCAAGTTTAATACAAGAACAACGGTAGGTGTTTATACATACTTGAATAAAATATACCATCATTGACCCTGATATTTAACTATATATACCACTTTACTAAGTACTATTGAATCTATACGTTCTTTGTTCACAGTATTGTTGGGGAGATTTCAGACAGGATGGCAAGGAACAATAACAGCTAGTGTTACACACTTCAAATATTTATTGGTAATTTCTAACCAAATATACTTCCATTACCTTGGCTACATTTTAAAACTGTTTCATCGATGTGTAATTGCTTAGAGCCTAAAGCATTGTATGTGAATTGTTTATTATTTAAACTGGTGCTGTTTATCATAGATAACTCATTTTAATTCATACTTCAACGGAAATCAGAAATCTAGGGGGTAGGGGTCGCGAAAAGTCACGTTAAATATAATTCATATCTAGAATTAAGCAAGTATAACCGAACAATGAATAAATCTGCAGTATACCGCTGTTTCGTCCTTAAGAGGTTCCTAATTGATAATAAGGATTTAAACCGAGGAAAGTCATACTTGGTCGAAACAATGTCGAAAATGTAAGATTCACACACTACAAATTTCAATGAATAAAGTCGGCGTACATTATTCTTCAGTATGACTGTTGGTGGCAATGATCATATTAGCTTGCTAAAGGAGTTTTATATATTGACACAATTTCATGTGATACATAAAAAAATTCCAGATGAAAAGACAACTATTACTATTGGGCTCCGTTTTAGTATTTATCTATAACACGTGAGAACTCTTATTATTGATATTATTTTTCATTTATTAATATAGTTTATTCAAATTATTACATGAATAAGTTACATCATTAAACAGAATTATTGATATCAATTATCAGGAGCATTTAATGCTATCAATAATTCGATTCCGAGATACCAAGAAATATCTAGTGTTCAAACATGGTTTTCATGGTAACCACTGTTCTTTTTTGTACTATAACCGAGCGTGTTCTAATTGTTCTATATATTACTTGTGACTGTTATATATGTTACTTGTGATCGTCTTTATAAGACAGGTAAAGGTAACTTAAGATTGATTGGAGTCCATATATTGTCTTAATCAGGAACGATTTAAAACAAGTATACTAGTAGACGTCCTGTTTCAAAATAGCAGGTGTAATTGCTACGTTCAAAGCGGAAAAATTGAACAAGTTAAAAGTGAGTGTTTTGAAGATCATGGAGCTACTTTCTCATGTTAATTAAAATGCATTTTGCTTCATTTAACACTTAGCGCACTTTTAAGAATTTCATGCATTCAGTGGTAGAAGTCACCTCTCAATGAAAATACATCCCTTTTGTCACATTTTGACGACATCGAAAGGTGTTGTTTCGTTGAAAAGGTGGGGTCAACATTTGGCCCCCACTTAGAATTCATTATAACTACTTATAGTCATACTGGACCTCCTTGTATAACACCAGGTTGAGTGACAAAGGTACCCTAACATAATGACAAATACTTGCTACATGGGAATTTTAAATAAAATATTTATGTATCAGCCTAAAGTACATAAAATGTTACTTTGATATCACATATGTTATTTTGGAATAAAAAATGTAAGCATGTTGATAACTTTGATTTTAAAAAATGTGAAGTTTATCAAGTTCATTTTGTATAGTTGCAATCTTGGTCTATATTTCATACTTCTTACTGCCATCGAGGACCCCCAATGTACTAAGTCAAGATGGGTTGCGGACAGCTACCATGGTCGACTGAAACAGTGGAAACTGTTGTACGTGGACCATTTTATGTGTCCACACCAGAGAGGGACTTGGATCTGCCCATCACCTTGACCCCAAGGGTTGCAGTTGAACCTGACCTTTCTAGACGCAACAAGACCAACTGGGTGAAACTTGATGCCTGTTTAATAGAGTTTCAAGTACTGGATATGGAATATTTAGAAACAGTAACCTGCGGATCATACCAGTTGAAAGTAGCACCCAGATATATTGCTGAGCATCTGACTCCTGCTGGAGACTTTGAAGGCACAAATCACAGTCAAGCTATAATGTTTGGATTGCGTTTGACAGAAAGGATCAAGATGACCCTGACAAAGATTACTACTGTGTCTGTCCAGCGGGCAAGCGAACCGTTGGAATGTGTGCACATTTTGCGTGCATTTTGTATTTCTTGGGCCGTATTCAGCATCAAGATCAAACTAACCCAGTCCATGCAACACTCGCGTCCAAACAAGCAATCACTTGAGCCGTTCTGCTTTACTAAAACGCAATGTAATGTGCTGCAAACTGCAACTGTTCTATCTCTTATTAGCTTCTTAAAGTGTCACAAATTATGGATCGGAACTGACAAAGACAAAACCCGTCACTATTAGTGTACAAAATATATTTAATCAGGTCACTTCATTTACCTTCATCAAACAATTTGTATAAAGCTGCTTATTAAATCTTCAAATTGTGAAACTTGCACAAAAATGTCTTTATTTTAACAAAGTTCATTTGTGTGACATTGAACAGAGGTCAAGTTCAGCAAAGTTAACCAAACTGATACAAATGGACAAGAACAACCACCTTGTCAAATAGCAAGACTTACAGACTTTTGGTTATTAAGCTGTCACTATTTAACGAAAATGAAAACAAAAGCAGTGTTTCTTGGTTTATTTAAGCACATGTGTAAAATGACAAATTTACCGGTTTTTATTTTTCCAAGAATCCACCTTTTGAAAGATATCATGTGTGGCCAACTTTTAAGCGAGTTTGAAAAATAGACTGTTTCGGATGTATGAAAATTGAAGTGTCTAAAACTACTTTTTCTCAAAAGTAATGGCTATTTATATAATGTTTGGTGTATTTCTCAACATAAAAGAAACGTTTCTCCTGAAATAGTATGATATGTGGTATAAAAATGTTGGTTGGTACAATGTGCACACATTAATGACATCATTTTATTGGAATTGCCTCATAATAATACACTAGAAGGAATTACATAACTACTCTTACACCTACCAAGGTGTTTGTCATTATAACTGTTTATGGTTATCATATTTTGAAATTCCAAGTTGGGTCCGATGCTAATATTAAATTCCCATATATGTTGATCCCAACTTTGTTGTTGCAATGATAAAACATCGCTTCAAACACCATTAGTTGAAAAACTGTAGACTTTGGAAACAATGCCCCGCTTCCTTGTAAGAGGACATGGTGAAAATACATTCACAGAAGTGAACTAAACAGGCGAAACTCACGCTCTGTCGACTTTGCCACATGCTGTACAAGTAAGTAATAACAGACTGGTTCTAAAACTGACATAAGGAAGGATTTTTTTATGGTGTTCGGTACATAATTAATACCCTATAACACTTATATTACCTTATGTTACTTGACCGCACAATCTCCGTCATAATTACAAGTTACACAAGACTATAAAATGGGTCAATATTGTAAGTTCGCAATGCACACAATAAAAGGTACACAGGGCTTATAAGAGACACCAAACATTATTCAAGAAAATAGAGACTGTTTGCTGTTACCTGTAAAATAATATAATGAAATTAAAATATGTCTATTTCATGTGTAGACATGATCTGTACATGATATGCAGCAGAATATTACTTATCGCTTTTAAAACGTATATATCAATTACTCATATTAAGTTTGCAATAATTTCGGCAATGGAAATGATATCATTACTATTCCTTTGCAGAATATTTAATTGTCACGATCGTTATGACACACATGGGGCAATGGTAATGAATGTCTGAATGAAAGAAATTTTATGCATTTCTGAATCCAGTGTATGAAAAAAACCATTTAGGAAATATTTGAATATTCAGAGGTGTAGAATATTTTTGAGTAGAAAGGAAGGTAAGGGGTTCAGTCCTCAACATCAACACGGGTAATCATAACGCCAAATTAGTATTTTATTGATGATACATATTAATAGGAAAGTTGAAAAATAAAATGTCATTCACGTGGCTGAGTGAAAAAAATATGAGTGGCTTGCGATGTAACTGGAGATAATAACATGAAATATATATTTAACGAATACAAAAATAATAAAAGAAAATAAATAAAATGATGTCCATGTTGATTTTAAATAGCAATATAAAACCTACGATTTCGTCACGTTTATTAATCATTTGTAGTCTTCGCAGTGCGTTTTCCCCATATGTCATTGCTTAATTTTCCTCTTAGCTCGTTGTCCTTTAATACAAAAATACAGAATGTAATAGTGGCTTGAAGGCTATCTCCGAGGCTTTGCATGAAAATGAGAAAGTACTTTTCCAGTGGAAGAAAATTGGAAATCTCGTCATTAAAGGCCAGCATGTAGATATTCACACCATACCTGATGGTTCCCCACATTTTCGCTAAATAGAAGTAGATGCCAACCCAGACCAAGACAGAATTGACAGACGCCTCAGCATATTCTGTGTCCTCTGAAGAATTCCCAGAGTTCCTTAACCTCGTTCGTTCATTGGGTACCTATGCAAACATGAACGTCAAACATCGTTATTTATCATAAAATTTTATCAGAAACATAAGATTGAAAATATACGTTTACTTTTCATATTTCAAGCACGTATCTGAGGCAAGATTGAACACATTTTTTCAGGGATTCATTTCTACAACATAGTATCGTAAGGTTTTCGTCATTTCGATAATTTTCTTCCTGATTATCAATTACTTCTTCAAGGACGAAAGTGATTTTACGTCTTAAAGACGTGAAATAAATCCAGATATCGAAGTCTGATAACATAAAATATATTGAATTAATTATGCTACGTACGTTTATGGAACTTAAGTTATTCTGTGACGTCCTGTCTCTTGATCTGCAACGTACATCTTGATTCCTGCATCGTTGATACAAGATAATAATGAACATGAAACATGTACCAAAATAAACCACCAGTTCCCAACCTTGTTTAGTGACAACCATCCAGATCCACTTCTCTTGATTTGATAATGAGTCACTGATCCAGCACCAGGACCCGTACAAACTTGCAGAATCTCCCAAGGCATTCCTCCAGATGGCTGCCAGCACGATCATCACTAACGGTAATTGAAAACTTGTAATTGTATACGTTTTAACTAATTTATTTAGTTTTGGTATAAAATATGTATCTTTAAAAAGACATTCACTTGCATAGCACAATTAAAATTCACTTTAGGTATTAGTATGCAGTATGTCTAATAATGCACACAAAAAATCCAATGGTCCACAAACAGGAAACCCTGGAGGAAAGTTTAATCTAATTTAATTAAAGTAAAGTGAAATTAAATATTTTTGTTTGATAAGATATGGAAAGTGTATATTTTATATCATAATTTTATCCTATAATTACATTTTGAATATAAGACAATGACAAAACAATTCAGCAACAAGTGTCACTAAGTATGTGTGTTTAAACGAGACTATGAAGTATTATGGAGAACATTGCGGACTGCTAAAAGAACTTTCCAGTAATCTGTTTTTTAAAAAATGTCTTTGAAAGACATCAAAGTGAAAAATGTTTTGTAAAACAATCATTTTTAAATATGTTAAAACATGAAGTAAGAAAGTATTGTAAATTAACATAAAATTGCATTTAATCGATGTAAATGATAATCAAGAAACGGGAAAACTTACGTGGGATAGTCAGCGCGGATGTATGGCATGCTAACTTAGCATTCCGATTTCTCATGCAAATATAACCGAATGCGATTCTACAGCAAATGTTGATCTGAACGAATAATGTATATATGTCAGCTACCATGTCAAAATATGTACACAATATGCTTTGAATGACACAGAATGCCCCACTGTTTCCAAACGGTATATCTTTTTTGTAGTGGAAAGCACCCATAACAACTCCGAAACATGTAAGTCCGTTAGCTATGGTGAGACAAGTAAGCAGGGTATTGTAAGAGTCGTTGTTCTTATATTTTATAAAAGCATAAACAAAACCAATGGTGGCGATTATAGAGACCACACTTGGTACAAATGTAATGATAAACACGGCCATAGATAAATCCTCCAACTCGATGATTTTAGAAATATTTGCCAAAGGCATGACTGATGTTGAAGTGATGGTGCCACTCATGTTTGAATCATTCATCATGTCGGTTGTAGTGTAAAACACTGAAGTTGTATGGCATTAAAGGTCACGAGTTCGATTCCATCTACCAGTTTACTACAGTTGCTGATGGTGCTGTTGTTGCTTCTATGTTTACCTTTAAAAACATTGCACTTCCTCCTAGTCAAACAACTGTTCTAAATCACTTTCCTTACAGTATATCTATTCATCTGGGTTACACCCATGTATTGTTATATATTTATCGGATTCAGATATTGTTATCAAGAAATATTATCATGACGTCACTCCACAAGTAAGGATGAGATAATACCTGTCGTTCAATGAACTTTCCAATAATGTGCATTATTGTTATGTCAAACATGAATATAAAAATTGTACTGTTTTATTAATATTAATCTGTAAAACAAAAGAAAGATTAGTGTATTGTTATTTAAAGCTGATGAGTCTAAAAATATATATGCTATTTTTTGGAATGGAGTGTTTCATCGGGAGAGTTATCATGGTGAAAGGTAGGATGCAAACTTCGACTTTTGATTTCTTCAAACTATATTTTTTACACAACCACCAATCTATTGCTTTCCATATTTCTATGAACCAAAACAAGATGTTTCATCTAAAAAGATCTTCATGCAAAATATCAATAATGCCAATGGATATTTCAACGTTAATGTTGCAATCTTGTCGTCACTTTGATCTTATATCTATCGTATCCATAATTAGCCCTTAAAAAGTCTGTAAGTGCCTTTGTACGATATGAAGCTTGACATATTTAATGCTTGTTAGTTTGCTTGTGTGTTTCCGTTGTTATATATCTTGTTCTCATTTGAAGAGTGACATTACTTACTGTAACTGACCACGATTTACATGGCTGGTGTTGTCGATAATAGAGTAGACACTTACTCTTCTGTAACACCCGGTCTTATTCTCCTTGTACTTTTCCGTGAATGGCCGTATAAATCTTTCATTTGTTTATGTTTGCTCAATTTAGATTATGCTTATGTTGATATGTTCGTATTTTCTTTTCGTTTCTCGACATCAGGACCGGTTTTTATTGCAAATGTGTAATAAAAATATCAAACAAAAAACGTAATATGAGTTTTCCCATCATGTAAGAAAACTCATATCAGTTTATTTAGTCATCGTTTGATATGATCAGTTGAAGAAGATTTTCGTGGAGAGTTTCATACCTATAATTTGTCTCGGAGCAAGGTTTAGAAGCAGAAAAAGTCGTGTTATGGAAGGCAATAATTATTCCAACAATAGCAGAACGGATTGTTATACAATAGCAATATTATAAGTTTTGAATTATAGAGCAACAACCTATGTTATCTGTTATTTGCAGATAATATAAAGTTTTCGAAATATATATCTAAAATAATTGTAGGTGTATAAGTCAAACATAAGTATGTGTATGGTGATATCCTGTTATCAATTATTTATCACTGGGAAATTCCTCTGCGTTTTCCTTCCACTGTATCGTTATTGACGTCACAAAAGCCGATAGGCTGACATCCTTATTACACCTTCCTTTTAATTCTCGTATCAGATGATCCGTATGTTGTATGCATCTGTAGGTTATTTATAACTTTAATAACGTATAGGGTAATAACTAAAATCAATAATATGGGAATGATATCATCCATATTAGATTTCAGAGTATTTCATTGTCAGGATCTGATTGACAAAATGATTGGGCAACAGGCATAGCCTATGAAAGCCGTCTCCAAATATAAATATTAAATTGTTCAACTTCCCTTTAGATGGAGGCAGGCACAAATTTGAACAGTCAATACACACTCACAATGCAGTCCATAAAGTTAACGAGCAGACCCTATCTTGAGATAATATTAGTAGCTAAACAGACTTATTCATGATTGATTCAAGTGTATGAGAACTTTTAAGAAATACTTGAGTATTTAGAGGTAGAAATTGGGTTAAGGAGTTGTCTTTGAAAAGTTAAAAGAAGACAATGGAAGAAATGATTGCAATACTCAATGGGATGACCACAATACCAGGCAGTGCTATTAACTAGGTAGGAAGTAAACAAATTCATATTACATATAGTTGACACAGAAATATGTTTACTTGTTTGTCAATAATAAACAAGTGAATATGAGGTATATAGATAAAGTCAATAAGAATAACTTTTTTTACTTCAACTTATAGTTATTTCAAATCACCAAACTAAAGGTCACGTGATTCTTAGATTATTTTAGAATAGATAAGAACACTACTACCAAAGTTGTTTCTATTTTTTTAAAGTGATTAACATGAGTTTCAGCAATACATAGGATATCATATTCAGGTAACTTTCCATAAAGAAGTTTTAAGGATTTTGTTCCTTAAAGAGCATACATAGATATGTGACAAAGAAAAATATTGTGGAAATAAGAGCTGATATCATCATCTGGGTCAGAAGTGAGAAAAATAACAACATATAATAGTAATATGATGTAAACCATAAATTAGAACTGTGACCATGACGTCACAAAACAACCAGCGAATGATATGGTGAGCCACTTCCTGCTCAATCCACATCAGATAACCTAATTATTCTACCCATTATCACAAATCACCAATACAATAAACGTAACGTAAACATAGAGTAACAAATGCAATTGTGATGAAGTAAACATGGTAATAGAAGAATAAATAATGTTTACATTTGATGGACGTGTATATCTATTTATGTTCTGAAAACAAAGTTGATATAATAAACATTATAAAAAATACCATTAACAAAATTGAAATCAATAAGTGTGATTAAGTTTACCTTCATTATTGATTTTTTATTGATAAAATGCCACACAATATGCACTTCCCGTCTCTTTGCTTATGTAATCGTTTGGATCAACATGCACAAAGAATAGATAATAACTGCTTTTTATGCCTTAGGCCTTCAACCTTTGATTTAAAGGCATTACTTTAGATATTTTGTGAGAAAACCATCTAGACAAAAATACCTTATACTAAAAATTATTTTCATTTTCGCGTTAATACGCTAAGGGATTTAATCGCGAATTTAAATCCCTCGCGATTACTAGTACAGAAATTGATGATATCCTTTCTGATTCGGTTACTAATATCGAAATCCATATATTCAATATCCTATCACTCGCGAATTTAATGTCATTTCTAGATAACCGTTCTCGAAATCATGAATTCGCGAATATGTCAGAATTAATCGCTAAATATAAGTGATTTACAGTACTTGTCCCTGACTGATTTTTCTACCATTCCAAGTCAGTTGGTTCTCACATTCCAATCTAACACCAGTGATTTCAATATCAGCAGCAAATGTAGGCGCCTTAGAGGACGTGAATTTGTGTTTTGGGTCTTGGAGGTAAATCAAAGAAAACTCTCTCATCAACAAAGAGTATATCTTGTGAATATCGCCCACAAAACAGATTATGGAAAATTTTGATTAACGTTCTATCAGCATATCTTATCATTACCATGATCTGGGTAAGGAAATATTAAAACAGGATGGCTTGGAAAATGATGTTAGTTGTACACGGATGATGATAAATGAACTATAGCTATAAACTACATTGATAATTGATAATAAATTAATAATAACCGGTTTTACTGCTCATTAACCATTAACAGATAAAGTATGCTGCAGGAAACTTTATTAAGATGTAGAGTCTAACTCATTATCGGTACAGAAAAACATCACGAAAACTCGCATGAAAATTGTACGAAAGACACGCCAGTGAAAACCATCTAAGATTTAGGGTATGGTAAAGCCAAACAATGTAAAAAATGCATAATGCTGATGTTTCCTCCTTATAAGACTTGTTTGGGATTCTAGGGGTCATGGTTAATGGAACCTATAAGAGGATGTAAGTAAATGGAAATTAATTATGAGGATCAATTTATAATTTACTGACTGACCTAGATAAATAAACACGAACTCCTTCATTGTATCGTATCATATCTATTGTAACTGTTATCTTTCAATGACCTTTCACAAAGCTATATATATCTTACATCTAATGTAAGTACTTACCGACTACGTATACTGTATATATAAGGCGTTCAAAAAGTCCAGGTTGAGATCTATGATAAATGTTTTCGGCCTTCAGTCACATATGACATATCACATTGATCCATCGAAATGCATCCTCCTATTATTTATTTTAAGGCAGAAAAAATAAATATATCACTTTGATGATTTTAATGCAAACACATAAAGCGTACGATGGGCAAAGGTGGACGGAGATAAACCTGTTTAGTGGTGACGTCACGCTCCAAAATGTTTGCATCTCTTCATTATCAAGTCTCCCTATCTTTATGTGGATGACACCGTGAAGTGGGTGTCAAATGTAATAGTATGTGTGGTATTACTGATAAGCTCAAGAGAATAATACGAGGTAGTTTTCTCTTTTCGTGGTGTATCAACAATTGGTTTTAAAACTCCTACAGAATTGTTCACCATTCCACAGTGGTATCAATAACTGTAACAAAATAGTAACTTTTTTCGTTGATATGAAATATCCAAAGTCGTGTGAATCCTATATTAAGTTTGCTTGGTTGGTGGAGGGCATAGTTTCCTTCTCACTAATTTTGAAACATAATTCTGATAGTAAAATATAGGACACAAGTCATACATATTTCTCCTTTGTTGTAATAACCTACTTTTCACCAATATGTTACACTGATTGTGCTATGTTTCGCTAGTTTGTATCTAGATATATTTGATAAAGTCACGTAACCATATGAAGACAAACGAGAGACACTGGTAAGGAATCTATTATAAAAACACAGACTAGATAGTTTATACATGTAAATGTGGATGTTTATTTTCCTTGCAGCTTACATGCCTTCATGGCAAAGTGTAGCAATGAAATCTTTTGGATTTACATACATACCTGTAAATAAAATTATTGTAGACAAACACAAATAAACAAACATACCAATAAATAGATGAATAAATATATTAAATTGACATATTAACAAAATATATACTATGACTACATGAGGATGCTCAAAATGTTTCGTTCTCTAACCTGAATCTGCATTGACATTGAACAATTAATCTGTTCACACACCTCTTACACTAGAACCAACATTTTATTTTACCTGTCAGGTCTACATCACACTATAATTCACTTTAGCATCCCAGGTACTAATCATAATTTAATTATCAGGAAGTGATCGATTATCATTATTGATAATGTCATGTGAATTAATATGATGGAATTCTAATCAACTAAAATGTTGCATTGTGTGGATATATATATATATATGGGGGGGGGGGTGTATAAATATATATTAAATCATAGTTATTACAATTACATAAAATGTAAAACGATTTTAAAAACACGTACATCAAATCGTAAATCTATATCTTGCTATAAACATAAAGCACACGATTGATTTATCCTCAAATACAAAATTTACTTTAAGATGTAATGTACACACGGCACATATCCGTTTCGATAAATAACAAAACAGAAGTGAACAATGAAAAATTGATATATATTAAAATAAGGAAAAAAATTCAGAGTCCATAAAAGTATATATTGAAAAAGTATACATTGTAAAAACCAGTGATCCGACAGCTGAAAACTAGAAAACTCCGACTATCATCTCATTTACTTGGCGATAGCTCACTTCTTTAATATCGCTAGCTTTCATGTTTCGAAGCAATGCCACATAAGAGTAACAACTCTTCCGCTGGCAGTATTAAGAAACAATTGATAGTTAGCACTAGGATGGTGTGCGTAACCCTTGAAAGTACTTATGAAAAAAATCTGTGGTTTTACTAAACACTTGAAGCAAAAAGGTGTATTTTCAAGAAATTCCTGAAACGGACTATAATTTTCTCTACCAATTTTATTTTCAAGTTGTTTACTTTTTCGGGATTTTTGACATCTTCAGAAATAGCAAAATATAGGGTATTTGAAAAGAACAATGCTTTATGCTGATGAAATACTTGTTCTGCTTAAATGTCTTCCTGACATACGTAAAACATAGTTATATCTGAGCACAGATAGTCATTAAGTCCTAAAAAGTTCGGATACAAGAAAAGATTAATACACCTTTCATCCTCGTCACTTGGCTGGGATGGATGAAACCAAAGGTCTTGAGGTATGTCCATACTTTCTCCATTGCTCCATCTAAAGTCATTTGCTGGTCCGTCAGCAAAATCATACCCATCGATCCACCACTCATTTGATGCTATAAAGATATCGTTTAATTATTATGACTTGTTACCATTAGTGAAAAAAAAGTAAAATTAATAATACTAATAACAAAACCAAAAAAATAAGTAAATTTATTTGTACAAATCAAAACACATACAAAAAAAGTCCCAAGCAAACAAAAAAAAAAAAAAAACAAAACAAAAACTCATTAGTCAATTTACCTCAAGAAGAAAGCATTGAAATCAGGTGCGGATGACATATGTATAATGTTACTTAATTACTTGCAGATGGTTACATATTTTGTCTTCATTACAAGACAAAGTAGTGCTGAATGCTTGAATACATTTGAGCCAATAGAAACCGTACATTTACGAAGGTCACTCGTTACTGGTGTTAATTAGAATTATATCACTTAATCATTATTAGTTTGTATAGTGTCATTGGTGTGTTGATTTAAGTAATCTAAACAGTTGATCAAATTCACATCATTTATGTCAATAGAGAACATATTTCAAAAATGAAAAAGTTTTGACAATGGTTCCGAAAGATTTATCGTACAAAAGACAAATATATTTAATTGGTCTTGCTCTCGTATGATTGTCTTGTCCTTGTTTGATAACCTTGTTCTCATGTAGTAGTGATGTTTGATAACCTTGTTCTCATGTAGTAGTGATGTTTGATAACCTTGTTCTCATGTAGTAGTGATGTTTGATAACCTTGTTCTCATGTAGTAGTGATGTTTGATAACCTTGTTCTCATGTAGTAGTGATGTTTGATAACCTTGTTCTCATGTAGTAGTGATGTTTGATAACCTTGTTCTCATGTAGTGTGATGGTTTTGCTCTCGTGTAATGGTTTTGTTCTCGTGTGATGGTTTTGTTCTCGTGTGATGGTCTTGCTCTCGTGTAATAGTTTTGCTCTCGTGTGATGACTTTGTTATCTAGTGATTTCCTTGCCATCGAGTGATTGTCTTGTATGTTTGAAATGAATTCATAGTTAAAAAGTTGGCGTGTCCAACATCAAGTTATGTTTGTTCATGACATTGCTACACGATAAAAACGCGTTTCGAAATTTACTCGACTTACGGAATTGCGTCGAAGTGTTTGAAATAACCATGCCGTATTCGGTTACAACATCGGCGGGGTCGGTATGCTTTATGAAAACAAAAATCATTTAAGGGCGACACGAAAACATTTTCTGACTTGACCTCGTTTTCAAGTCCTTCAACTTGCTGTCCCCTGTGCTAATACTTCAGCAACCCAAAGACGAGTGTTTTACACGGTGGTTAACGGGACCATGAGTTTGCCAATACCATCCATAGAGCTCATTAAGGAGTTTCATGTGTGTCGTGTGCTTGTAAACGTTTGAAATCTTTAATTTTTTCAAGCAAAGATCGTCGTTTGCAATGTTACAGTATACGTGACATTAAGTGATACACACTATAAACTCCGTGAAGGTCTATTTAAATCAAGTCATCTTCATATGTTTTCCAAGTATTAGAGGCAAAATGGTAAAATTGAATTGTTAAATGAATAATTGAAAGTAACATTTGGTACAAAGCGAATAAATAAACAAATAAGTAAATACTATGAGTTTCATTTTATACTGAATTAACAAAAAGTAATTAATCCTTCTGTAAACAACTATCAAAAATACCTGCAAAAAGGTCCTTATGGACACCGGTTTGCGTGGCCTGTAGTTTGTCCATAGTGTCTATGATGAGGAGATGTGCCGTGTCATTCGAACACTCCTCCGAAGACTCGAACCAGGTCCTAGCAGTGGTGTAAAGACGAAGACATGCATCGAAGGAAGGGTCGTATGTATATCCGGGTAAACGACAAACATCTGGGGAAAATAAAGTATACGTGATAGGTCTACGAATCTCATGAAATAGGTTCCCGTTTAGAACATTTCAATGTTATCAAGGGTATTCACGTGCTTTCTATTCATTTGTCTTTTGCACAATTTTCGTTCAATAATTCTTGTTTGTTGGAGACAAAACAAAAGCCAAAACAAAAGCCAAAACCAAAGGACCGCTCTGTTGTCATTAAACTAGTTATCGTTATTATTTTTGTTCTGGCAGTTTGAAATAAAGTAGAATTAAATCTATACAGAAATTCAATATTCACGAATAAATATTTGATTTGTTGTTTTTGTCAGGTCTTCGCGCTTTCAATAGCAGTAGGTCCCTTATGACAATGAAACAACGAACAATATTGATATGAATATTTGTATTTCAGCAAGGACAAGTTTCTTTCATTCTAAAAGACCTGGTAATGATGAATATTTTTGCCTATCAAAATATTGGCATACTTTTTAAAATTAGCTTGGTCTGTCTAATGCAACAATTTTGATTCTATAGTTGTTTATCTTTCATTTATGTGATGACCACAAACGATTTTCGCTTTCCTGACTTGCTCGGCCGATCGAAAGAAGCATTAGGTATCTTTGTGTGTGGTAGACAGCATTAGGGAAGTGCTATGGAAATCTTGGTCAATCCATGTAAGTTATGACACGTCCCCATATGAGAAGATGGGAAATAGAAATGGAACCATCAGACATACCAACGAGCGTCATACACATCAAAATTTACATTCCACAAGAAAAACACATGTAGAATATTTTTCGTTAAGATTATTACGGTGATCATAAAAGTTCCCCATTTTCTTCAATAATTTGCATATATTTTTTCATTTTCCTATGATTCGTTAGTGATGCTTGGAACCTAGATTCTTGAAACCTAGTTGGCGACTGACGAATACCCGAATAAGGATGCATTATCTGAAGATGAGAACCAAGCATAATTCGTACTAAAACGAGCTAACGTAATTTCAGTATATACCATTTATTACCATTAGGTGTTTTGCCGTGTAGTGTATCGAGTAGTACAAAGGAAGGGAGCCAGTTTGGACCAAACTTGAAGACCATTTTCCAAGTTTGTCAACTCATTGTAATGTTGGTTGAAGAAACTTTTCAGGTTATCTTAAAAGTCATTTGAAGTGGAAATGAACCGGACATGTAATAACATTACAATGACTTTGTTTTACAGGTTTTGATATTTCTTTCAACTTCATCACTTTGATCTGATATCAGTCCAGCAGAACAAAATACAAAAATTACAATTTTCACCCAAACATTTGAGTTTGTAAGATTTTTAACGACTAAATCCATAATCTTACTTCTATACATTTTGGTATTCTCTTGACTGATCCGGTCATGTGCCAGCCCGTCGTACCCTCGGCACTCCTCTGTCGTTGTTGTGTAGGAAAAGTCTACACAATTAACTGAGTGTGTTCCACATGCTCCTGCACAGCTCATGAGACCTGATATCTGCTTTGTAAACACGAGGCTATCATTAAAGATAACATTCTCCTCCGTTATATCTTCTTTCCACACATAATTTATTTTCATGCCAGCACGCACAACTGCAAAGTAATAAAAATAACATTCTGATTTTAATACTTTTGTTACTATATCTGAGACAGGTACCACGATATATTTCCGAACATTTTGCAAGGTACTCCAAGGGTTATATTCCACTTTCGTTCTCTACAGCCCTGGAACATTTCACGTCAAAATTGAAGGTTCCATGTGCGACAAGGTGAAAAGACTAGTTTTAACCTTTGATGTACATCGAACGAAGCTCGAGGTCGCATAACCGTATATTGTAATGACTTAGAAGGTGGATGTCGCTCCTTTGAGAGTTTGTCAGCCTGTGATTGGTAAATTTTTACGCTGAAACCAATCAAATTACTTCATTTGTGCCTGCAATTATGTCATAATATGTTCCAGGGGTGCACAGAGCGAAAGTGGCCGTGACCCCTGGAGTATCGAGGATGGGTATTCATTTATATGTAAATAAAGGTTTATAGGGACAATTAAAGCAGGCGAAATATCAACGTGTCACATTTACAGCTTGTATTGAAATAGTATATATGTCCTTACAAATGGTCAGAATCTTAAGACTATTGGAAGAATGTCTCACGAGACCAAACGCATATTAATTTATGATTTCAACAACATCTAAAGATAACAGATATAGAGTTGTAAACACCTGATGACAAAGATAACAGGTATACATTTGTAAACACCTGGTGACAAAGATAACAGATATACAGTTGTAAACACCTGTTGACAAAGATATACAGTTGTAAACACCTGGTGACAAAGATAACAGGTATACATACAGTTGTAAACACCTGGTGACAAAGATGACAGGTATACAGTTTGTAAACACCTGGTGACAAAGATATACAGTTGTAAACACCTGGTGACAAAGATAGCAGGTACACAGTTGTAAACTCCTGGTGACAAAGATAGCAGGTACACAGTTGTAAACTCCTGGTGACAAAGATATACAGTTGTAAACACCTGGTGACAAAGATAACAGATATACAGTTGTAAACACCTGGTGACAATGATAACAGACATACAGTTGTAAACACCTGGTGACAGAGATAACAAGTATACAGTTGTAAACACCTGGTGACAAAGGTAACAGGTATACAGTTGTAAATACCTGGTGTCACACATATACAGTTGTAAACACCTGGCGACAAAGATAACAGATATACAGTTGTAAACACCTGGTGAAGAAGATAACAGATATACAGTTGTAAACACCTGGTGACAAAGATAATAAGTATATAGTTGTAAATACCTGGTGACAAAGATATACAGTTGTAAACACCTGGTGAAGAAGATAACAAATATACAGTTGTAAACACCTGGTGACAAAGATAACAGGTATATAGTTGTAAATACCTGGTGACAAAGATAACAGATATACAGTTGTAAATACCTGGTGACAAAGATAACAGATATACAGTTGTAAACACCTGGTGACAAAGATAACAGGTATACAGTTGTAAACACCTGATGACAAAGATAATAGGTATACAGTTGTAAACACCTGGTGACACAGGCTTTTGACGACTTCTTTCTCCCTGTATTTATTTGTAAACACGATCCTCGACAAAATCTTTCGCGGCCAGTATCTATATTTGCAAAACCGTCCGATTTATAAGTTATTTGTTACACAACGAAATGGTTCGTTCACATTAATGATATTTCTCTAACAAAACATTACTCACACTTCTTCAAGCATATACCTTGAACTCTTCATTAATCACTTTTCCTGTCGTCACGGATAAAAAATCAAAGAACAAAAGTATAAAGATTCAACATCACATTGTCTCCAAATCGATGAGATTAAATTTCGTTACACTATATCATACTTGTTCTTTTCAAATTTTGATAGTGCAGTCACCCATGTGACAATGCCAACATCAGCGTTGACGATATGTAGTTTTATAACGAAGATAGCTTGAACGTCACTTAATTTACTTATTACACAGTATAATATGGATGTAGAGTAGACATTTTCTGATGGCGCTTAGTACAAATAAAATGCCTTACCTGTTGATAATAGGATGTCTATTGTCAATGACCTGATCACGGATAATATCGTAGAATCCATTTCCACACCTGTCTCTAGAATTCAAAACAAAGTAATGCTTTCTTACTAATATCGTTATTCTTCTTTTTTATCATTTTATCAACCACGGTACGTTGTAACTATATTATTTTTCATTCAAGATTTAACACTTTTTACGATGTGATAAACTACGAATAACATGCGTATTTGCGTGTATAAACATAACACGACACTGTCAAAACTAGAAAAAATATCAATTTAAAAAGATAAAAGTAAACTAAATGAAATTCTAGTGAGGATATATCACATTAGATTGACGTTTGCCCTGTAACACTTCATGTAAGCTGACTGATTTAATATCGGACTTCAATGCGACTATTATGTGAAAACTCTGCTGATCTATTTGGAGTATCGATTTTACTTATATATGGTACCTAGGTACTTTGTTCGATGTTCCAGCGTAGGACATGAAACATATCCTCACTTTCAAACACGTCGTTGGTGCTTCATACAAGGTTTTAGATATCCGGTTTCAATATAGCAGAATCCATTTAAAATTCAAAATGAAACAAAAAAATCAAAGAATACTCAATAGTCATTATTGGAACTTTCTCCATGATTGTACGAGAGGAAAGACACAATTACTAGGACACACTAGGACGGAGAGCTGCAAGAAATTAAAATCCATACATCAGAGGATATCGAATAAAACTCATTATTGTAAAATATAAAACACAAGGTTAGAATATAAACCACAGGATTGTAAAATATAAAACACAAGGTTAGAATATAATCCACAGGATTGTAAAATATAAAACACAAGGTTAGAATATAAACCACAGGATTGTAAAATATAAAACACAAGGTTAGAATATAAACCACAGGATTGTAAAATATAAAACACAAGGTTAGAATATAAACCACAGGATTGTTAAATATAAAACACAAGGTTAGAATATAAACCACAGGATTGTAAAATATAAAACACAAGGTTAGAATATAAACCACAGGATTGTAAAGTATATAACACAAGCTTAGAATATAAACCACAGGTTTGTAAAATATAAAACACAAGGTTAGAATATAAACCACAGGATTGTAAAATATAAAACACAAGGTTAGAATATAAACCACAGGTTTGTAAAATATAAAACACAAGGTTGGATTATAAAACACAGGATTGTTAGATATAAAACACAAGGTTAGAAAATAAACCACAGGTTTGTAAAATATAAAAGACAAGGTTAGAATATAAACCACAGGAATGTAAAATACAAAACACAAGGTTAGAATATAAACCACAGGATTGTAAAATATAAAACACAAGGTTGGATTATAAAACACAGGATTGTTAGATATAAAACACAAGGTTAGAATATAAACCACAGGATTGTTAAATATAAAACACAAGGTTAGAATATAAAACACAGGATTGTTAAATATAAAACACAAGGTTAGAATATAAACCACAGGATTGTAAAATACAAAACACAAGGTTAGAATATAAACCACAGGATTGTAAAATATAAAACACAGGGTTAGAATATAAACAACAGGATTGTAAGATATAAAACACAAGGTTATATTATAAAACACAGGATTGTTAAATATAAAACACAAGGTAAGAGTATAACCACAGGATTGTAGTATATAAAACACAAGGTTAGAATATAAACCACATTATTGTAAAATATAAAACACAAGGTTAGAATATAAACCACATTATTGTAAAATACAAAGCACGTGTCTGTTAAGTGTAAAACACAAGGTTAGAATAAAAACACAATCACAGGCCTGTAAAATATAAAACACAAGGTTAAAATATATACCTCAAACACACGACTGTAAAATATAACACACTTGTCTGTTCAATATAATATATACTAATATATATACAAGGTTAGAATATACGACATAGTCAGGAACTTTGAAAGAATTTCAAGCAATCACAAACATTTTTCTCCAAATAAATATAGATTTTTATACCACAAAACCCTGGTAAATAGTAAAGCATAACTGGATTAAATAATGTAATTCCCGATTGTCAATATTGCAGACGTTGGTGCCAATAGCCTCTCGGTTTTTTGTCATACCGATCAACCGAACCCTTCAGATATCAAACATGTTATTTTTGGTTTTTGCTATGTTCCTCGCCCCGTGAACAGCCAATGTTATTTTGAGGTTGTTAACTCTTGTAGTTGTTGGTGGCTGACTCAGTGAATAGCATACAGGAGGCCAAACGCATGCTATACAGAGATACTTGTGGTGAAGTGTCGCGACCAAGGAGATAATCACAACACAGACCAACGTATTCTGAAGCTTCCTGAAAGCACAAACCGCCAGGAACCTTTGAATCATACACCTCGGATTTTCACCTCTGGTTCCGTAGGCCAACTGAACGATCACGACCTCCCATTATTTGGTTGTGTTAAACATTGCCCCCTCAAAGGAATCAGAAATATCATCATCAGGTTAATGTTTTATTACGTCCTCGCCAACTTATGTCCATACATCGATACAAAATAATTATAAACACGCTCATAGAAAGATAGGAATTGTTATACTGACAGAAAGCTCCACTAATCCCGAAAGTTTTTTTCAGTTTGTGAAACATCAGACGTTTTATGTGCTTTGACATAAAATCATATTATTTAATTACATTTTGATCATTCAATATTCAAAAGCGAAGAGTTTAAAGACAATAAAAGGAACACTGCGACTTTAGTATTTAATAAATAACTGTTGTCTCCTGTGGAGGGTCTATTTCTTCAACCTGTCCAAGAGTGTATCGTGGTTTCGCCTACATTTGAGAATACCCCATGATGTCTTTTCTTATTTCTGCCATATGTATTAAGAATGTTCCTTCGCCTGCTTTTGCTAGAGCATGCATGATAAATTTTTAGCTATATTGAAAAAATATAGATGTATTTATTAAAACAGGAAAATAAGGCCAGGTTATGCAGGAAACGCCACTCAAAGGCAAACAAAAACAAGGCTGAGATGGACTCCTTCTTCAAACGGATTCGTTCGTCCAAACAGAGTGTCTCTTAAATCAATGACGTTCATAAATCGAGGATAAACATTTTCTTTTCAAGATATTCAAATGCGGCGTGTGACTGTGAACTTCTATACATCACGCATGAAGTATAGTGTTGGTTTTAAAATCAATCCCTAGTACGTCTCCGTTGTTATATGAAATAATAACCCGATTTACTAAATTAAAGCTCTAAATCAAAAGTTAAAGCACTGGTCGATAGATAGCGAAATACAACACAGAGGTATATGGCATTTAATTCTGTATCTTAACGTGAAATGTACATTACATTTATTTCACTTAAGTGAAATTCATTTTAAGGGAATCAAACTTCATTTTGTATTGTTTTATTTCACTCAAATGAAAAAAAAAATTCACTTAAGTGTAATAATTTTTGTAAGTCTAAAGAAGTTTTTCAGGATTTTTCATACAGTTGGTTGTCTGAACTCCCCACCCTCTTCAATAGATTATGACTAGCCCATTTATTAACAAATCACTTGATATTTACTATCTCTCCAGTCAGAGCCCGAACACATAATGTAAATAAAAATATTTTTCTCTTAGGTGAAAAAAGTACATCATGGAAATAGAAATATATTTCACTTACTTGAAAAACACAATCGAAATTTTCTTCATTTAAGGGAAATAAAATCAGTGTCTACCAATAACAGTATAAGTCATATATTGCAGTAGCCATATTGATTGATTTATCCGTTATTAAAAAGATGTGGTTTAGAAACATACAGATTGCATTGACTATATTTACCTTAAAGCGAAAGTAATTTCACTTAAATGAAAGTAATTTAGAATTATGTCTACACGAGAGATATTTTCACTTAATTCACTTGAAATTATAGTTACCTTGAAGGCAGTAAACCTCTATTTAAATTCTGTTTTGTTGCACTAAACTGAGAAAGAATTTCTCTGTAGTGGAATTATTTTTACCTTGAGTTGAATTGTTTGCATTACGTTATTTTTCCTTAAGTGTAAAAAATATTCCCTTAAGAGGAAATAGGATCAAATGTTAAAACAGCTTGCCATAGAGGTACTTTATCTCTCCGTTACAGTTAAGACTAACCCTGTTTGTTCGCTATACTATCTAAATGTCTCTATGTACTTGTGGTATACGTTCATGTATGGACTTCATTGTATGGTGTTTAAATGAAAAATGTCTCTAATATTGTCGTTTTTATCAGATAAATTTGGTGTCAAGCTGAATGTTCTTTGAGTACACAATCATTAAATTTTACTGGTGATGCAAAAATACATCCAAGGAATTTTAAATTCTAATTTGAAATATGTAAAGTTATTCTTAATTAAATTAGACATGTAGATGTTGCTTTCATTAGTACAGTTTTGGCAGTTCCAATTGCTTCGATACACAAGATGAACAATAACCTTTTTGGTCAAAATATGTTTATTTCTTCTGGTTCAGACAAAGCTCTTGCGGGCGAGGCTGTTTATGCTTTCACCATGAAATTTATAACCGGGATATTTTTGTTTGTCTTGCCCAGCTTGACTTTCGTCATTCCTGTATTTCCTTAGTCGGGTGGCGCAGTGGAAACTCATTCACCATTCACCTATAACTGACAATTTGAGTAAATTGAAGCGAACACATAAGGTGATATGTACATTGGTTTGCACAGCAATAACTTACATAGACAGTAAATGGACACACTAGCCGTCTTAAATGTTTTCATTTAAGTATATTTGTGCGAATTGCAGTTGAATTTTGGACTGATTAGGAGAAACCAGCGTCATGCATGCAAATATTACATTCACTACATATATCTCGAAATTTATTCACTTTAGAAGTGAATCTTCCTCCGTCATCAATCAACAAAAGCGCCAAAATAAAGCTTTGATTTATTCTTAAATGATACAACTGACCAAAGTTTTGACGCGACTATTCCACAGTATGACGTCATTTTGAGCGATCTATCACAGGAGCATCGAATCTCATGTTTTTCATTTTTTTGTGAAATGGCCACAAAAAAATCTGGGTAAGACACCTGAAGTGGTTGTCTTGGTGATATGATTATGGTTGCCATAGTAATCTAATTGTGATTGCCATAGCAACCTGATTGTGGTTGTCATAGTGACCTGGTGTTGGTTGTCGAGGACAACTAATAATCAGATGGTTGCCTTGTTATTCAATGAATTTTATATTTCTGCGTATTACGTGTTATATAGCTAATTGTGACGTCACTTAAGAAAATCAAATGACATCACACAATCACACATGGAATTATGACTAAACAATTGAGATCAAAGACATAGAGCAGACATGACCTCAAGTTTTGCATAGAAATGTTTGTTTTCTATCATAATTTGTTGAAATATCGATCATGTGAAGAAAAGGACGTTAAATTTGTTTCAATTTGATGTGTGATTTGTGAAAGTCGTCAAGAACTTTTAATCAAAGAGATTATGAAGTATTCTTAAACCTCGTTTCATGAATTCACATATCAAATAGAAACCAAGGTAAGATCATATATATATATATAGTCATTAGCACACTGATACACGTAGTATACTTTCGTCATTTGAGTACTAGTCTCTTTCATCTGGCCCACAAAAAATAACAGAGATCTTTTCAGCCCACCTGGTAACTTATAAATTATAAGTATACTGAGACGAAAAGAAACGCAATTAGCAGAAAGTTAATATTGTAAATTAAATCCTTGACGAACACCCTTGAAACTTGACAAATGTGTGCATTTGCGTTAGGTCCCTATGGTTCCGTATTAAAATCACTGATGCAAAACTAAACTGCGCACGCCGCTTGTACAAAAGAATTAGGGACAAAAGCACGATATCTCGAACCCAATATAAAGGATTGGTTCAAAACTTGTGTGTGCGAATCTTTAGACATATCCGTCCTGATTTCCCCACATTTTAAGCATAAACAGTTCACCGTAAAAAATGTCACGATTGTCCGAAGTTGACAGGTGTCGTGCCATTGCACTTCTTATGCAAGGTACCCCGCAAAATCAGGTCGCTAATCAATTTGAAGTCCATCCATCGAACATTTGCCGTCTCATCCAAAGACTACATGCCACCGGAAGGGTTGCAGCCCGTCCCCGACGCGGTCGCCCTCGTGTGACGACGCGTCGGCAGGATAGGGCAATGCGACTTTCGCACCTACCGCGGCGGCCATATGTTGGATCACAGCTTAATGCGCGGCGACGTGCGAGACGAATGCAATGGCTGAATGCACATTCCGTAAGACGCTTCCCGATGCAACGTTGGAGAAGGGCCCTGTTCTCAGATGAGTCCAGGTTTTCGCTTTACCGGGCAGGCGGCTGACGTCGTGTCTAAAGACGTACCCACGAGCGCTATGCAGATGCCTTGCGTGATAGAGAATGACCGCTTTGAAGGAGGATCGGTCATGATATGGGGAGGGACTGCGCATGGTATCAAGACTCCTCTGGTCGTTATTCTGGGAAATCTCACGGCCATCCGCTATAGAGATCATGCCGCATGTTGTTCCTCTAGTACAGCAGCGTCAACTGACGTTTCAGCAGGACAACGCCCTGCCGCATGTAGCGAGGCTTTGCCGTGGTTATATCGTAGCAAACAATGTCCCCATCCTAGACTGGCCCCCATACAGCCCTGACCTCTTCCAAATAGAACATTTATGGGACGAGTTGGACAGAAGGATAAGACGTAGGCCGAATCCTCCAATAAACGTCGCTCTGTCGGCGTTGACGCTGGATGAGGAATGGAATCGTATACCAATGAGGAGGGTTAATATACCCATCAATTCAATGCACAAAAGAGTTCGTGCAGTTACTGCAGCTCGCGGGGGGCACACACGATATTGATGGGTCCAGAGCGCACTTCATTTTGAGTGGGGTACTCTTGAATCAACGTCAAATTTGAAAGGTTTACTTAACGTACACGAATGAAATTCTCGTAGATGACAGAGTGGTCAACAATCTTCCAGTTACACCATAATTACATTCTAAAACCCTTTTCTATTTCCCGTAGATGACATGGAAATTCCTAATTGCGTTTCTTTTTCCTCTCAGTATATATTATGAAAATGGAAATTTGTCTCGAAATCACGTTACCTTACAACTAGAATTACCTGCCTTCTAATTTACACCACATTTTATACACGTATTAAGTGTTTATCGCCAAGGTAATTCCTACAATTACATGTATATGCCTTTGTGCGTGTCTGCCCATGATCGTGTGATCTTACCCTTTAACATGACGTACCCATATTTCAACGCTGTGCTGTTTTTGGGCTAACAAATGTCATCTTTGATAAGGGCTTTCACAAATATCAAGTGCTCGGTGTTTGATGGTACTGCATCTAGTTGTTTTAAGAATAAGCCACATATTCACAGCAGCCAAGACATGTATTTTGGTTACTGGGAATGTTCGTTCACCATTACAAACATAATTTTAGTCTATTTTATTCCATAGTAAATCTTTTTCTTTGAACCTCCAGTGCTTACAGCCGTCCAGCCTCCAATGTCCACATGAAATGTAGAATACAAACAAACAAATTTCCGAAATTCTACAGTCAATTGATTCAAATTACCATTTGAAATTAATTCTTTGTTCAAGACTATACCCAACATCAAATAATGGTTGTACATGGCATTGCTATTAGAAACATAAGCATTTGAAAACTGACTCAGTCAGAATTTTCTCCCACTGACGAAATTGTGTCGAAGTGTTTGAAATAACCAAGCAGTATTCAGCCAAAGGTACCGACATGAAATAGTCTCAAACCATTGTTGGGGTCCGTGCGATGAATAAAAAGTCAAACCAAAACCATTAAGGAGAGATATATAAACTCCTTTCTTCCTACCTGACCTGGCCCCACTTGTATAAAACATCTCAACTTGAGATTTCCTCAAGTCGAGATTTTCCTCAGCTGATATCTCCTCAAAAACGGCGTGTATAAAATTGTCTCAAGGAACAGGAGGAAGTCATCGGTTAGGATATCCTGAAATTCCTTGAGGAATTTTCATACAAGATATTTTCAAGGAGATATTAGCTGAGGAAAATCTGGGCTTGAGGAAATCTGAAATTGAGATCTTTTATACAAGTGGGGCCTGGTTTTCAAGCGCTTCAACTTGCAGTTCCCAGTCTTCACACCTTAGTAACACCGGGGTGACGGCTGTACACAATCTGAATGTTCATAATGAATATAGTCAATTTTATAAAAGTTTTATTCATATTTTTTTTCACAAAGAATTTGCATAATGGGTTTTTTTTACATATGACATAGGTCAACATCAATCATCTGCCTGTGGAAGGAAACTGTTGAAAAGTAAACATGTTCTGTGCAGCTTCTATGACACTTCATTAGACCATCAGGCAAGCTTATAAAATCATTCTGTACACGACCTCACGTCTTCTAATTATGTATTTTAAATTGTTTTAAAACTTATACCACTCTTTCAAATTTCAGTACTTATTTTTTCAAACTAATGTAAGATATCTTATATTTATAGAAAGTTCATTTGAGTACAATGCATTGGTTTGAGTATGAATGCAGATTCATTTATAAAGGGACCCATAATGATTATACAGATTAAACATCAAATACATTACGTCTAATTGTGTCATAAATATTCAAGCATTACATAATCATACGTTTTAAAGGGACTAAATGGTTAGATTTTCATTTCATAACTGACAAAAACATTATAGCATTTAGTATGTGATAAAGGGTGTGCACTTTCTGTTTATAACAATATTTTAAAGTTTGTATAACCATTTAAATAAAAAAAGTAAAAAAAACTCAAAGAAAATAGGAACAACCCAACACGAGTTCAAACCATTATCAACGGAGAGTGTATACAATGTCTTTGTTCGTGCACAAGACGGGAAAATTTAGAAATCATAACAAAGTTGTGCGTTAAAAGGATAATCCAAAAGGTCAAGTGTACTTGACTATCTCCGATCAAAACAGCAAATAGCAGAAAACAACTGCGAGTGTCGACCAGTGTTAGCTGATAATCTTTATCATTTTTTCTCAAAAAAAAAGGTTATAATTTTGTGAATAGTCTAATTTTAAGTATTACAATACTAGCCGCAAATCAAACGCTTAAAAAGATAACGAAATTTTACCATAAAGTCCCTTTAAATCATGTCTTATCAAAATTAGAATCATTTTAATCTGACCTGTTACTATGAACAGAATCAAGTTTAGAGAAAATTATCTATCCTGCAACTGGCACTGCCATTGTCGGAATACATCTGCCACATATATTTTTACTGTATTCGGCAGTGAGGGAAAACAACTGTATTTAGCACGTGCGGTAATTCGACAAAATTTCTTTCTGAATTTACTATAAAACAATAAATAACTATTGAAATTAGTTGTAATTAATAAGTTTATTTTCATCAAATCGCTGTCATATCTGTTGAAGTTCGGAACTACATTTCTAGGTAGAGCAATTATTTTGGCAAACTTCATCGTTATGTCAACGACAGGTAAACATAGATTGAACAACAAAACTTCTGAAGTTTCGATCGTCTGATTTTCAATCAATGTTGCAGGATAAATTGAATATATGGTCAGTGTCTTAAAACATAACCGTATTTTGGCTTGGGACAGAAAGACAAAAGTGGCTCACCTCTTTTGTCTTTCTTCATCCTCACCAAAATACGGCTTATATTTTAAGACACTTACCATACATTCTCTATACTTTTGCTAGCATTAAGATGTATATATACAATGTAGGCCTACATACAACATTTTAATTAACTATAAAAAAGAACTGACATCAACATTGTTTCTGTCAATTCTTCCAAATTTTCACTCCAAATTGTTCCTTTTGAATTCATAAGTTACTGAAACATAAATACTAAATTGCATTGATTGCATTCAGAAACAAAATTGCGTTGTTTTAATTTTCAGAAAGGGAAATTTACTTAGAATTGGTTTAAAGAGACAATAATTTCACTGAAGTACAGTCAAACTTTGATACCTCAAAGTTGACTGGTTCTAGGAATATGTGATAAATCCTTGATGATAACAACTTTCCTTAGTTGTTACAAGAAACATATACAATGTAATAATTTATGAAGTTCAATCAATATATTCAGATTTGACATGTATTCTCCTGTTACTATGTATAAATAAATACCATTTAGTCATGTGACCAGTATCATGATGTCCATGAACTTTATTTACTACAAGGATTATCTTTTCATAATTTTTTATATTTCTGAGCTATAAAAAACAGAGTAAAGTGGATAATAACTCGAACATACACAGTTTTTTTGTGTTATCAATTAATAACATAAATAATCAAAAGACAATCCTCATAATTTCATCAATTTTTATATTTGGTATAAAAATATTCATTTTCTTATTTACAATGGACTAGTTTCTTTGATTGTTTCTTACACTGACACATTGGTCAATCAAACATGACATTACAAAATGACGAAAAAAATTGGCCATTGAAAATGTTTGTTTCTTTGAGGAGAAAATTATAAACAAATGTCAGTGAAGCCAGTGGTGAACAATCTCCTGCAAGAAAAAATTCTCTAAGAGCTCATGTTCAATAGTCATATGTGTACATGATCCCTGTGGGTCATAATAGGATATAGAGACCTCTCCAAATAATAAAAAAAAAAAACAGAAATGATGAGGCAAAACTCCTAAGGCCATGTTTTATATTTTCTTCTTTTTCACCAATCAGAATTTAGCTATACCTTTGTTCCTTAACAACTTCCTTGGTGACCAAATGATGACATCATTATCATTTATGTACATTATGTAAGGTGTGGCCTGTTAAAATGTAAATTTCAGATAAGATTAATATTTTAGAAAATGTCATTATCCTACTCAACACATATTTCTATTAGAAATAAACAAATCTGAAGTACCAATCAGGATTTAAGTATGCCATTAATATAACATTTCAAGTTTTATTTCATAGGTGTGTTGGAAATAAAAGCCTTACTGAGAAAATCTGCTTACGGTAATACCCATAAGATCTAGCAATGCTGAACTAAACAATAATCATTCCTCATTCTGTGAAAAAAATTGAACAATTTTCCATTTAGAGTATAAATTAAAGAGTAACATCCACATCATGTACAGCAATACTAATTTTTACAATATTCTATCTTTTTCACCTGAGTATAAAGATCTATTAATTTGATAAGTTTACATCACCACTGCAGAAATAATTAAGTAAATCTTAAATCAATGGTGACGATATAACTTTCCCAGTTTCTTAATTTTGACTAACCTGTACTGCGAATTCTAGTTCCAGCAAAGATTTTCCTGTTTGCATTAACTAGTGCCAAGGTAATTCTGATCTCCCAGAATTAAAGCCAGTGGTTTCACTCTGTCAGATGGTAGAGATCTAAGCTTGATGGCCAATGAGGGCCAAGAATGAGAAACGGTAGAATAAGTTGGTTTCAACCAATTGCTATCAAACTTTTGTGTGAAATTTCTGGATATCCGTCATACATCTGAGTGTAGACACCTACTGCATTTGTAGTGCACGCTTTAAAGACAAGGTTTAGACTGCTGGTAAACTATATGTGCAGGTATAGGAGTTATCTCCCCTAATGTAGGTAAAAGACCGTGTCTATGGCTATCAGTGATTTCTACCTGTGTGATGTCTGAAGTCCTTAACTTATCCTACAGTTGTGTCAATGATCTTGTTTTCATTCTAATGTTAATTCTTATCTGTTCTTGTGTACAAGAAAATGGACACATTTATGTTTTAAATCACATTAATATTTAACCTATAATAACCATTCCTGAAAAGTTATTCCATATAATCCATTGATTGTTAGCCATGCTTTCCAATTTTGTCAATGACCTCCTTGTTTTTGGTGATGTTAAACACAATTTTGACCAGTTTACCAACACATGCATTTTTTCCATTCTTTCGTTTCCATTTCAAAAGTCCTTGATATATGACCATCTGAATGCCTTGACTATTGTAGTCCAAGTGAAGTTGCTCAATTTCTTCCTCTGCCAGTTCCAACTTCCTGACTGTAAAAAGCAAACATAAATCTTTGGTAAGTCTTGTCTTTTATTTTGTAAAGAGGCAGATTTTTTAAAATCAATCTATAACTTATTATCAAGAAACTTCATGTAAAACTGTAAAAGCATGCAGTACTAACAAAATGAATCTCATTTTATGACAGAATAAGCTTCGTTAAGTTGTGAATATGTGTAATATATCAATACATCAGTACAGCTATAATCAACATCTGACTTTAAAGCTTGTCACATGCAATTGCCATGTATGTATTCATGTTTTTTAGTTGGTCTGTGTAACTGGGTTAAGGTACTGTTTAGGGAGTTTTAAATTAGCATGCCTTTTCTCATCTGTTGAGCCCACGGCATGTGCTTATGTGTGACAGGTAAGCCAAAGGATAGATAGACAGGTAAACAATGAACAGCAGGTGGTAAAACGTAGCTCAGTACTACGCTCATATTACAGATTAGGGTGATTACTTTTATTCAGTTTATCCCAATATTATGTCTTTACTTTGTCATTATTTGTGCTGTTATAGTAAAGTTATACTGCTTGTAAAGTCACTTAATGTTACTTGTATTGTTAGACATAACCTAGAGTGACTTTGACACATTTTAGTGTTGGCGTGTTTAGTGTGTTATAAATAATATTTCATTAATTGATTAATGAAAGGTAAATTATGAAAACTGTGCTGTTGTAGCTTGTTGGGCCAATACCACACAATGGCTGTGACCCTGACCACTACTAATATGTTACATGGAGGCCGAGCGCTGATGGCCAAGTATCAGGTCCTGCACCCAGAAATCCTACAAGTACCTGTTGTATCAATATTTCCTTCAATATTACAGAAGGAGGAAGCAAGTGGTCGTTTGTGGATGGAACATTTTCTGTGTATTGTAACAACTGTTTTATCAATTTAAGGTTACAGACAATCTGCCTCTATCTGTTGCCAGCAGGCTTTCTACTCTCCTGAATTTAAGTACAAGTTCACTATTTTTTTTTCACATAACCATTGTTGAAGGTGTCACAGTCACTTGCCTTGCCTTGCCACATGAACAGTGCTAATAAAAGAGGTAATTTTCCTATATAAACTATAGTAAACTTTACCCCCTCCACAGTGGAAAACATACAAGACCCTGCAGTCATGAAATCACAATTTTGGTAAAGCACCTTATGACCTTTATATCCATGAAGAACATTTTCATGTACCCAATCCAGGTGGGGTTTTTTTTTCGAAATTTGAGTCAATTTTACCACTTTTGGCACTGCCAATCAGGCCCATGGAGGTGACAACCATATAGTTTAAAGGTATAATTATCCTATAGCCATAGAAGGTTTCTGTAAATTTTCAGTGAAATTGGATCAGGATTTTTCCAGAAGTTAAAAATGTTAAAAGTTTGAGATTCCATACAAAAAGCCATCCCAATAGGTCACCATGAGCCTCTATCCTATTTACAAATTAACTGGACGATTTTTCTGGGCAGGGATCCATTCCTCATCAATACTTTAGTTTACATTATAAACAGAAAAAGAAAGACATTTGCTGGAATCATTTGATCCCTAGCGATTAACTTTTTTTCAGGATATTTCAATTAAACTTGATAATATCTTCAGCATTATTGAACTATTCAAACAATATGGCAATGTAATCGATGTCACATTGCATATTATATCGTTGGTAATATTTGAAAGGGATTTAATCCCGAAATACCAGCCCAGCAAAAACAAACAACCATGCAGTTCATCACAACACCAAGGCAATGAACCAATTCAAAGATAAACATTATGAGGGATTACTTACAAATTCGTCGCCATGGGTTCCCAATGCATGTTGAAAGGATACGTAAGCTCCTGTCATCAACAACCTCCTCTGAATCTGTGGTCAGATAATGTGATTAAAAAATAAACACATTGCCGAAAGTGTGCCAATATTTTGAAACTAACATCATGTATAGAGATCAGACAAAGTGTGTAAAACAAATGTTCTGAAATTAGATTCTTCCTTTATTTCGAGGAGTTCCTATCGAAAGATTTAATTTAAGGTTTTTGCTTAAGAAACTTTCATAAGGCTGGCACATACAGATGACCTGTTTATATCCATTGCACATATGTAAATTGTATATATATATTGTACATTTATAATAGCTACTTGAAGCCATTGTGTGGATTACAGAATTTCATGACCAGTCGTGTCTACTGTGATTGAAAACTAACCTGGTATGCACCAACTTTACATTATCTGTGACATCTGATGGAAATCCTGTTACAGTTGGTGATGTTTACATCGAAGGAGACATGCTCTTATCCAGAGCAGGTCTTAACAACAGAGTTCAAAGGTTGTCATATATATTGATGTGCTATTGGTAACTGTTGTTATCATTCAGGAATTTATCAATGATGAATGGGTAGACATTTATCAATGATGAATTGGTAGACATTTATCAATGATGAATGGGTAGACATTTATCAATGATGAATTGGTAGACATTTATCAACGATGAATGGGTAGACATTTATCAATGATGAAAGGGCAGAAGACATGGATCAATAAGGAATTGGCAGATGTTGATCAACGATGAACAAGCAAACATTTATCAATGATGAATGGGTTGACATTTATCAATGATAAAAGGGCAGACAGTGATCATTAAGGAATTGGCAGGCATTTATCAATGATGAATGGGCAGATTTTATCAATGATGAAAGGGCAGACATTTATCAATGATGAATGGGCAGACAGTTATTTTTATGATAAGCAGAAATTTTTCAGTAAAGGACAGGTTTACATGGTGCTCTATAACAAATTTACTCTTTTTCACTCATAAAAACCAACTTAAATCCATTTATTTTATTCAGTGCTGAGAAATCTTGTAAACAGAACCAATGACAACTATATTTGCCTGAAAGGGAACTCACCAAGGACTGCCTGTTGAGCAGCTGTCAGTGTCAGATCCTGCGATGATTCATCTTGTGCGGACGGCATATCAACATCCTCTGCCACAGATTTCTGTTCAGGTTTGGCACCACCCTTGTTTATCACCATAACATTACGGTCACCCATTTGTATATTTTTAGCACTGCCGATAGTTATGTTGGCAATTCCATCACCCATTTGTTTTTTAATTTCCATTTTTGCACCGCCTTGCTTGTTACTGAAACCTGCAGTGAACAAAATTAAAGTATGTCTGTCCTATGCTAAAACTTAAAGAAGGATTTCAAGACAAAATCAAAATGCAGGATAGTAAACAAGAGTATCAGTGAAACTGATGAATTTTCCCTGAAAACAGCTTTACTGGACATAAAATTTTAACAAAGGGCAATTACTCTGTAATTAAGGGGTTTCAAGCCCAGAATTTTGTCTACTGCACAAAACCTTAGCATGACTAGTATATACACCAACTTTCATGCTCCTTGCTTAACATTTTGCAAAGTTATAGTTCCGATTTACTTCAGAAGAGACCTGTCTCCGATTACTTCAGTAAGGAAGCCTGATGTAGTTTGTTTAATACCTTCATGATAATCTTCTCCAAGTTTATCATCAGCAATAAAAGTATAAACATATAAAAATTATTCAAGAAAATGAGTTCTTTTGTGTCTTGTCAGAGAATGTGGTGTGATAAACAAACCTTGGAAAGAAGAACCTATTCCCTCATCATCAGATGATGATGAATCCGAACTGCTGCTGACATCGTAATTCACATAGTGGTTAGCCTTTTGCATTTTTTTCATGGCTGCAGCTACCTAGTACAGTCAACATATATATAATTACATTTTTTTCTTTCATTTACAAAAGTTGTAAATATATTTCTATCACACAATTTGTCATAAAGTGAATATATTCCTATGTAATATAAACTATCAAGATGTCAAGTTAAGAGAGTGAAATGATATTACACTTACCACAAGATAGGGACAATAGATATTGATATAGAGTTGAAATTACGTCATGTTTGTTGTCAAGTTTGATTGTTCATCTCCTTCATTTTATAACATTTGCTTGAATAATCAACCATGTGATAAAAAGGATTCTGTCCCATATTTTCACAATTATTTCACAAATCACATATATCTATCAAATGGAAATTCATGTTCAGTTGTCAATGAATGCAAAATCCGTTTCCATTAATGTTTCATAACATTCCATTTCAAAATCCCCTCTCACATACAGGTATGTACATCAAGTTTGTTTTTATTAATCATATCCTTGCAGTTTTTTTTGTTCAAAATGCTATGAGAAATGTTCTAGTGAACAATTATTTTACCACAAGAATGCACTGCACTATTCTGTGGCATGTCAGAGCAAGTAAGCTCAACATCCTTCGAATTGAAAAATGAACTTGCATGAAAGTTTTATATTGGTATTCAAATGAAAAACTAATTTGTTTTTTTATATTTCTCAAATTATAAATTCACTTGTGATGTAAATAAGTCATTTATTCTCTAAACTTCATGCATGTTTGTCAAATCATCATTGACTTGCTTCCAAAAATGCTAACCATTATTTTTCTTACCTTTTGTTGTGCTCTTGCAAGTTTTTTCTTAACGTAATCTTCGTCGTAAGCTCGAGACCCGCTGGCTATAATTTTTATATTACGCTTGTCTCCATGTGATCCACTTGCCATTGCTACTTCTGCACTCAAAATACTTTTGTGCATAAATAAGACATTGTATTTCATACAAACATTCTGAAAAATACAAAAATCAACATTATGAAAATGGCTGGATTTTCTCTGAATGATTCTATCCCAAATATTTCCTCAATAAATGCATAACAATTTCTGTGTAACGAATGAATGCATATCGTTTAACATTTTACCTTTAAATCTTAATCTATTCCATTGGTATGGATAACCGTACATTTATACTTCATCCTATGTGACAGGAATATAGACCATATGTAATAGTTTTACATATATATAAAGTAGAGAGGTGATATTGTATGGTGCTACTGCACTGTACTCTCATATAATAATTGCATTTTGTTAAATATGTATTCATAAATCTCAATTCTTTATCAAAACTATGTGCGACATTTCAAAACAGTGAGAAGGATTCTGTAATCTGACTATCCGAGTTTTTTTGACTGTGACAAAAATAAAATCATGAATGAAGTCAGAAACTTTCAAACTAAATTCAAACATGTTCTGTAATAACATTACATTCTCACTGCTTGAAATATTAATTATGTTCAATATGTTGATATATGTATACACACACATATGATAAATGAAGTAATAACGACAGTACAGACAAGTGAATGGTAAGATTTTCGAGGCAACCTGTCTCTTTATCAAGACACAAATATGACAAAAATTACATCACATACATAGAACATAAAACAATTACAAAGTTAAATCGAGTGCGGTCGATGCATATTTAAATATATATGAATTAGTTATGAATCAGTATGAATTAATATGAATTAGTTATTGTTGATCTACCTGTTTATGATCTCTCATGGCATGAGAAAACGAAAGTAGAAAACAAAACACAAAATATGAGTAAATACTTGTCAAAAGTAAGTGTTAAAGTGAATATACTAACGTTTCAAAACGGCGATATATTCTTTCGTCGCAATCAAAACTGGTAAAGTAACAAAAAAAAACCCCTTCAAACAATACACATGAAAAACACCATTTTCAGTTTTAAACCGGAAGTTAACATAACATTCGGTATACTCGGATCTGTTTAAACGGCAAGTATGTCCCGAATAACAAGGTGTCGTGTGTTCTTCGCATTGGAGCGCTCTCATGACCACGGACTTATATACACATATATATATGTGTATATAAGTCCGTGTCATGACAAAAGATTTCAACATTTTATAAATGAAATGGAATATACACTCTTCCCAACACTTTCTTTTTGAAGATAATAAGAATAATAACATAAACCAAAATGATATTCAAAACAGAATCTGTTACATTTTTTTACCGAAATTTTATAAAAGAATAAAAAGCAAAAAAAAGTATGTTGAAAAATTACAGAGTCTGAATGTCTGAATATCGTGGATAAAAAGTCTGGTAAAACCTGTCTTACAAAAACCACCTTTGTAGCAGAAAATATGTGCAGAGGAACTTGCCTCCATTTACATCAAATTGGTTTCTCTTCACATTAAGGTTACTAGGACAAAATCATGTCATTCCTACAAAAGAAGGATTTCCTATTAGGCCCAGCCCTTTCAATCCTGTGTGGTCAAGACTTGCAATTTATACAAATTTGTTTTCCTTTCCCAAAGGCATCGTGCTTTTGATCAAATTGGGACAAAATCCATCAGGCTGACATTCCTACAAAAGAAGCATTTGAAGGAAACGGTTATATCTCCACTATTGTGCCACCCCTCAGGCATAGGGTCCCTATACACAGATTATTAGGTGGGATTTGGTATGCATCCCTGCATATATATAAGGTTAAATATGGTGTAGAATTTGAGAGTAAAGGTCGCCTTACTAGCCTCAGCTAGTGGGAATTTCCCTTTAGTCCAGTGGTAGAGTGTCTGGCTAGAGACGGATGGCTCACTAGTTTGAACTCCGTCTGTGGCAGGAAATTTTTCATCACACTTTCCTATTACAGATTTGGTGCCATTGACCACTCCAAGGATAGAAGATATAAGAGATTGTGATGCTTCCTTGGAGATACTGAACCTGGGTTGTCGTTGTCTTCAGAGTCAAAGACTTTGAGAAGGAGGGGAGTAGTGTAGAAGCTGAGAGTACAGGCCGCCCTAGAAATGGCAGGGTATTTTTCATTACTCCTTCTTACATCTCTGTATAAGAATTATTAGCTTAAGTTTGATATAAGAATAAGAATTAGTACAGTTTGCATCCCTGCATACCTATGATTAGGTCAAATATGGTGCACATCCCTGTACACTGATTATTAGGTTGAGTATGGTAAACATCCCTGTAAATGAATTATTAGGTCGAGCACGGTATACATCCCTGTATACAAATTATTGGGTCGAGCACGGTATACATCCCTGTATACAAATTCTTGGGTTGAGTACGGTATACATCCCTGTATACAAATTATTGGGTCGAGTACGGTATACATCCCTGTATACAAATTGTTGGGTCGAGTACGGTATACATCCCTGTATACAAATTATTGGGACGAGTACGGTATACATCCCTGTATACAAATTATTCGGTCGAGTACCGTATACATCCCTGTATACAAATTATTGGGTCGAGTACGGTATACATCCCTGTATACAAATTATTGGGTCGAGTACGGTATACATCCCTGTATAACAGAGGTCATTATGTATTTCCATGCCTCTGCTTAGATTTGAACCAGGGACCTCTGGTTTACTTGTCTAAAATTCAACCAACCTAGCTAACATGAAGGTCTCACAAACCGAGAGGGATATTGCTAGAAATATTTACCAGAATAAAAATACAACATAATACCATTTAGACAAAATGAACTTTTATTTACTAATCAGGTCTTGATGCTGTGCATCACAAGTTCATTTTACCAAAGCTTCACATCACAGTGGTGTTACATACAAACAAAACACATGAAGTAACTTCTTCCATGCCAAGCAACTTGTATATATGTCTATGAAAATACAGATGATAAACCATGTCCTTGTTCTCTGCAGCTCCCAGGTTTTAACCTGCACAAATTTGTAGGAGGCTGCAGATTTTTATTGCCAGTCTGAGGGAGACAGGTCCATCAAAAAATAAACCTGTTGCTTACGTCAATAAACATGCATGTACTTTTCTATATTTAAATCTTTTTATGATTGAAAGACTTTATCTGCACTGTCCTAAGATTTTCTAAAAAAAAACCAGACGTATTATTATCACACTCATGTACCAGTCTTCAAAATTTAATAGCAACACTAAACAACAAACAATAGCAGAGGTTTATAATTAAATGATACCTCTATCCTAACACTGGCACCGCATCCAAGCAAGATCACAAGCTGTAACAGAGACATTGCAATGACTAGCAACAAACAACAGCAGAGGTTTATAATTAAATGATACCTCTATCCTAACACTGGCACCGCATCCAAGTAAGATCACAAGCTGTAACAGAGACATTGCAATGACTCGCTTAATAACGAGTATTTGACTGATGCATAATCCATTTCAAAAATATTTTAATCAATTATGAAAAAAAAAATTATTCTGAAGCAATGAAATATTTTTATCCCCATTTCTGTCCGGCACATGTAGCCAATTTTTTGTCTAAGTTTGATTTTGACAACATGAGTTGTCTCCTCTTTACTAAATACCTGTAGTAAGAATGAAAGGTAAAATTTCTGACTGGAAAATATTAGCAATAGCGTTTTTGACATCACTGATTAAGACAAGAACTTTATAATAAAAAAATTTTTTGAGATAGTATTACTTCGTCATTGATACCATAGTAATGTTAAAAGGTACAGTTAGAGGGTTAAAAAGCAACCAAACACATAACTCTTCCTTGTAACTGAGGTATGTTATTGGCAAATATCGCTTCAGACTATTTTGAATATATGGCATAAATAGGTAAATCAAAGCTGTGTAACACTTGGAAAGTGGTTCAATAAAAGAAGAAAAATATGAGGTAAAATGAAAGAAATATAATTTTCATAAAAAAGATCTCGCCATTATGTGACTATAAATCAATAACTGCAATGAACAAGAAAACTGAAACAAAAGGGAAGCTGAAGAGATACCAAAATAATAGGCAAGACAACATGTGACCCTTATTTATAGCAGTGTCAAGCAAATAAAACCCATTATTTGTACTAATCTGATATATTAATTTCATTGGTGGAAACTTGGTTGTCATTGATGACCATAAAATTAAAGTTACTTAGATAAAATAACACTTAAAGTTGGAAAATATTTAATTGTCTACAGAGTTTTATATGCTATTATAAAAGGAAGAAAATTCAAAATTGGCTGTGGAGTGATCGTCAACATGTCCAGTTATATAGATTTATATTCTTATTTTTAACTGGATGGGGAAGATTGAACAAAAAATATAACATTATTAAGCAGTATAAACACAACTGGAACATCAAATAACAAGATTAAAAAACTAATGATTCAACATAGAAATTAATAAACAATAACTGCCGTTTATATGTCAATGATTCTACAAATAAACTAATCATTAATATCATGATGCTATATACGTATAAACAATAAAGCTAATTATAGAAGGTAGATCAAACTAGAATGGAAGTTTAATAGGTATGACACAATATCCTAGGACAAGTTGTTTTCTGACTTAGAATGGCACAGGGTAAAAAGGTTTATTCATTTCATTCATTAATTCTCGATAAAACATCACAGGGAATCAATATTCTACATACAAAATATTTAATATTTTTACTTGAACTATTGGTCATCAACCTATACTACAGATTCTCATCCATGCCTAGGGGAATATTTGTAAATTTGCAAACAACTAGCCAACGTTTTCCAAAAATTTTTTGAAACAATTATTATTTTTTTTTTTTGTTGGAAAAAGCTTTCAAAAAAATATTTCAATCTTACCAATGAAAAGTGAGTATTGGTGAACCTTGGTGAGGAAAGGCCAGTGACCAGTAGTTGTTTTTGTAAAAATACTTTTAAATATTCTGCAATAATCATGAAATAAAAGTATTTCCATTTTTTATCATATTTTAGAGTCTTCCGTAACAGACAATATCTTCTTTATAATTTAGTCTATAACCGGTGATCGACAGTCCTTCTAAAAAATCCATGAAGATCCCTGTTGATTTGGACTCCTGGGAATCGAGCTCTGGCACGCTCAGTAAAAGTCTTTCCATCCAAGACGAGCAGGAAGTTATCATCACCCTCTCCTAAAGTCATTACTGCTGACAGCACCACACCTGAAATTTTGAAAATTCTCAATAATTTCTTCACATCAGAAACACAGCATACACCCACTTACTGTACTTATCCTAAAGTGAAATGGGAGATAGGACACTAGAATTACATTTACGAGTAATTCTTCCGAAAAGTAATACATATAGGCTTATACCAAGCATGGGCTAATTACCAAAAAAAAGCTAATTACCAAATGTGAGCTTAGTTATCTATTAACTATATAGCGTCCGTTACTTCATTATGTTTTAACAATTTACTTTCCCCCCACCCCCTTTTTACATACCGTCTGATGGAGAGAAAGATGGGCGTACTGTAAAACATGCAAAAAGTGTGCACCTACATAATTTGCATATGTACCTACTGCCAAACTCATGCACTTCCTGACTGTTTGACATCAGAACTGTTACTTGATACACACAGCTATTCATGAACCTAGATTGATCTATGTTAGTGTACACAACCACTTCACACTAATCAACAGTGTTCAGTGTTGTAATGAGAGGTCCAAGTGAATATCTATCTATTGAAGATAAAATCAGGTAATTACAATCTCAAGTTTTTTTTTCTCGTGTCTTGCTGTCACATCCTGCACATGCCAGCAGACACAAATTGAGGCCCCAACACTGTATTTGCTAGCAAATGAGTATTCCGTATTGAGTACGGAATGTAATAATATGTACTGTCAAAGAGTGACAGTCTTTCACTACACATTTTGATAAGAGTATCATGCTAAGGATATCCCCAATTTATCTTAACTGTAAATCTCATAGATAAGCTTCATAAATACCAATGAGACTGATTTTAATAAATAACATATACATAGTCATCAGTCTCCATCCATAATCTGTTTACTTGTATGTCAACACTAATTTCCACAATGACACATGCAGACATTTGCTCATGGTTTTGTGTTGGCAATATCCAACATGAAGGAAAATAAAATAAAACCTGTCATTTCTTAAAAGTCAAGCATACATGTGTTTCAAAATATTTCGTTATCTCAAACTGGGAACAGCAGTTTCTTGTCTTGCTAGTTGCTATCATGTTTTAAACCATTCGTCCTGATTTTGGATGATGTCTACAAGTACTCAGATAGTTTGCATAATATATAAAGTAATTATTTCATTCATTATTGTTGTTCGAACGTAAATCGTCAAATCCTTTTTGTGTTAGTTTTGTGTACAAAATAATCTCAACAATCATTGATGGCAGCCTTGCAGGATCCTTTGTCCTTCACACACACAAAAAAAAATTGGAAAATAAAATTTTATGGTACATTATGATACTATAGGGCACTAAGATTTGCACAAGCAAAATGTCAAACATCCTTTTTACTTTTGTAACTTTCACATTTAACATGGTCAACAGTCCAACCTACCATCATCTTCCTCAGTTCCGTCTGGATCGGCCACAAAGATTGGTTCTGATGGCACACACCCTTCACAGTCCCACTGAAGAGATGTTTTATTGGGGAGGTCTACCTTCACCAACTGTCAACCAAAGTAGACATCCATTTTGTTTTATCACTACCTCCGATTATATTAGAGTGAGATAAATATACTCCCAACTATATAGCATTATAAGTTTGAAAGAGGTATCTAGATAATATTCATCATTTTCTTACCCAATATACCTTTACACAGATATTAGAAATAAGAAGTTATACTGCACAAGGATCTTAAATCATTTTTCATTTCATATTGCCATACAAAGCACCTACCAGCAAAATCTCCCACACCAGCAACCATCACAGGCACCTACCAGCCAAACCTCCCACACCAGCAACCATCACAGGCACCTACCAGCCAAACCTCCCAAACCTACAGTAATCCCAGGCACCTACCAGCCAAACATCCCTAACCTACAGCCATCCCAGGTACCTCCAGCCAAACCTCCAAAACCTGCAACCATTCAAGGCACCTACCAGCCAAACCTTCCAAACCTGCAACCATCCCAGGCACCTACCAGCCAAACCTTCCAAACCTGCAACCATCCCAGGCACCTACCAGCCAAACTTCCAAAATCTACACCATCCCAGGCACCTACCAGCCAAACCTCCAAAATCTACACCATCCCAGGCACCTACCAGCCAAACCTCCAAAACCTACAGCCATCCCAGGCACCTACCAGCCAAACCTCCAAAATCTACACCATCCCAGGCACCTACCAGCCAAACCTCCAAAACCTACAGCCATCCCAGGCACCTACCAGCCAAACCTCCCAAACCTACAGCCATCCCAGGCACCAATCAGCCAAACATCCCAAACCTACAGCCATCCCAGGCATCTACCAGCCAAACCTCCAAAACCTGCAACCATCGCAGGCACCTATCAGCCAAACCTCCCAAACCTGCAACCATTCAAGGCACCTCCCAGCCAAACCTCCAAAATCTACACCATCCCAGGCACCTACCAGCCAAACCTCCAAAACCTACAGCCATCCCAGGCACCTACCAGCCAAACCTCCCAAACCTACAGCCATCCCAGGCATCTACCAGCCAAACCTCCAAAACCTGCAACCATCGCAGGCACCTATCAGCCAAACCTCCCAAACCTGCAACCATTCAAGGCACCTCCCAGCCAAACCTCCCAAACCTACAGTCATCCCAGGCAGCTACCAGTCAAACCTCCCAAATCTACACCATCCCAGGCACCTACCAGCCAAACCTCCAAAACCTACAGCCATCCCAGGCACCTACCAGCCAAACCTCCCAAACCTGCAACCATCCCAAGCACCTCCCAGCCAAACCTCCCAAACCCACAGCCATCCCAGGCACCAACAGTTAAACCTCCAGAATATATCACCACTTTGTTATATCTACAAACTTTTGTCTTTACTGACACAAAACTATGGGTACTTACAGCAACAGTTTTTTCACTTTGTACGCTGAATCCATAGCTGTAACGATACTGACGACCGTTGTATAGGTCATAGTTCACGGTCGGAAGTTCAAATCCTGAGAAATAAAATGCTTTTGAATTAGACGGTTAATTTTTTATATCACTATCAGCATTTAAAAAAAAAAACTTGAGTAGAAGTTGCATTTAAAATGTTAGGGACAATGTACAATGAAAGCTGAAACAGGATGGCTATAGGTTATTTGACCCTACGGATCAGATCAGCTAACTAAAGCTTCATCGATACAATAAACCCAGTGCCTACTTTGTGTCAAGATTTATTGTAAAATAAACATATGTACAATTACACTGTATGTGTTGTCTGTCCTATCCATCTTTGTCAATATGGTCAATTTTAAGCAAACTAAAGAGTACTAAAGACTACTAAAACTTAATTCTTTTTCTTTTTTATCTGACTATACCATATTTCCAGGTCTATTTTACTTAACAGTTTGTAAGCACCATAGAAATAAGAGGTAGCAATACCAGTATTTAAATAATTATGCATTTTTAAACATGAAATACATATTCATAGAATTTACCAAAATTTGACATTTTTACCTTTTCTGACCAAAATTATGTTCAGTTATTGATGTTTTTGACCGTGCTTGTTTCAATATGACTTTTAAACCTTCTTTACCTTCATTGTATATGGCATCATGTGTACAATGTACTGTGTCATCTGACGTCCTGACAGCTGTAGCCTTACATCCAGACATCTCAATCAAGTTCTTGTCTTTAGGAGTCTATAAATAATTAAAACCAGAAAGTTCCTTTCCTTTACAAACAGGTATGATAAAGTGGTCATTTAACATTGATATATTTTATACCTCATGAATATTTTAGATCTTCGTAAAGTGTTCTGAAATGCTGATAGGTATACTAGAAAAAACAGTAATATGATTTGTGAAATTGAATCCCCCTGAATAAGTTTCAAAAAGAGTCGCAGAATTAAACACCCGCAAAATAAAAGAGCCGTACATTACATCTTGATGACAGGATTTACTGTAGGGTAATAACTCATTACATTATCAACATTAACCACAGTTGTAAAACTATGAGATTCATCAGTTGAGTATTAATATTACTTGAAAAGACGTAGCACCTTTGACATATTGAAAACTCTTGTTGCGAACATTCAAAAGCGACCATTTCGTCCTTTGTTAAACAGAGAGCAAATAACTGAGCTTTTATGATAAGTGCTAAAAATACAAAAATGCGTCTCGACTTTTTGACTCTTTCATCCAATCACTGAAAATTGAAAAGTTGTCAAGACTCAGTTATTTGTGTGGGTTTTTTTTTTGACAAAGGAAAAAGATATTTTCCAATGCTCACAAATTCACATTTCAATCACTGTTTGTGTTAGAGATAAACATTTTACAATATTACTTATAGTGTACTTACCTCTGAGTTGACTCCCAGTGGTAAAACAAACCGTGACAGAATAGCCTTGGGTAAATGCTTCAAGGTCTCATCTACTCGGTCTTTGGAGAAATCTTTCATATACACTTTTTTAATTATTTGGGCATCTTTGTATGAACACAGGTCCAGAACCAATGAATCTGACAACACAAAGGAGAAATCCAGTCATTCAGAAGGAAATATATTGTTTTGTTGTTTCTCTGACGTAAAATATTTAACTTCTCATAGCAAATATTTCTGCTGGACATAAGATCAGTTTACATACACACATTTTAGTAGCTATGATATATCATACTGATCAGCGACAAATTCACCACAAACATGTACATAGAGAATATATGGTCAATGTCTTCAAATATATCAAAATAAAAGTGGCAAGCCACTTTTGTCTTTCTATACCGAGCCAAAATGCAGTTTACATTGAAGACATTGACCATGTATTTTATTTATCCTGCAACATTGATTGAAAATCAGACTATTGAAACTTAAACCGTTTTGTTATTCAATCTTTGTTTACCTAACATTGATGTTACGCTGAATTTTGCCTGATGACAGATGCCAAAACAATTGCTCCAGGTGAAAACATAGTTCCAAACTTTCATCAGATATAACAGCGATTTTATGAATATTCATAACTGAACTTGTTTATTACAACATGTAAAATCGCGTATTTCAATAACTATTACAATTCTAAACGTAATATTTAAGTAAATTCAGAGAATAATTCTGTCGAATTACCGCTCATGCTAAAATACTGCTGTTATCCGTCACTGTCGAATACAGCAAAAATATATGTGGCAGGCATATTCTGACAATGTCTGAGCCAGGATAAAATGTACTTCCCAGTTAAAACATTATCCATTGATATCTTAATTGATCTTCATCAACCTTTAAAAGAACGTTTTGTGAAAAAATCATCAAAATCTAGATATTTCTAAAATGGAAAACACAAAATGAGAGTGTCAAGGCAGTCAAAATGAGTTTCAGATGCAGTTTATATAAGTATCCACTTTTGGTAATGAAGCACTACACAAAGCTTGATCAACCCAAGTATGAGGTAAGAGGTGATAAAATTTATTTCCTATATATAGTAACAATGACCTTTATCTATGACCTTCACACCTGACTTGAAAGCATCCAGTAGCCTGTGGATTTTATGCAATCTTCATTAAAGAAATAATTAAACCAGACCTGAAATAACATCCCAAGCAAGCAATAAGCTCGGGTTTAATCACCATAAAAATTATATCTTTGAAACCAATTTTGTAATTAAAGTAACGATGATGATGACATTAGTAGTACTGTCAGTTTATAGTATGGGGATGGCCTGAATGTAATTTATATTGCAGTCATTTTCTGACAATATAACATTCTGTTGCCATACTGGGTTTATGAACATTCTATACTCTGTGATCTTATGAAATATGATACACTGTCAGGGCCTCAAACTGTGTGTAGCTGGCATGGTCTGAACAAAATTTTAATGCAGACAATTAAATACATTGTACATGTGTAATCATTTGTCATCGTTCACTATGGTTGATGAGTTGAGGCAATTTCTTAATTTGCCATGAACAGTAAAATTACTTTTAAATTTCAAACAGACTCAGATTCAATCTGTTGAAATAATCCAACATATAGCATAAATGGCTGACAGTTTTCAAATGTCAATATTTTTTTAAAACAATATGTTCAAATATTTGCAGACTCAAAATTATTCCAAGTTAATATCAAACATATTCAGAAAAAAATATCTAAGACATTAAATTGGAAATAAAAATCCAGATAGAATTGTTAAATATGTCTTCTTCTGCAAAAATGACAATTCAAATTATGGCAAAACTCTTCATCTTCATGGTTTGAAGTTTTGCAGTACAAGAACTGATAAAAATCTGGCATACCTCCATCTTCATACGCATTGACATGGTGAAATGTGAAAAAGGCATCTGACTGGTAGACAAATGACTGGTTAACTGGTTCTCCAGTAGCTTTATCAATCACATGGAAAATAGCCTACAATAAGACATTGGGTTATCTGACATAAAATGAAAATAAAGACATTACTTGATCAAGTCCTTTGGAATTTGAGTTAAAATGTATTCCTCTTAAAAGAAAATTCGGAATGACAAACGATAGATTTTTAAAATTACCACAGTTGTATATTTGCAATGAAAAAGAAAGATAAGATTAAGATCAATTTTTGCTAATTAAAGTCTTAAACAGTAAATCACCTTTTCATCAGGCCAATAATCAAGGCAGTCTGGTATTCTCAAGCCACGGATGCGAGCCGTTAAAATTTTCAAGACATTGATCACCAAAGGCTGTTCCACAAACACATAATAATTTTCAGTAACAGCAAAACTATGGTAGTAGCCCGGGTTTAACTTCCAACGTGACTTCACTGACGCAACAACTTTTCCATCTGTGATGTCTGAAATTAAGACCATCTACTCTTACTCACAAAACAACTCGGGCGATTCTGGATGTACTGTACTTCACTTCACAAAGCTTATATTTTACAGTTAACCTGGTCATTATCAGTTGGAGGGATTAGATTTTGTCACATGGGTATGCTTATTATACTTGGCTAGGTCTAATATCTCACAGTTTCTTGAGTTGGATGTGTGTCACATTAAATATCTTGGAATTTTTTTTCAGATTATTAACTAGATAGAAACTCTTGTATCACAATCATACACAGTGTACACAGTATACCTGCGTGTAAATACTCTTCACACTGGTCATTTGATGAAGGTTATAGTGTAGTCATTGATACGTCACACATAATTTTTATCTTCGGGAGTCGCAAGGTGAGGCAAAGGCATTACTTCTCTGCCGTGGTAACAACATCAAAATTTGTTTAAAAACCAAAATTCAATTGAATACAAGTGCTATACACCTGCTAACATTCTCAAACCTGCTTAAATGTTATATACTAGCATGAACATCTTGGTGAATGTTTTCAACAAAGATTTTAGCTTTTTTAGCTGATAATTAATCAGACTTTGTTAATTAATTTTGCCATGTAAAATGCTTGTGTTTTAAGCTCCACAGAAGCTATTACAGGTACAACAAAACATGAAATATACTTCTATCTACACATAACCATTCAAACTCTCATTTCACATTCAGAATGAGTTTGCTGTTATTTGGACTTTGTTAACTAATTGGGTCATGTTGAAATTTTCAGATCAGTTTTATGTTGATCTCAATTTCTCTCAAAGTGTTTAAGCTGTCCTAGCAAAACCTGGTGTATATATATATATATATGTATATGTATGATCATCCCTGCACACAAACCTAAAGTTTATCATTAATTGGACTTAGTTAAAATTTTCTGTTTAGTTTTGTGTTTAGCTTTTTTTTAATTTTTGAATTTTTGAATTTACTTGTTTCTATGTGTGATCCTGCCAATACATATCTTAGATCCTGAATTTCACCAACATTGTTTAACATTAACTAGACTTTGATAACTGATGGTGTCATATACTTTCCTGATGATAAAGAGAAGTCAGGAAACAAAAGACATACAATTACATGTAATTCTTGTCATTCTGCTTGTGACCTAAGAGGTGACCAATATTGTGTATGTTCTCACCTGAGCCTGCTGGTATTCTAAAGAGGCAATAGGAAGGATGACCTTCATAGAGGTGACCAATATTGTGTATGGTTCCATCTCGATCCCAGTGGACGTGTGCTATAGCAGAACTAATAGTCATATTATCCTTCAAATCAACCTGCAAAATACAAATATCACAATTATACCTGCACAAGAATTACTGTATGATCTTCTGAAGTTTCACGCCTGTTTACTCTACTCTCCTTTTTTATAAATGATATGCAAGACTCAGGGTCAAGCCAACAGAAAATCACAATGTAAAACATACATATACATGTAAATAATATATATAAATATAACTCCATTTACTATGTGTGTGTGCTTACATCCTTGTAATATCTTTGTGGTTACCTCCCCTTGCTATCTGTTTGTGGTTACCTTCCCTTACAATCTATTTGTGATTACCTCCCCTTACTTTCTGTTTGTGGTTACCTCTCCTTGCTATCTGTTTGTGGTTACCTTCCCTTAGGTAGCAGTACACAGTTTCTCGGTGTGGCCATGGGTGAAAATGCTAAAATTGGTCCTGTCATGTTAAAGTGGACAATGTGGGGTTTCATTTTTTTCAGGATAATATTTTAGCTTTTTGTTGGAGATTACTATTTAGGCAGTCTCGAATCTGTGTCTACGCACCAAAAACTAGCTTTACAGGAAGTGAAATTTTCATATTGTTTACATGTGGTCATGTTATGAAGAATTTCCGAGTTGGAATTTGCTGAAATGTAAGTACTTTGTTACCATGATAGTGTTGTTGATTGTAAGATAGGTGTTTAGAATTAAATTTCTCCTAGAAAGTTGTAGTGTTGGGTTGGAATTAGCAGTATTTCTGCATTTTTAGCATTTTTTCAGTAGGTAACCATGACAATCAAATGTCAGAAATCAGAGGAAATTTTTTTTTACACAAATTTCATCTCTCTACTGTTAATGTAATTGTTATGCAGTTTATAAATATATCTACATGTAATGATGTATTTTTCATAACCAATCTGCTACACCTGTATATCTCAAACATGACAAATAATTTCAGGAAAAATGCAAATTAACTGTTTACTGCTACCTTACAATCTCTCTGTGATTACCTCCCCCTACTTTCTGTTTGTGGTTACCTCCCCTTGCTATCTGTTTGTGGTTACCTTCCCTTACAATCTATTTGTGGTTATCTCCCCTTGCTATCTGTTTGTGGTTACCTCCCCTTACAATATATTTGTGATTACCTCCCCTTACTATCTATTTGTGATTACCTCTCCTTACTATCTGTTTGTGGTAACCTCAACTTACTATCTATTTGTGATTACCTCCCCTTACTATCTGTTGGCGGTTACCTCTACTTACTATCTATTTGTGGTAACCTCTCCTTACTATCTATTTGTGATTACCTCCCCTTACTATCTGTTTGTGGTAACCTCTACTTACTATCTATTTGTGGTAACCTCTCCTTACTATCTATTTGTGATTACCTCCCCTTACTATCTGTTGGCGGTTACCTTACCTTACTGATTGTGTCCAGATTGTCTGGGTCTATCTCATGGAGGTGAGTAGTCTCTGTGCTGGTAAAAAGCCTGTCTTTAAATGGCCAGATAGTAATGTTAGTATTGTCAGTTGGCTTTCCTAGTTTGAAATAGGAGAAGAATCTACAATACAATTCAAAAGTATATCATATATTTGTGAAGTTTATAAACAAGAGACCCAGACCTACCAAATACACAAAATTGGTTCCCCTTTCCCCAAGGACGCTTCAGACCAAATTCGATTGAAATCCACTCAGCCTTTCGTGAATTATTGGAAAAAATATTAAAAGTTGACAGACACAGACACCGCAATATCCCTAGAGCTCACTTGGGCCTTCAGCCAATTATAAATAAATAAAATTCTAATTCCATCGATATATATCACTGTTGATACATTATTATTAGCAATCACTTTCATTGAAACTAGAAAAAAGTTCATAAGCAAATTAATGTCTTTGCTCTATGATACTGAGATGTGAATATGAACTCATTATGTTTAGAGTTTCAGGAAATATCTCAATCAAGACATTTTTATTGCAGTTGTTAAATGTGACCTTTCACCTAGATCGATGACCACCTTTTACATATACTGATTACTTCTATATCATTCAATTCATGATTCCAGTTAAGACACATTGATAGGTATGCTTATTTTTTTTGTACCTTTCGAAAATTGTTTTACATGGATCAGGATACGCAGCATAAGTCCCGAATTCTGAAACGACTATTCTATTGACAGACATGTTTTTCTGGTAGGAGTTACTGTTGATAAACTTCCTTGAAAACACAGCAGCTCCATCTTTGACCTCAAACTTCTGTATGGCTCCCATACCATCAAAAAGATGCTTGAACTTGTCTGGACCAATCTGGAATATGGCTGGACCATTTCTGTAGAGAGCACCATTAACCCAGGAGGGGATGGTACCTGGTAACATAAAATACACTGAAAGATGCCATGTTCTCATGCAAAATGTAGTCATCCATAAAATTATCTGTATATGTCAAATTACTGATTATTGAATAAATATTGTTCAAACTAAGATGTAGTCATGAAACCTAAGTATAAATTATATAAGCTTACTATATTAATTTAACAACAATGGTGAAGTTATATGAATGTAAACTAGAACTATCCCCAGGATGGCTGAACGATACCTACTCACTCTCTGATCAACAACTGTTTCTCAGGGGTTGTCCTTATAACCCTCCAAGGTCTTCATTTGCTCACCATGGCAACACTTCTTGCTTTTTTTTCAAAAATTGTATCTGAATTTTTCATCCCCCTTAACCTTGATATAACCAATTTTTAACTTAATAATAATATCTTAATATCTTAATTTTCAACTCATCAGAAGTCTCCAAGATGTTTCCATAGCAATGGTTCTGGAAACACCAAATGTGTCAAGTTACAGGCATTGATAAGTTACATCGCCTGACCCAGTTACAATTGATGAAAGGATTGATGAGTTACGGCCATTACATACCTGTTCACATGTTTTTATAGTAACCTGGTTACTATGGCAACCCTAATTTCTGCTAGAAAAATAAACTTAATATACATCTACACATGGTTCCTAATATTCCTGTATAGTTTAACTGAAATTGGTTCACAGGTTTAGGACTTATCTCGACAAACTTTTTAAATAAAAACCTCTATACAGTGACCTGGTTACCATGGCAACCCAAATTTCTGCTGAAAAAATCCTGCATGCACATCTACATATAGTGGCAAACAATCCTGTAGAGTTTCATTTAAATAGCTTCTCAAGTTTAGGAACCGTCCAGCCCACCACAATCACTTAATATGTACTGATAAAAGGTCGTCAAAAACCCTACTGACATCACCTGTTACAATGCCTTTAGTCGCAGGGACCTCATCGTTTACTCCTTCATACAGTCTGTGCATGTTCTTTGTAGTCACAGATGTCTGTAAGGTCTTTCTGGTGAGGTGGGCTTAATAAAAAGAAAAAAAAATCTTAAATTACATTCCAATAAAATATTTTGTTGCAGATGAAAAGATCAATTGATGTTGTTCACCTGAGTACTAAAATAAAATGTATGTAAACTGATATATATAGTAATTACAGAAACTTACACACAAAAATTGATATGATATAGGCAAGTCTGCCTAACAACAAGTACAAATTGATCAATGTAAGGTGCACATTTATATATACATTTGTAGATGTAAATCTCCCTAGTGTTTGGCTGCATTAGGCCTATGGGACTCATATAATGTGATTTTTAGTATATTTTTTATGTAACCATTGTTTTAATGTTTAGAGTATTTTTTAAAAGTTTTTTGTGTTGGCGCAATAAAGGGACATATTGCCTTGAAAATTTGAAAATTAATTTTGTCAGCACTGTCTATTTAGTGTATTATTTGAACTGACTGTTTCCTGGCTTCACTCACATAGTTTGTACATCATTTTTCACAAACATTAGAATTAAATTAAGACCCAAGTCCATTCTGCTACAAAAATTCCAACAACTCAGCTGTTTAAGGCAGATCACATTTTCAGTTTGTTGGTCTTTGTTCGGTTTCTTCACCACTGTTAATTTCTACCTACATAACAATATTGTTAAGTGCTTGCTCTAGTCAATATAGATTATATAAGATAGATAAAACAAGAGACAAAAAAAACCTAAATAGCACCAGTCTACACACTGTCCAATACTATCCATCCCTATAGAGAGGCCATTGGTGACACATTTGTAAACCATAGAAAAAGCTGTCATAAAAAAGTTGCAAATATATTTCACTAGTAAAATCAACTTATTAATGAATGAATTTCAAACCACAAGTTTTAACTGAAAGCCCTCATTGTAGAAGTGTAGAAATTGAATAGGACCTTGCTTATTTGCAGGAAGTTTATTCAAACTATAGGGTAAAACCAAATTTAATCTAAAAATGACCCCATTTTTAAGATACTCAGCACAAACCCTGAAACAACATCAAAATAATCACATTATTAATGAATGCAAGGTACATGTTATTTAAATCAAGTGATACCGTTACAACTGTACCTATATTTAGTAGATAATCTGTGGTTCCTAGTAATGGTTCCAACAAATAGATTGTGAAATTCAAAGTTTTCCTGCTGGAATGCCATGACTATTCTGTAGATGTTATTATCAGACAGGTTACATGTTGAAGGAAAACACCTGAATTCACTGTTCTAGTATAGGATAAACAATGATAATGATTTATAGTGCCACAGCGGCCATATTTACCTCTGAATGAGTCAGGAATTTACCTGTGTAACGTGCTATCTGGCTAACGTCAGTTGCCTGATGTCTTGTTCAATGCAGACTTCACTGTGACCTATCTTTATCTGTATGTAGAGCATGTCTTTATGATATGTCACACTCTAATTCCACTGTCTAATAAGATGGTGTACCACTAAGGTAGCTGTCATGGCTGAGTAAATACAATACACCCTAATATTCAACCCAGTGCACAGGTTCTTGCATCATCTGTCAATGCAGTCATTCACAAATAAAATAACAGTGCAGGAGTGTACTGACATACCAGACAAGAACCTGTACAAAACACAAGCTCTATTCTGATGACTTATGAAGCTGATTACATTTATAGCTCTATAATATCTTATCTAATATTCCTGTATAAATAACTAGTACATTGTATATATTATACTTATATTTTGATACAGTTCACAGAAAGAATGACAGACAGAATGTTACACTTACTATTTATAAACACATACACCAAAGGTAAGTGTTTGGATATATATCAAGCTGAAAAATAGGCCAGTGTTGAGATATATGTCACCCAGAATAGGACAGTGTTGAAATAAATATATACATGGCACACAGAAAAATGGGCCTAACAGCTCCAACTGACAATGTACAGCATACAGACCTAAGATTTTTTTTATAAACAACCAGAGGTAGAATTTAAGTTGTTTTTCCAGGAAGACAGATGGGCTTGTACATCCTGAAATTTATTAGCCCTGGGCAAATGTTACTAGCCCAGAATTTTCATACATTTTTAAAAAAGTATTAAAAGAAACACCAATACGAATAAGTATTATTAAGAGTTTAATTCAACACTGACTAGATGCTACACTCATAGAGATACTAAGTACACAACATGATCTGAATGTCAAGGAAGTTTGTCCAGATAATCTAGATCCATTTCTGTCCAAACATCCAATGCATCATGATTTTCCTCAACTTGTCTGGCTCCATGTGGGTCTTGAGGAGGTCTCCTTACTCTCTAAGCTGTTGTGTTCCAAAAATGAACAGCATCAGTAGGGTCATACTCTTTAATAATGTTTGTATGGAACATGACAAAGAGCAAATCGGACAGAACATGTGGTCTCAGTCTTGACTTCTAATCACCTTTGACTAATTACATTTCTGAAAAGCCTGTTTCAGCATCAGCTGAATGAGCTGGTAAGGTAAGCATTAAGTCAATCAAGGCCTGGATATTAGTGCAGTCTTTTTACTGCCTGTTGATTATCTGCCCGTCTAAAGAGGATAGATCTTTGCAGCTGAAATAGATTATTAAAAAGATACTTTCAAAATACATATAGAAAGAAATATTTTAATATCATGATTCAGAGTTAATGAAATAAAATTTTCTTTATTTGATAGACTAAGAACAAAATCAGTTATTTTTGGAGTGATTTACTGAAATTTAAGCATTAACAACCTCTTGTAAACAGTACTTCTCATTAAGTCCCATTCCATTTCTATTGCATTGACATTAACACCTGCTTCTATCAACACAGGTCTGTAGTGGTCGACCAACAAAGAAATCTCATCATCACCAAAATATGAAAGATATTATTTATTTATCATAATTAATGTGTATTAATTATTTTTGATTTATTAATAAATATTCTCTGTCTCATCAACATAGATAAAGAATTCAATTTAACCTGATGATTTGAAATTAAAGCCGTTCATTATTTTTTAAAAGGAAATGTCAGAAACTAACCTGAACTGTTTGCTTTATTAGGCCAGATTTTGATTTTTGTAATCTTGCATGAAGCTATTATTCATACTATTCCATCCACTGAGAAATGATTTTGCAAACAGGTGATCAGGACTGATGTGATTGTGTCTCTGCTGCTCTCAGTGGCAGCTGTACAGAAATCCATTCCAGTCATGGTAGCTACGCTTTCCAACTGCCTGAGATGAGGTCCATCTTGGCAATCTTTATGCAGAGTTAATTAAACTGTCATTTTATTTCTTAATAATGCTCATTGGAAATTCTGGAATTAAATTAAAAAATTACTGCTACATAGTTATTTTAAAATACCTATTCTGTGAGAAATCTTGATGTAGACTGGTAAAAGACATGATTTTATTATTAATTTAAATATATCAATTCCATAATGGCATTGTAATTAAAATTTAAAACAAAAATTACTTGGTCAGGTATTTCTTCAAAATAACACCTGTAGCATCCAGGTTATGGTTGATGTCTGCTACTGCAGAATTAGAGTCTTGAAAAATAAAGACTGTTTTCCAAGCAGTGTTACTCGTAAATAGCATAAACTTCACTATTACTGAATCATTGTGCTAAGATACCTTTTATCCTTTCCTTGTGTATCTACAGAGGCATCCTTTTGATGTTTCACCGAGAAATAATGGGGAAAGAAATCAATAAATTGGCCTGTAACTGTAAGTCTTGCTTAAAATTTGACTCTTCAATCAAAAGATTGTCAATTTTGGATATAATAAATTGTACTGAGATGTTTAAAATCAATTTAATAATTTCATGTTATTTTTTTTTAGTGTAATATAAAGAAATAAAAGATTTACTCTAGAACAGTTTAATAACTCACCTGGTCTAAATGTGTTCTGATTACAGTACAGCCTGTCCAGAAAGCTTCAAGTGTCCTTTCTGTATGAGGTAACCATCTAGTTCCCGTAACTCTGCTTGGCTTAATAAATGGTTTAATAGCAAGGGCCTCATATGCTCTTATAAGATTTAATGGACTGTTGTGAGTCCAAGTAGCAATGTATTCATCTTTGTGTATATGAGAATATTTTTAATGGCGTTCTTGTAAGCAAGTTCATGGTAATGAACAAATCAATGTATGCCCTGTAAGGTAGGTTGTATTTCCTGGAGTTTAGCTGCTACTTCTCTCTTCCTATCCATCATCGCATTTGTACCATCACTTCCAAATCCAACAATTTTCTTCTGCCAACCAGTTATACCCAAGCTATCTAATATGTGTGTAATAACCTTCATACTACCATCTGCTTCAGCTCTCTCTGGAAATCAAATAGCTAGAAAATCAAATTTGATTACATCCATTTTGCAGACTCTAATATTCTTCCTGAATGTGTCTGTACAACCATCGCATATTACAGAAAAAAATTAAGATTCATGGGCAAACTGGACCTACTTCCCGCGTTCATTTTCTGCATAGTTTACAACCTGTTTGTCGTCTCTGTACGTATTATCCACATCAGCACCTTTCACTTCTTCTAGTCGCATAATCACAAGTCGTCGATGAACGGACGTCGATTTTTAATGACTGTGTGTACGTTTCTGAATAAAGTTTTAAGTCTGTTCAGTACAGCAGTGTTAGTATTAGTTTCTAATACCTTTGAGGCCACAGACTTTCCTGGACTAGCATGCTTTGCTTGCCAGCAACCAAACGCCTCCTTATGCTGTCCACTCCCTTCATGTGCCAAAATTGACTCTGTTTTGAAATTTGTACATTCTACAACATAGATAGATTTACGTTCGGTCTCCGTTGACGCAAACTGGACATAACACTTGAGAAGCATCGCTGATTCGTCTTCATTTAATATAAGCCAATCCTGTCTATTTTTCCAAGAAGGGAGGAATTTTCTACTCCTTTTTCCTTTTCATATTCTTTCAATTTTTCCTTTTTTTCATTTTTATTTTGTCGGTTTTTTTAGATGTGGGACTTACACCATTTTTATACCACCACATTGTCAAGTCTTGATCTTGGTTATACAAACTAATCAACAATAAACAATCAGGTATACAAACTAACACATGGAGGATATAATAGGGCTGTCGTGGAGGATTTCCTGATACAAAACAATAACAAGATAACAAGAGTTAACACAGTTTTCCACTATTAAAAAGAAGGAGCAGACTAAATCTGAGGAAATGAACTTTCTGTGAACGGGTGGTAAACCACTGGAATTCACTTCCTAATGTCGTTGTAACGTCACCACTAATCAAAACTTTCGTATCCTGATTTGATAATCATTGGAGGGAAACTGAATGTGTTTATAATCATGAACTAGACAATAACACACTGATCCATATTCTGGATACTAATTCTTTAAACTGATCTGTCTATATAGGCTTAATAAGTCTGTGTCCAGTATATTAGTATTATTATTATTATTATGTACAAACGCATTACTGACCATGAATTAAACCTTTTAATGACCTAGATTACAATACATTATGCTGGTTTTCTGCGCATGATAGTGGGGCATGTTTTAGTGCCCCCTGGCGCAGAGAACCAGTGTACAAATACTGAAACCCCTTTAGGCCTAATTGATTCAAACAGAAAAATGGAATTCGTCGGTACATGGTCGATCTCCTTTTTTATGAACACAGAGGCCATTATGATTTTTTAGAAACATTGAAAGCTTTAATGGTGAGTTCTAATATTACTAGGCCAATCAGACTGGTAGAAATGAGTATCAATTAGCCCATGGTAATTTACACTAACCTGGGCTACCGAGCTATCAGGCTACAGCTAATTTCCAGCCCCAACAATGCACAGTGCACAGACCTACCCTACCAATGTTCCAACCAACATGGTAGAGTGTACAGACCTAACTATGTTCCGACTGGCAAGTTACAGCATATAGACATTGTTCAACAAATGGTTTCAACTGATGAGGTACCATGTATAGATCTACACTGTTCCGACCAACAAGGTACTATGTATAGACTTAACAGTTTCAACTTACGAAGTACTGTGTATAGATCTACACTGTTCCGACCAACAAGGTACTATGTATAGACTTAACAGTTTCAACTTACGAAGTACTGTGTATAGATCTACACTGTTCCGACCAACAAGGTACTATGTATAAACCTAACAGTTTCAACTGACGAGGTACTGTGTATAGATCTACACTGTTCCGACCAACAAGGTACTATGTATAGACTTAACAGTTTCAACTTACGAAGTACTGTGTATAGATCTACACTGTTCCGACCAACAAGGTACTATGTATAGACTTAACAGTTTCAACTGACGAGGTACTGTGTATAGATCTACACTGTTCCGACCAACGAGGTACTATGTATAGACTTAAAAGTTTCAACTGACGAGGTACCATGTATAGATCTACACTGTTCTGACCAACGAGGTACTATGTATAAACCTAACAGTTTCAACTGACGAGGTACTGTGTATAGATCTACACTGTTCCGACCAACAAGGTACTATGTATAGACCTAACAGTTTCAACTGACGAGGTACTGTGTACTGTGCACTGTTCTGACCGATTTTGATCCATACAAAGGGGGGCTGGGGAGTGAAAATCAGGGAAACTCCTGACTGAATCAGTAAAGTTGGCAGGTATGTCATACTACTGGACATCAAAAATGGTATCTACCAAGTAATTAGGATAGACCATGAACTTTATCGTCATTCTGACATTACCGACAAATTCACATAAAATGGAAAAAGTAAATCAGAAATGTCACAATGATTATCATTATCGTAATTTTGACGTCACATTTTGATGAAATATTTAAACATGTTCTCATAATAAATTTTGTCAATGCCAATTCTCTGCCTCAGCCAGAGAGATGGCCGCCATCTTTGGGAAAGCATCAGAATTCATGAGTATATCAGGGATGAGATTGTGAATTTTTTTTCTTTTAAAAAGATGTGTTACATAACTATTAGTTAAGAATGGTTGATATATTATGCCCTAACAATTGTGGATACTAATGTTTAGCAAGAGGAATTACTTGATTAGAATTTACATTGTCAAGATATGACAGGATTTAATTGTACATACACGGGTTACTATCTGACATAAACTACGGATAATTTAGTTTGATCGGTGAAGTGACGGACCAGTAAGGCTGTGGGTCATGGGTTCGATACCCAGCAGAGGCATGCTTCTCCATCCGTTGGATGCCTTAGACCACTCAAGACGTAATTACGTTATACTAAAAGAGACTAAAACAGACTGAAAGGCTTCGCTTGTGTAAGAGAACCCACGCCGATGTAGTGTGCGAGGGTGAACACAAGAAGAGGGGAACTTGGTGTGACAGGTTTCACTTGTCCGAAGAAACTGTTGAAGAGGACGAGAAAAGATATGATATTTAAAGAAGTAAAGTATTGTGTATATAAAGTGAAAGTACAAAAAATGGTCTTTTGTACGGTATGAATTTGGTACACGACCCTACTAGTCAATAAAGATGTATCGCTTTACCTGTGACTGACAGCCTCTCCAGCCTCCGTATACACACAAGTGATGACTTCATGGTATTCAAGGGAAGTAAGTTTTTCTAACCAATGTTTGCGTGGTAACACACCACAAAATCTGCCTTGGAAGTCTGTGGCCAGACTGAGTGAGACGTACGTCTGTCGTGCTGCTTTTCTGTTTTACCCGGCGGAGATTCTACGTGGAGCTGAAATATATCTCGCTAATGCATGGGTAGTTGACTGACTTATCGGCTGCCTTGAACTTTCAAAATCACAATTGTTTGCTTGGGTGTTCCGCTTCACTGCAGTCACGTGTGAATGCAATTATCGGTTCAGACTATGACCCGCCTAGTTACCGCTCATTTCCCCACATCTCCCTAAACCTCCTTCTCTCTCTCTCTCTCTTCTCTCTCTCTCTCTCTCTCTCTCTGTCATTAATTAACTATTAACTAATTACTGCGCACTCGGACCTGGTTATTTTTTAATCAGCGCAAAATTGTGTCAGGCATTCGCTTATCAAGTCCCGGACGCCACACTATGGTACTATACACATGCACTTTTAGCAAACTTAGTTTACATAACATATGATTAGCTACGAGGACAATTTAATGTAGTGATGCGTTAAAAATACGGAGGTTTACTCTCACAAGGTGGCTGTTTCTTGTGAGGTAGTAATTTTCTAAACTTATTGGACTCAATGACAGAAAAGAAAGCGGAAATGATAAAGATAAATAAGCTTGTCTAGAGACGTAAATTTTTATCTCAGTATCGTGTTTGCCACTAATGATAACTATCCTGTCCAGGTACGTTTCATGTGTTGGACTACTGGATGGGATACTCCGCCTGCACCGAGTGATCACACAATGTCAAGGCCTTGGGTTTTACAACATTTTGTGACCTCGAGGGTAAAATATTATCCCATTCTTTTCTCTCAACTTTTATGAAAATATTGAAAAAATGTAAGCTCCAGACGTCGGCAATGTACTACCATGGACGTCACATATTACACAAATATTATATTTTTCATTGTTAACCAACATGTTGAGATAGACATGAATTCTCCTTACCTAGATTTCAAAATTAAAACAAAATATAAACAAATGCACGATTTTGTAACAGCCGATGACGTCAAATTGGGAAGGGACACGTCATATTTCTACGCGTGCGCGCCTATATTGCATTGATGGGAATGTAATACAAGAACAGAGAACCAGTGTGTATTGACCTGGAGATACCAGTATTACACAGCTAGAAATGAAAGAAATAAATATTATGATCACTCGGTTAATAACACATAGCGACTGGAGGTTCCCATTATGTTATTGTTTCAATTGTGACGTCATAATTCCATGACGTTGTTGAGCACGAAAAGAGTCACAGATTGAAAATATTAGTCCAGTCTAACAATTAATTACACAGTTTGTTTTCACTAATGCTTGCAAGTGAAATGAGGCATTGGTATTATGAGTTTATACTGTGATAAATCCGTATGATATCTATGAAACGCGCCACACTCGTTCACCTCGCCGTTAGGTATAATCTGGAGACGCGTATCATAAACCTCATATGGAAAGCAGTGTAATAGCTTCTATAAGGCACTTCTTCAGCTCATTCGGTAGAGTCTTAGTCGAGAAAGCCTGGGGCCCTGTTGTCGATTATCTTTATTGTCGCCATCATTATAGGCTTTACTTTAAACATATTTCATTGACATAACCAATGGGAGAGTGAGTACGCGACTTGTCTTTCGTCTGCAGCATGCCGTCCGTCTCTCCAGAAATATTCAATTCTTGTTATCATGATTTTTGTCATCTTTCTGAAACTTAGTAGGCTTTTCTTTGTCTTACATAGGCACGTGGACAAAGGCGGCCATCTTGTATTTTGACTGTTAAAGTTTTTTTTCTACTTTTCGAATTTGAAATCAGAAATATTCTGACTTATATCTCAGTGTTTGTAATTTCCATATATTGGGAGAATGACATTAATATCCTGTTACTAAAGTAATCTTTTTGTTACTGTTTTCTTGTCAATTGAAAGTTAGAAGGGAAAAACTCTGTTCCAAAATAGACGCTTTTAAGGTATATAACGTAACTGGCATTAAACGTTAGACACGTTTATAGAACAATGCTCGAGACATGTACAGGGTTTTTTTTATCACGTATGTAATGCGTGTCATTACATATTTCAATGCCTTAAAACTTATCAAAATATAATTTCTCTGAGTTATGTGGTAAAAAGTATCTTCAAGTTTCATTTCATATGACGTGCAAATATTAAAACTTCCAGACTCGCTTCATAAAATACATTTTTATCACGTATGTAACGGAGGTAGTTAATTATATCAATGCCTCCGCTAGGATTCGAACACGGGACCGCCGTGGCCTACAACCGATCAAGTCAAAGAGGTGCGGCTTGTACCTTACTGGGGTTACACATAACTGACATGGCACACTATTGAGACTTCGGAATGTTTTTACGTAGGTCACTAGTTTAATAACCTTAAAACTTTCGTTTTTCATTGGCTACGCCTGTTGGAAATAGATCTTAACGTGATGATATGGACAATTAAATTACGTCATAAACTGAACCGCCACGTTTTTACTAAAATCTGTCAAAATTTAACTTTTTCGGGTTATATGATGAACAGTATCTTAGATTTGTTTTCATTTTATATGATAAGGCGAGCAAAAAAATAATATTAACTTCGAGACTTGTTTCATAAAATCTCATGAAAAAGTCAAGAGATCACACATTTTTTACAAGTTTGAAAATTGCATGGATTTCTATAAAAAATTTCGATTGGAGATGTAAATTTGTATCAACTGTTCGAGGAGCTAAAAAATAAGGGCTTCAGACTTCCCATAGATGCGTACAGCTACCATCCCACGGTGTATACGTCACTCTGATAATCCCGAGACCGTGGTGGCGGTCCACTATATGTACCGACGTCACCCGAAGGCGGAAGTAAAGTCACCCGGTACCGTGTATTACTTGTCACTCATCATCCATCAAACTAAAGGCGGGTGGAATCCGAGGCGCTAATGGGGAAACCAAAATTTAAAAAAAAATAAGACTAATGTTAACAAAAATATATACTTTCGTTTTCTGTTCTTGAAAATTATTTGTTAATTAATTTCTATGAAAAACGAAAAGGTATTTAACATCAGACATATCTCTCCAGGAATCATTAAGAAAGCTGATTTCAATTGATGACTGTACAAATATGTGCCAACTTACTGGCGATGAGCCCCCTTGGGTTACCCGGAACTGTATGAAATTTATATAGCCTGTGCACTGTTTAACAGATGCTGGTAAGAGAGTAGTATATAGTGATATTGAAAAGTCGGGGCTGGTCCTCGACTAAAGGCAAATGTGGAAATACAACGGATTTTGACAAAAAGACAGCATTGTGAACGAGTATGGATAAGTTTTGTGTGTGTTTAGTTCTGGTGGCGTGTGCTCTAGCCACTGTGGAATCATACAGTACCGGAGTACCCAGAAAAGGATGTAATTTAAAGAAACCATACCATATACGGAGAAATTTTACTGACTGGAATTGGGAATATGCTCCTCAATTTTCGACGCCACCGTTTCGTATATTAACAAATACTACAGTTATAAAGCCTGGTGATGCTGTGGAAGGTTAGTACGGGACTTTCTCCAACAGGAAGAATATAATTAATTATTTTGAAAATTATTATGTATTTCTTGACTATACCTAAATATTTCAGGAGAACCATATCTAATTCATTTCAGGTGTTTTCACGGTTTAAAAACATTACACAAAAGAATCACTAAGTTCTATAGAGATCCAGCATATTGATGTATGTCGTCACATTACATAGACACCATACTTACATATACCGTCAGATTACATCGACACCATACTGATGAATGTCGTCACATTACATCGACATCATACTGATGTATGTCGTCACATTACATCGACACCATACTGATGTATGTCGTCACATTACATAGACATCATACTGATGTATGTCGTCACATTACATCGACATCATACTGATGTATGTCGTCACATTACATCGACACCATACTGATGTATGTCGTCACATTACATCGACACCATACTGATGTATGTCGTCACATTACATAGACATCACGTTACACTGACTTATCATGATGTATGTGTCACATTACATGACTTTTATCATGAAGTCATGTGTCTATTTCTCGATGTATGAGTTACACTGACTTATCATGACACCATACTGTGTATGTCGTCACATTACATCTGACATCATGATGATATATGTCGTCATATTACACTGACTTTTATCATGAAGTCTGATGTGTCTCATGTCGTCACATTACATCGACACCATACTGATGTGTCTCATGTCGTCACATTACATAGACATCATACTGATGTATGTCGTCTCTTACATTACATCGACATCATGGACTGATTATGTCGTCATTTCTCTTACACCATACTGATGTGTGTCGTCATATTACATGACGACACCATACTGATGTATGTGTCACATTACTTTGACATCATACTGATGTATGTCGTCACATGTACATCGACGAATTACATGACTTATCATGGATGTCGTGATTATGTACATTTCTCTTACCATTACTGATGTATGTCGTCACATTACATCGACATCATACTGATGTATGTCGTCACATGACGTTACACTAACCTTTATCATGATGTCGGTGAGTGTGTCTCACTTCTCGAGGACAGGGAGTTACACTGACTTTTATCATGAAGTCGGTGAGTGTGTCTCATTTCTCTTAGACAGGGGGTTACACTGACTTATCATGGAGTCGGTGAGTGTGTCTCATTTCAATTTGACATGACGTTACACTGACTTTTCTCATGGAGTCGGTGAGTGTGTCTCATTTCACTTTGACATGGCGTTACACTGACTTTTCTCATGGAGTCGGTGAGTGTGTCTCATTTCACTTTGACATGACGTTACACTGACTTTTCTCATGGAGTCGGTGAGTGTGTCTCATTTCACTTTGACATGACGTTACACTGACTTTTCTCATGGAGTCGGTGAGTGTGTCTCATTTCACTTTGACATGACGTTACACTGACTTATCATGGAGTCGGTGAGTGTGTCTCACTCCCGTTGACAGAGAATTACAATGACTTATCATGAAGTCGGTGAGTGTGTCTCTTTTCTCGTGGGCAAGAATTTTCACTGACTTATCATGACGTCGATTGAGTGTGTGTCACTTCTCGTGGGCAAGAATTTTCACTGACTTATCATGACGTCGATTGGGCGCATGTTTGTCAAAACTTGTGGTCAGGAGTGACTTAAGACGAGTGTAGATGACCGGTGCTTGTCCTGACTTCCTTTGCCATGTTCACACGATGACCTATGAGTCATATTTCATTCCAAACACCCATAATAACTAAACACGCCCCTTATCTCTGACCTGTTATTTCATTCTATTTTACGGATATTTACAAATTATTTTTTCAACTTTGCCTTCAGTCGTTTTGTATAAGTGACAAAATCAAACTTCAAATTTTAGCAGTATCTTTATTATTGAAGATCTAAAATACCAGTGCCATCCAAATATAGAATTCAGATTACTTTCTATCACGAATAAATTCGCGCCAAAAAGAGAATATACTCGTCAGAGTATTCTTTTAACTGCCTTGTTTCATGATTTGTTCAATATCTCGAGGTTTTCATTAACGATGACGTCATCGATTACGCGGGGCCTTCGGCTGTGAAGCTTGCCGACACGATACGTGCTAACTGCGTACCCTGCGGCTTGTTTGTATATCATACTATGACTGTTCAATTTTACCTCGGACGACCTCCGAACTGTGATGACCAGTTGAAGTACAAATAACTCGTAAACATTCGCTATGTTGCTATGTCACTTATAGCCGTTATAAATGCCAAAGTTTGTTCAGGCAACTATAGCATTTACATTCCCTACACATCGTGCTGTTTTATACCATTTTTTAAAAGTTTGATTAAAATTAATTATTCATCATCGGTAGCGATTCCGTCGCATTTGGGGTCATTTCAAAACATGAAGATATTGCCATGAACATGATATTCAAACATTGTTTAAGATCACAAACAAATATCTCTTTGGTAACATTGAAACTGGCGTGTGAATGATGCATATTAAGCCTGATTAATTTTCACTTTTCTGGCAAAAGTAGAGTAGGATAAAAATAAGTATACCTTTCTCAATCGATTGGTATCATTTTGTAGGCCCTTTTAGAAACAGAAAATATATCACTATATAGCTCCAATATCAATATTCGTTTTATCACACGACCGTGTTTTGGTAACGGAACTATTGTAATAACACGTTTGATAGAATCGACCCAATTTCTCTTTAAATCCCTAATGTATTTACTTGTCTTGGTTAAGGAAAAATTCTTCTCAGCAGAAATGTGACAAGTGTTGTGGTAATCACGTGACGTATATATTGTTACATTTTTAATCATTTCGTCCAATTCTGAGTATAAATCGGTCAACCAATAGAATAGAAGTTCTTACTTCACAACACGTAGAAGATTTAAGTGTGAAGCTTCGATGACTACAAAGCCACTTTAATCAGTGTGGAGCGTACAAGCACTGGCGTACATATTGTGCGAGACATTTGTCGTGTTCTGTAACCGCGTTAGATGTAGCACATTTGTCGTGTTCTGTAACCGCGTTAGAAGTAACACATTTGTCGTGTTTCATAACCGCGTCAGAAGTAGCACATTTGTCGTGTTTTATAACCGCGTTAGAAGTAGCACATTTGTCGTGTTTTATAACAGCGTTAGAAGTAGCACATTTGTCGTGTTTTATACCAGCTTTAGAAGTAACACATTTGTCGTGTTTTATACCCGCGTTACAGCGTTAGAAGTAGCACATGTGTCGTGTTTCATAATCGCGTTAGAAATATCACCTTTGTCGTGTTTCATAACCGCGTTAGAAGTAACAACACTTGTGTTCTAGAACTGCGTTCGAGAGTTTCATCAGTATTACCCGTCTATGTTTGCCGGGATACATAGAGTTCATTTTACAGTGTACTGGGAAACAAACAATATTACAATGGGAAATGTAATTATTCTTTCATTCCTGAGTCATTGATATCTTTAAGTGTCTAAGCAAATCCATGCGAATCTCGATCATTGTTTGGACGCTACCAAGTCAATTTTTCGTCTTTCCCGATACTGAAAATAACGAAACGTTTCTCTTTCAACAGTGACAATTTCACCAAAGACGAGACAAGATGCCTTCAAAGGGTTCTTCTTACAAGTTGTTCCCGAGAAGAGTTTGTTCGACTTTCCGCGCGGGACGTGGACAGCGGACGGTATGGCACGCCCCTTCCGGTGTCAAATGGTGGACGGCGACAGCATCAGTCACGCGAACAGTCGCTGGAAAGGAAACATTACAATGATATGGCACGCGCCAACCGAATTCAAGGATTTAGAGGACAATCTGGTTGTTAGGTATGTATTCATCTTACTTCAACGGTGCTGAAATAATCAATCAAATTTACGCTTCATATTGTTTTTATTTTATATTCTATAAAGAGTCCTGATCATGGTTGAAGAAAACAGAAGTGGAGTTAATTCGTTAATGTTTCTATTGAATTTTAAGTTTTGATGGTCTCCTTTTTAAATGTTTCTCTTGTTCTTTTGTTTCATCGAGTTGAGCCTGAACTAAGATTCGACTGACTTGCATTGTCATTATTTTCTTTATTGATTTCCATAATTTATCAGTATTTGAACTTTTCTTTCTGTATTATATCTCTTAATGAGTTTTGGATTACTCATCCCAACCTTTCATTACAGAGGTTCTATTGTCCGTACATATGACGAATACTGGGAAAGTGTCCAATCAAAACCTTTGATGATAGATCGTAAGTCTTATTATTTGTAACCAATTTGAAATACCGAGTACCTTGTGATATACATTTAACATAGTTAACAAACACAGTGAAAATGGAAATCGCCCTTTGATTGAATTAAGTTAGTAAATAAATAAATGAATATGGGCTGACGTTACTAAGATATGAGATCATTTCTTAGTTTTTGCCCCTTTAAATTCTAGTCATGAACTTGGTGTGATAAGACATATCATCGTTTGCGAGTTACGACATTGATGAAACCCGTAACAAATGCGATCCAACAAATCAGACAAAGAAATACATATTGCTTCTGTACCTCCAGAATAATTTCTTTATAGATTGAACGTCAAAATGACCCAAGTTTACAGTTTTTATTGCCGTTTAATTTGTTTATCTTAATCGTTTTAGAAATTAAAGACTCTCCCGCCAAAAGTGATCTTCTTGCCCAGCTGGCGAAGGAGTTCGGGAGTGACAAGGCAGAACAGTTATTGGCCATTTTAGAGGTGAAGGTCATGGAGGATGACTTAGCGGGAATAACCTCTTCCTTAACGGCCAATACTGGGACGAGCAGCGCCACAGGTGGTGCTACTGGTGGCGCTACTGGTGGCGCGACAGTTAGCGCCACCACCACTGCGCCTCCACCTACCACGCCCCCACCACCATCAACCAACGTTAACAACAAAATAGAAGAGGTGGCTGACGGAGATGAAGGATTGCTATCGAAGGTCACTGGACTTGTCAAGAACCCTAGCATTCTAAATACAGTGAAGGGCCTTATGGGAGGAGGCAGCAGCGACAGTGGAGGCTTAGGCGGATTGGCCAGTCTAGCAGGAAGCGTCCTTGGAGGCGGTGGAGGCGGGGGAAGCGGCGGTCTTATTTCGAGCATGATCGGAGGTGGCGGCGGTGGACTTCTATCCAGCATGCTTGGTGGAGGAGGAGGAGGAGGCGGTGGTCTGGGTGGACTTACTAGTTTGATTCCAATGCTCGGAGCCGGTAAGATGTTGTCCGGTATGCTCGGAGGGGGAGGAGGCGGTGGAGGGGGAGGGCTACTTTCGTCTATCCTTGGAGGAGGTAGCAGCAGAGATGACGATGATATGTATGGAGGCTACGCGGGTATGCAAGGAGGCATGTTTTCCGGACAGCAAGGCATGATGGGAGGATCTTCCCAAGGTATGCTTGGAGGTGGCCAAGGAATGATGGGATTGGGAGGAGGGAGCGGAGCGTCATCTGGTGGTAACCCATTAGCAAGCATTCTGGGTAACCCTGGCGCTATGGCAGGTATATCGTCAATGCTGCAAAATATGGGAGGATCGTCACCAGGATCAAGTATAGGGGGAGGAGCAGGAGGCGGTGGAAGTCTCATGAGTATGCTTGGAATATCAGATCCATCAGGAGGAGGGGATTCAAGCAGGCCAAGACCGGAGCTGTTGGAAAATTCTCAAGGTACAAGAGCCCAGCCAGGACCTAACGCTGGTCTGAATAACGCACTCTCTCAGGTGATGGGCATGCTTGGAGGCTCAAGTGGGTCCGGCGGTCGGTCCAATAGCGCCTCCTCCCAGTGGTCGAACCAGGGCCAGAACCAGCAATATCAACAGGGAGGATATTATCCCCAGCAACAACAGTATCCACAACAGCAATACCAGCAGGGCCCTTACTATTCACAAGGTCAACAAAATGGTAATCAGTGGGGTAACCAGTGGCAACAGAACGGAAATCAATGGGGTAATCAGCCGGGATATAACGGAAATCAGTGGGGTAACCAAGGATCAAACGGTAATCAGTGGGGTAACCAGGGAAACCAAGGACCTAACGGTAACCAGTGGGGTAATCAAGGAAACCAAGGATCTAACGGCAATCAGTGGGGTAGCCAGGGATCCGGTGGAAATCAGTGGGGTAATCAAGGAAACCAAGGATTTAACGGTAATCAGTGGGGTAACCAGGCAACCCAAGGATCTAACGGCAATCAGTGGGGTAACCAGGGATCCGGTGGAAATCAGTGGGGTAACCAAGGAAATCAAGGACCAAACGGAAATCAGTGGAGTAACCAAGGGAGTCCGGCGCAGCCCTCGGGACCTGGCGGTAATCCGTGGGGAAATCAAGGACCACCCTCTGGAAATCAAGTTGACAATGGCGGACAACAGAACGCGTTTAATTTTCAATTTAGCAACCCAGATCAGTCAAACCAAAATGGTTTCCAGCAACCAAATAGTAACAGCCAACCCGATCCAAACCTATCGGGTGGTGGATTTGGCCTTGGTGGGAATACTGGTCCTGCAGGAGTCATGCCTATGCAACCAGCAAACAACATTCAAGACCCTGCACCACCTCCGCCATCTGGCGGTGGCAGTGGTTTCCCTTCAGGTGGTGCATTGGATAACCTCCTCAATGGCGACAGTTCATCTGGTGGTGGATTAGACCTGAATGGCCTGTTGAACGGCAATGGCGGAGGACTCGGTGACCTCTTTGGAGGAAGTTCGAGTGGTGGTGGTGGTGGTGGTGGTGGGGGATTGCCCGATTTGTCAAGTGTCCTCGGGAGTGATGGTAAAATAGATGCAGGTAATGTACAAAATCTCCTAAATGACCCAGGTGTTATGAATCAAGTGTCCGGAATGTTAGGATCACTTGGAGGCGGAGACGCTGGTGGAATAGGGAACATGCTCGGAGAATTAATGGGGGATGGTGGCGGAGGCCTGCAGGACATGCTCGGAGGACTTATGGGCGAAGATGGAGGCGGGCTTCAGGATATGCTTGGAGGCTTGATGGGAGGGGGAGGAGGAGGAGGGGGCGGTGGAATGGACTTAGGTGGTATCATGGGAATGTTAGGTTAAAACGAGTCGGTGCGATGTTCCATCAAAATTACGTAATGTTGAAATTGTACAAATCTCTTTTGGAACGATAAAACCTGAAAGCCAAATTATTGCTGATGAGTAAACACAATGTACAGTACAAAACTTACGGAGGAAAATATTTAAAGAGTTAAGACGAGCTGTGTCCTGTATTAATATTTCAAAACATTGATTTACATGTAAATATCAATAGATTAATGGGAAAGGAATTTTCATAAATTTTCTTTATTTCTCAAATTGTCATTATAGGAAAGATCAAGGTTACCGTCAATAGTAACGTTATGTGTTATCGGTTCATATTCAGACAACTTCAGACATACAATGTCCAGTGGAACTAAAAAGTATTACACCGAAAATCGTTTTATGATTCAGAATATTTCTAGTTGTACTTTCTCTTTGTTATTTATATGAATGTTTTTAAAGTTCTTTAATCCAAGATAAATATATATCTCCTATTATTTATTTTTATAATTAATAAAATTATACTGTTAAGTCAATGTAGTGCGTTTTTGATGTGACAATGATACATTATATTGATTAAATTAATCAACTTTTTTGTGAATTGGTTATTACAATACAAAGTCTTACAAATGATTGTCTTGATATAAAGCGGAAATAAAAATACCGAAGGCAATTCCTTTATTAATCTTTACTTTTCTGTATGTGTCATACGTACATATATCTGATTCCAGTGACTTTTTCTAATATGTTATTTTCATCAATGCCAATTTTATTGATGGTGATTGATTCGTAATTCCTGCTTGATAACGAAAACGGGATATCAAAAATAAGCTATCAGAAGAATCAACTTCCGGATATGAAGAACATGTCATTTTAGAAGGAGTAAGGTTGTCCATTCTACAGCAATAGGTGAACGGTAGCCTCTTGACAGAGAAGAGTAAACAGCAAGTTGACATACTCTCTGCACAGGAAAGAAAAGATTTACAGACGCTCGGCACAGGAAAGACGAGATTTACAGACGCTCGGCACAGGAAAGACGAGATTTACAGACGCTCGGCACGGGAAAGACGAGATTTACAGACGCTCGGCACGGGAATGACGAGATCGACAGACGCTCGGCACCGGACAGACGCGAATGACAGACTCTCGGAACACGAATGATGAGATTGACAGGCTCTCGGCACACGAGTGACGATATTGATACTCTCGGCACACGAATGACGAGATTGATACTCTCGGCACAGAATTGACGACATCGACAGACTCTCAACACAGGAATGCCGAGAAATTATAAGTGAAAAGACAAAACAGGAAAGAGAGGTAGAACGAAAAAGACATATTTCTGTAAAAGAAAGAGAAGTAAAACACGAAAAGAAAAATTGCGGCACAAGAAATTCAACGCGAAACGGAAAAAAGTCTTGGCACAACAGAAAGGTAAAATGTTATTAAAATATAATTTTCGGTATAGAAAAGACGAGTGAAATGCAAAAAGATGTATTTCCGTACAAGATTCAGAAATAAAAAAGACAAATATCGGTACAGGAAAGAGAAATAAACGCAAAAAGATATGTCTCCGTACCGGAGAGAGATATTTACAAAAAAATGAAAAGATAAATGTCGGGAAAACAGAAGCAAAAACCGAAATGACAAATCTCAGTACAAGATAAAGAGTAGTAAAACACGGAGAAACAACAGGAGAATCATCTGACCATGAGGATTTATGATATACTGGTAAAAGTAACAGTAGTAGTAGGAGGAGGAGGAACAATTATTAACTAAGTAAAACGGTTCGGAATACTTTAAGAATAAGTATATAATCAGCGATAATGTAGACTCTGTACTGGAAAGAGGAGCGTTCAAACTCTTGGCAAAAGAAATAGGAGAGTTTAGCGATGAATAGGCATACTTTCGGCACAGGAAAGAGGAGAATTCAACGACGAATAGGTAGGGAAGAAGATATTTCAACAGCAAATAGACAAACTATCAGCACCGAAAAGAGGAGAATGAAAGAACAACTTAGACAAACACTCGGCTGAGGAGAAAGAGGGATAAACTGCGAGTGTACAAGCCCCAGGTACGGTAAAGAGGACAGATAAAGCATGCATAGGTAAATTCTGTACTCATAAGGGAGAGGAGAGTTAGAAAGCCAATAGACAGGCGCCTGTCATTGCGATCCCATAGTGACTGAATGCCGAAGGGGATAAAGGGATGAACCGTATGATAAAATTAATCGTCGCACTATAGAGTTTTAGGGTTGAAAGGTCATGGTCACCGTTACTTCTTGTAGCAAATACCTAAACATCTCTATCAAGTTCGAGTTTCAAGCTTGTATGGTCATTGTCAGTGTTACTATTTTAAGAAAATCCCTATCAGCACTTTAGCAGCGTCATTCCTTGAGCTAGTACCATACTTAGCAAGGATAATAATGTCTCGGACCTGGTTGAGTTTCAGGGATACAGGGTCAAGTTCAAGTCACCATTACTATGTGTAAAAAAAACTTATCAATGTTCTAATGGCTTCATTGTCAAGATATTTTGAAAACATCGCATAATATAAATAAAAGGACCAAGATATTCCTAAATTAAAAATTTCAACTTCCTATTTAAGGCCAATGACAGTTTTTGAAAGTTCAAGTTTCAGTGTCACAGGGTCAAGGTTACTGTCACTATTTTTAGAAAAATCCCAATTAATGTTCTTATGGCTTCATTCCTCGGGGGAATTTAATCAAAATCATTTTGTCACCTTTAATTTTGCATCAGTCAAGGTTGAACCAAGAGAGAAATTGTATAATTTGTGCTGCCATGTTTAACAATGAAGCCCTGTGTATCAAAAGAGAAAGATTTAGTGTTACTATTTACCAGTAATCCTACCCTAGCTCATATAGTGATGCTATAATACATACATAGGGACTGCAGGTTGGGAAATCCTGCTGACTTCACCATAAACTTTACACTTTATTTAGCATTATCACAGGGATGTACATGTACCTTACAAGGAGCGTCTCCACAGCATCATACCCCTCTTGAATATGATACACAATAAACATATGAAAAGCTGATCTTAGAAAATAATTCAACTATCACCATATAACTTGGTACAAACATGTTGTATGATCATATGAACAAAATGACTTAATATTGCTAACTTTTATTCTGTCAATTTTGAGATTTTCTGAAAAGGCTTTATATTGTTTACAACAGCTTTTCAGTGGATGGTGACAGTAAGAGCTTCACTGAGGGTGTATCATCACAATAACATGTTATCAGAACACAATCTTTATTTCAACATTTTCATAAATGTCAATGATTTTGTCTATAAATAAATATGGGTACAAATTAATTAATGGCAAACAAGCATGACCACCATATTTCATTTCTGAACAGATCACATTTCATTTCTAATGAAGACTTCTGATCTGATTCACAAACAGAATTCAGTCTCAATAATAGGTGACCATAGTAAATCCTTGGTATTCTTTTTGAATCGTTCATAACAGTCAATATCAACTATTTTTTATGTCAATATTCATACCGTTAAAAATCCCATCAGAAATATTGTACATTGTCTGATTAGGTCCACACATGAACTTATCTACATATATCTAGTAAACTCAGTTCAGCCACATGATGATGTATGGCAGCCAATCACATGACAGGAAGTCATATGATGATGTATTGTAGCGAGTCATTTGGCAGGAAGTCCTGCAGACTGTCACAAGACAGAATCACATGACACTTTGCCCAGGAGTGTGTTCCTCGTCCACATGGATGCTGACAATGTGATAGCCAGGGATCATGGCCAATCCAAGAATTCTCGGATCTTCTTTCTTTCCACTGTCTTCAAATTCAAAATTGAAAATTTGATTGAATCTTGATTTGTATATATGTACATAAAAATATGATAGGTATTGGTTCTTTCTGTAAAAATAGATGAAATTGAAAATGTTTTATCAATAATAATTAAAATGATACAAACTATTAAATTCTTCATCAAACTGTCAATAGTATCATCACATGGATTTTTACACAACACATTATCCTGGGCTCTGACTAAGTGTTCTAATGGACTTTGACTAGATATATAGTCAACACCAATAAAACATTTTTTATAACAATGCTCAAACTTTTGTATTTAAACTGTCTCTGTATTGACATATACTCGCACAAATCTATACCTACAATATGGACAAGCTTGATCTAACGAATATCATAAGTTAGGTAAGTATGCAGGTCTGATTTTACATCTTTGTCCGTATCTAATATATATTGAAATACTTTTACAGTAATATATGTGCTTTACAATATGAACCACAGTTAAAAATTAATAGCATGCAAAGTATACTGTAATATATTAATTCTGAACAGCTACTATCTATAGGCGTCTTATTTGACATGTTTCAGATTCAAAAGACATAACCTTACAATTACTACTCCGCTGAGACTTAAATTTACTGCACTCATGATTACAAAGAGATGTCAACATAAAATCTTGGATAATCAGATGTTTGTCATGGACAACTCATTTTATAATTGATAATTAAAGTTATAAGAAAATATTATTATTGATTTTGTTGCGTGTGATCTGGAGACTGTAACCTTAAATGATATTCATCCATTTATGCAAGTTTCCATGAGTGGATTAATTCATTACCTGGTGATCGCAGGTACTCCTCACAGGAACCCAATATTACATTTCTGTCTCTGTCAGTACATAGAAATACACCTAGAGAAAGAAAATGAGGAAAACCAATACAACACAAGTAAAATTGCTTCAAAATTCACCCATAAACAAATGTATATAATATTTATAGAGCCCATTTAAATGAAAAAAAGACAGCTATATAATTGTAATAAACTGACATGGATAGAATGTGCTGTCTGCATCAAAAATGTACCCAAATTAGAAGGACATCCTAAATATTTTTTCTTTTCTTCAAAGGTTATTGTTACAAAATTACAACAGCCAACTTAGGTTTCAAGTTTGATGAACCAACTTAGAAATTAAGCAATTGTGACTACTACATACTATATATTGTATATTTTGTTACTCATTCTATTGAAGACCTACCAATAAGTGTCCGACCATCAGTCATTTGTATTTTCATGCCTTTGTTTAGCCACTTCTCCAATTTCTTCATCCCTTCGGACTTTTCCGCATCTTGATCCTATGAATTTTAAATAATGCTACAAACATCATACAAAAAAGTGTGTGCATGTTTCTAAATACTTCAACATCGAAATATAGATAGTGATAATGACATACATAGTTTTTGATTTCCATAAAAAAAAAGATGGGATGGGACATAGTACTACATGGTTATCTTGTAGTTAAGTTTACAGGTCCTCGTTGAAGGGAATTTCACTTTAGACGAGCAGTAGTGTCCAGCTAGAGACCGAAGGGTTGCTAGTTCGAACCCTAGCAGTGGCAGGTGTGTTTCATTATTCCTTCCCATTACAGATTTGGGGACGTTGGCCACTCCATGGGTAGAAACTATTAAATATCGAAATACTTCCATGGAGATGTTAAACCTGGTATATTGTCGTCTTCGGATTCAAAGAATTTGAAGGTGGGAGTAGTGAAACCCTTCTGGGATTCATCATTTATATCGGAAGTTTGGCAATATCCAATGAGGAATATAGTCAAACGTCCGATATAAACGAGTCCCTAAAAGGAATCCCAGAAGGAATTGGAGGTAGTGAAGAAGTTGAGAGTACAGGTCGCCTTACTAGCATCATATAATGGAAATTTCCATGTAGTCTAGCTAAGAGTGTCAGGCTAGAGACCGAAGGGTCGCTAGCTCGAACCCCATCGGGGGTAAGTTTTGAATCATTGACATGTCATTACTCCATCCTCATAAATGACCTAACTCTTCAAATTCAATAAATGAGTCGATCATGATAAGCAATAACATATATCGTAACAGTTCGAATTGTTTTGGGCAAATAACTACAACGAGAGCTCGTAGGTAAGTTTTGTTAGTTTTTTTCAAAACCGTTTCCTCACCTCCCCCGCCATCTTGGTTTTACGACACCAATATTACGGATCTGTCAATGACAAACGGAACAAAACGATATTTTATATTTGTTAAGAAGTCATATTTTGAATAATGAAATCAAACTAAAATAATAGGAAGTAGAATATAACTAAAAAGAATTATCATATACCTTTCAAATTGCATGCTTTATTAACTGAATGCGTACATTGTCCGCTTAAACTTCAGTTCGCACTTTACTTTTACTTCCGGTGTTGATTAGTTGACATTGGCAACAGTTGATTTCCCGTAGTTCGAATGGTCGATACACCGAAATGGGTCGGCCGAAGTATTTCACACCCTCTGAAGTTGCTGTACACAACACTGTAGATGACCTTTGGGTATCTTTCCTAGGAAAAGTGTATGATCTAACTCCACTATGTGAAAAATACAAAGGTAAGTTTGTAATCACACCGTTCATCGAATCGACACGTAGCATTGACTCTTGCAACCTGCTATGCCTCTTTATTCACTAACCAGATGTCTACTTCTCTCGCTTTGTATCCTTTAGATACGTAATTTCCCTGTATGTTATATTCCACGCAAACATAGATGATTAGCTACTCAGTGCCTCTGATGTGAATTCATAAACAAAATCTTGTGCAAAATAAGTAACATTATGACAGGGCACCAGATCATGTCGATCGTATTCTGATAAAACGTTTCACTGTTTGATGAACATGGCATACACTCAAATAGCTGATCCATCCAGATATCCAACTTTAGTATGCACAATCACCGAACATACACTCGCAGACCCAAGGCCTCACAAAAACATAACCTTTAGCACTGTCCACCAGTCTTGTAGGTATTTCTTTTATGTGTAACATTAAAAAATAATACACTCTCACACGCAACTCCATCCTCATATGACCCTTGCTGTTGCAAGGACAATACACTCTATACTGACTATCTCTCTGCGGTTTTATTTAGGTTCCGACCAAGCCCCCATCCCCACCCCAACCCAAACAGAAAGAAACGTTTAGATCACTTCAGATTATACATGTTTATGCTCTCTATAAATTGAGTCTTGTACAGATTTGAGGGGGACAAGACAGTCTCTTTTCCTAAATGAGTTGGGGCTATCATATTGATGATTACCTGAAGTTTCCTATAATCTGTCATTGATGTCTTTTATTTTCATATGGACCTTTGGCCTCTTTGACAATGTACCTAACAGAAATCATATTTCCCCCTTTTTTTCAAGTACAAGACAAGTCTTTTTTAGTTTTATTTGACGTGGCCAAAAAGGAGATCTTTAATGTGTCAAGAATAAAACTTAAAACCAGAAGTGTGCATTATATGACCTTTCCCCTACTCACAAATAACACCAGACACCAGAAATTAACACCATATGACATCACCCGAATAAAAAATAAAATTGAAATCAAAATTGTTCACCATATGTTTCACCCTACCTCACAAATAAAACTAGAAACCAGCACAGTGCACCATATGACCTCATCTCGAATAAAAAAATTACACTAGAAACCAGAATTGAATGAATTATTTTCAAATTGCATCAAAAAGTTTTGCACTTTCAACTTCCTTGTTCACATTTCTGATAGTTTCCTCACATCTAATAAATGTTTTTATGAATGACATTACACATGATGGGGTTAATTCAAGGAAGTACATTTTGGAGTGTTACTGATCTCATCACTGCAAACAGGAAACATTAATAAAATCTTTATATCCTGTGATTAACTACCACTTTGTTTTCTCCAGGTGATGTCCTCCTAAAACCAATCATCCAGTCAGCAGGAAAAGACATCTCACACTGGTTTAATCCTAAACTCAAAGATGTAAGCATGACTAAGGATATGATAGATTTATCATTGAAATGGATGTCCTCTATTTTTCATCGCTTTTCAGGAGTGCTAATATATTTGTATTGGTTAGAAAACATTGACACAAGTTGTAGTGATATTAGTTTGTAAGTCAGATACACATCATTAGAATCAATATGAAATAATATAAGTGAAATATTTTTAATGTATTTTGCTTGGATTAAATGTAAAAGTCAATATCAAGGGATGTTTTATCTGGTTTTCATGGATGTTTGTAACGTCAGAGTGGATTTATCTGGTCTAGTTGTTTATAACATTGGGGGAGAATTTATCTAGTCTGGTCTTTTGAAGTACATCAATTTTGTATGGGTTAAATTCCAAATTTAATGTCTGGTGAGGATTTATCTTGTGTGGTTGTTTGCAATGTCAGGTGAGGATTTATCTCATCTGGTTTATTAGTAATGTAGGGTGAGGGTTTTTCTCATCTGGTTGCTTGTAGCATTGAGGGAGGACTGATTTTGTCTGGTTGTTTGTGAGAATTTATCTGATCTGGTCATTTGTGACATTGGATGAGTATTTATCTGGTTTGGCCATTTGTCACATATTGGATGAGGTTTTTTCTCTGCTTCTTTGGTTGAAATAATGTTATACAATGCACAACATCTGGTCAACGTCATTCTGCTAGGTAGTGATTGGTATTTACAGATACTTCATTTAAATAAGCAGGTATAGTATATAGACAAGGTTATAGTTTCTGTCTCCTTCAGTGTTCCAATTAACTTTTCCTGATTAAAACCTTGAGGAATGACCTGGATAATTCCATTATCAAGACCTGAGCAAGCTTTACATCTCAAGGCTGATGTTTTGCTGCAAATTGTTATGTACAAATGTAGTACTTTAATATAACTAAGAAAACTACAGCAGTGTATACATGTCTTTTTATATTTTTCAACTCTTGTACTTTCAGATCCGTACCCATGTTGATCCTCTGACAGGTTGTGTGATCCCCTATTGTCCAAATGGCCGATTTGTTCACATCCCTCCTCCATATCCAGACAGCTTTTGGGCAAATGACTTTGGTCGGCCATGGTGGAAAGACGAAGGATATCTCGTAGGAATATTGTCAAAGAAAACAAGATCCATCAAAATAATCAACACTTTAACATCACAAGAACAAGTTATAGAGGTAAGACTGTGGTATGTGATAGAGAAATATTTCTTTGAAACTTCACATGTTGAAAAAGTTTTGATTATTTCAATTTCCAGGATGAGCTAGCAAAATTTTGCATTCTTGTACTCTTTTACTAAAATCGCTATGAGGAATTTGATATAATTATTAAAGTTTATTTCAAAATTTTGCTTTATCATAATGCTGACCTGTTTTGCCATATAAACAAATGTATTGCATTGAATAAACTCATTATATGATAAATAAAATTCGCCTCAAGTCTTATACATGCATGTCATATCACTTTTATGAACTCTTATTTGTAAACATGACATAGTCACTCATTCCTTTAAAAATCACCAGGTATAATAGGTAACAGGTATTTTATATACGGGTTTGTTAAAAAAAAACTACCAGGTTTAATTGGATTATACTTTTTATATCCACAGGTGTGTTCAGAAGAGATAATGACAGAAATTTTAGACCGTTACATTAAATATAATGCCCACGCGGCAAGCTACACATGGAAATATGATGGCAGAAATCTGGACATGACCCAAACATTGGAAGATAACCAGATCCCAGACGAGGATGAGGAATTCTACAAACTCAGCATGAATGACGACACATTCCTACAAGCCATCCATTTGTACTTCAATGACGACCTCACAGAGGCGTAGTGTCAAGGACAAATTCCAAATACAAACATATCATCATGCATTGGCTGTAATATATCTCAGAACCAACTTGTGCATGTAGAAGGAAAATAATGTAACTTGAGATCAGACATTCATTTAAAATGTGAACTATTTAAAACTTACCACTCAAAAAATAAAAACAAAAATAAAAAAGCCCACGAATAATGTTTATAAGGTCATATATATTTGTATTTATATTGAGCGCCAAGAATTGATTGTACTTGTATCATCTCCAGCAGGACAAGAATAATCATTGTTATATATTCTTATAGATGTATGTACATGGCCTGATGTTACAATCAGATAACTGATATGTGGATTACTTCAGTTAACAGTTTAATTTCTGGGTTTATGGTAAAATGAATGCATTAGAGATATCAATGGTATCACTATGAACTTGTAATATTTTACTTCAAGGTAAACATCCAGTTTTATTAGCAAAAATTTATCATGGACTGCAAGTAAATTAAAAACAGTAATAATATTTGTTTCAATGCTACTATGAAAGTGGAAAGATCCAATTAATCGTATCAAGATATGTACATTCAGAAGTCACATGGAAATTCAGTGATATAGATTTCATACATGTATGTATAAAGGTGAAATTGGTATTCAATACAGAAGTCACTTGTTTCTACTAGGATTTCTAAGCATTGTAAAATCTTTGTTGCCTTAAAACTCTTTTCTGTATAGAATCTAGCCTTATACATTGTACTTGTCAACTTTTGTATATATTTTATCAGTTTTGTACTTTACATGCATTTGTAAATATGAAATAAATCATCATTGTCATTTATCTTGTTTGTGAAATCTTCCTCTCTAAACAGAACTGCAGTCTAAGATGCTCCCAGTTTAAGGAGAATTCTGGACAAGTTATTGAGTATAAAGGGACATAACTCTATTTAAATCAAAATAAAGTTTGGTGAAGATCTACTCAATGAGTAAGGAGGAGTTGTCTGTTTGGTCAAGAGAAACACAAAACTAAGTATATCATGTGTGTAAGTAAAATATGAAGTACCAATCTATTGGAGCAGTTTAGATGAAATTGTGCAAACAAGTTCCATCTAGATAAAAAGTTATTTTAACAAAACCTGTAATTAAGTACTACAAGGTGAACAATTATATGAGGGATTATGCCTACAAAGATAATAATAGACTGCCTGGTAGTGTATATGTCTTGACAAGGTCTGCTTTATTGTAAAATCTGTAAGGGATGTTACAAATAATCATGGATTCTGTATTGTCATACATTTCTATACGACAGGCATTTTTAATGTAACAGTAGATATCCATGCAGAAACAAAATTAATGGTTTATATTTATTGGTTTCCTTTATATATTTCTAATGATCCTCAAAATGTAGGTGTGTAAAACTAGACAAGGGAATTTCCAGCTGGTCTGTCAGAAAGATCGCTCAAGAACAAACTTGAACACAAAATCAAAGATGGCCTGAACATGATGGGTATCGTGTTATTTTTCATCAATTGAAAAATGCAATATTCATCACTCAGATATATCCTGAGAGACTATATCCCTCAGATAAATCCTGAGAGACGTTATCCCTCATATATATCCTGAGAGACTATATCCCACAGATATATCCTGAGAGACTATATCCCACAGATGAGAGATTATATCCCACAGATATATCCTGAGAGACTATATCCCACAGATATATCCTGAGAGATTATATCCCACAGATATATCCTGAGAGACTATATCCCACAGATATATCCTGAGAGACTATATCCCTCAGATAAATCCTAAGAGACGTTATCCCTCATATATATCCTGAGAGATTATATCCCACAGATATATCCTGAGAGATTATATCCCACAGATATATCCTGAGAGATTATATCCCACAGATATATCCTGAGAGATTATATCCCACAGATATATCCTGAGAGACTATATCCCACAGATATATCCTGAGAGATTATATCCCACAGATATATCCTGAGAGACTATATCCCACAGATACATCCTGAGAGATTATATCCCACAGATATATCCTGAGAGATTATATCCCACAGATATATCCTGAGAGACTATATCCCACAGATATATCCTGAGAGATTATATCCCACAGATATACATATTCTGAGAGATGTTATTCCTCATATATATCCTCAGAGACTATATCCCATAGACATATCCCGAGAGAATCTATCCCTCAAATATTCCCTGAGAGATTATATCCCACGGATAAAACCCAAGATTATATCCCACAGATATATCCTTTCAGATGTAATCCCTCAGGTATATCCTGAGAGACTAATGGGTTTATAGACAGACAATAACATCAACAGATCATACACAAAAGACAATCTGAAAATGGTTCAAAATGCCACAGGTGATATTGCAAAATTTGTAATTGATATTTGAAAATAGCAAATTTGTTATGTCCTGAAAGGGGCAAATGTATAGACGGTATGGCACCTTATATGATAGGTGTTACCAAAATCCCTCAAGGAATTCCCAGCATGAGATATATTCAAATACACAAAACAAAAATATTAAATAGTGTGTCATTTTTTTATTGTACCCATGTCTTATACATATGTACAATGTATGTATCATACAAGCATATGTTTAAGCAGATTCTTTTACAGTACACAATGAACCACAGATACTTCTCTTATAACTGTATATCTGTTCTAATTAACAAGAATCTGATAATGATTTTCATTAAATTTCAATTTCCGTATAATGAATAAAATGACAGAACAATAAACTATGAAAAAATAATTGGACAAAACATGAGGAAAATGTTTATTTTTATCTCTGTTGCGGGTTGGGAAATAATATTAATAAAATTAGAAACTAAAATAAAGAAGTATGAAGTGTCACACAATATGTCCCACAAAATATTACTGAAAACATTGCATCGATAAATAGGCTTAAATTAACATGTTTAGCAATGTTTGTTTGTGACTGGGTACTATAATTGAACCATACAGTATCTGTTTTCAATTTCCAGACATGAAAACTTTCATTTTCATGTGCACAAAATAGTCATTTTCATTTCAATGTTGTAGCTATTGTATAAGCTTAGATTAAACAGTGTGTATTTTAAAACTTTAGTAAATTATGTCTATAAAGCTATTTCTAGAAGCCAATCTTTCTACCAATATCCCATCACCACATCATGGTTACATTAAGCTATGGTCAGACTAGTTACACTTGGTATAAACATAATATTACCAATTTATGTCAGCATTGATCATCACCTGTGTACACATCAATAGATATATAGTCTGTAAAGGCACGTTTCACATGTACACATTATTATGCATTATTTCATAGGGAAAGGCCATCATTAAATGAATAGCAATATATATGTTAATTAAAAAGATTAAATCTTACAACACACATGGAAAAAATTCCAAAGCAAGAAGTCCTGTATATACCATTAATTTCTGCATGTACATGTATTATCTATACATAAAGCTTTATGATAATTGCAGGTTCACATGATACAACATCAGACATTATGGGTGAGGGTTGAAGGTACCTAAAATCACAAGAGTATCAGTGAAACTGATGAACGCTTCCCGAAATGACAAATTTTACTGAAGGACAATAATTCTGTAATTGCAGGCCCTGAATTTGGTATACTGCACATTCTCTTTTTATGACCAATTTACACATCTAGTTTTAATGCAAGCAAAGCCATGCTCATGACACAAAATTCTAACAAAGGGCAAAAACTCTGTACTGAGGGTCATTGGCCCTGATTTTACTACACTGCACCTTGTTTTTCTATGACTGATGTATACATCACCTATCAATATCCTAGTTTAAATGTAGGAAAGGAAATGCTCTAGCCACAAAATTTCAACAAAGGAAAGTAAATCTGTAATTAAGGGGTTGTGGGCCCTAACATTGATACAATGCACATTGTCTTTAAATGATCAATGTATACACCAAGTTTCATTACCCTACTTTAAATACAAGCAAAGTTATGCTTTGGACAAGGTATTTTGAACAAAGGGCAATAACTCTGTTACTGAGAGGTCAATGGCCCTGAATTTTGTATGTTTGAAGTTTTTAAGATTTTAACATATTTGACCACTGTGAACTTATAAGCAGGCCCAGGTCATTCTTTTGAACAGACTTGAAATTCTAGCCCAGCATGGTACTCACCAAATCAACATTTGACCATACTTACCTTGAAAATGGGACAAGGTATTTCATTTCAACAAACTTGACAGCTGTTCACCAAGAATGCTACTTGCCAAAATCATGACAATGGGCCTATAAGTCATTGGAAAGAAGTTGTTTCAAGGAACAGGAAAATTTTGAAGCTGGACATACAACAGACAGACAGGAAGACACCGCACCATGGCATAAACTTGCTTTCATTTAGGTAGGTTAACAAGTATAAAGATCAATTCAAGACTATAACAATGCAATAATTTTTCAGAAATAACTTGTTAAGACTGTTAAGACTTGTACAAACAATGGGCCAACACATTACTTCTTACACAATATCAGAGATTTGGCTTATTATAGGACCCTAGGAAGCTAAAATGTTATCTCTAATACAAAGTCAGGTCTTATTACAGTACAATCATTAAAATAGTATTGCCTGATAATTTTACTAATGGTAATATGGGCGGGCTTATTACCAGACATAGGCTTATTGTTGAAAGAATGTAGTTTCTAATGTACCTAGAATATGATAATACTGTTTAGCATTGCATTAGGATAAGTGCCAAAGATATAACTGAAGCAAAGGACAACAAAACAAATATCACTAAGTAACATCCAGGTTTTAATCATATTGACTGCCTAAGGGGTCTTGGATACAAAACATTTGTTTGCTATGTTTATGGAACTGCTATCAGCCAGGGTCATTTTGTGGTGGGGTTTTCTTTTAAAGCTGGTGGCTACCTCACTGAACAACATATGGGAGCATCATATACCCTCCTGGAATAATCTGTGTAAACCTAATCCACAACCAAAACAGCACAGATTGGTTTATTTCTCAGCTTCCTGAGAACCAAAAAATCCCCCTGAGTACAAGGAAAATAACAAATATATAAACATACATTTAAATGTATATCAATAATTATAAAAAAAATGTAAGAAATTGTAGCACCAGATTAGATACCTTATATAAAAGGTGAATACATGTGTCATACCATGATGAAAAGGCAGGAAACAGTAAGACTTAAAATTTCCTTGTACACTCTATTTGTGTACATTTACACCAAAATGAAAATCTCCTCTGGGCCAATATCAGGGACAGTCTAATTGAATGCCCTCTAAGGCTATAAGTATGTTTGTGTCCTAATAGATAGTCAGGTATTAGGCTCCTCAAGGACACTCCACTGACATGTTTATGTTATATTAGAGACAGTCTAGTTGTATGCTCCTCAGGGTCAATGACATGTTTGTGTTATATTAGAGACAGTCTAGTTGTATGCTCCTCAGGGTCAATGACATGTTTGTGTTATATTAGAGACAGTCTTGTTGTATGCTTCTCAGGGTCAATGACATGTTTGTGTTATATTAGAGACAGTCTTGTTGTATGCTCCTCAGGGTCAATGACATGTTTGTGTTATATTAGAGACAGTCTTGTTGTATGCTCCTCAGGGTCAATGACATGTTTGTGTTATATTAGAGACAGTCTTGTTGTATACTCCTCAATGTCAATGACATGTTTGTGTTATATTAGAGACAGTCTTGTTGTATACTCCTCAATGTCAATGACATATTTGTGTTATATTAAGAGACAACCTAGCTGTATGCTCCTCAAGGTCAATAACAAGTTTGTGTTATATTAAGAGACAGTCAAACTGTATGTCCCCAAGGTCAATGACATGTTTGTGTGACATTAGAGACAGTTTAATAGTACGCCCCAAGGTCAATGACAAATTTGTGTTATTTTAAAGATAGTCTAGTGGTATACTCCTCAAAATCAACGACATGTTTGTGTTACATTAGAGACAGTCTAGTTGTTATGCTCCTCAAGGTTAATAACAAGTTTATGTTATATTAGAGACAATCTTGTTGTTACATCACCACTGATGGAGTTCCATTTTGTTCAGAAGTAGTATATTTGCTAACAAAACATCTGGCTCTTCATCTTGACCCTCTACAAGGTCCTCAGAATCCCAAGCATGCATGCTGTATAAACACTACAACAGTTCATGAATTAGCTTCAGCAGTTCTCAGCATTTCCACTTATGACAAATGGTGCTTGCCTTATAAAGGTAATGTAAAAAATAAAAAATATCTGTATTAAATGCCCAACACCCATGTGACAATTTTTTTTTTAAATGTTTAAAAAATGAGTTAACATGATATACAACCACCACCTCCTCAGAACTATATTGACTAGGTATTTTTATATACATCGATGTCTTTCTGTTTTCTCCTGTTTGACACATCACAGTCCTTAGAGACTAATCACAGTACGTAACATTGAAGAAATGGTTTCTCTTTATCCTCCCTTCCTATTTCACACATCACAGTTCCAGTTTGGTCGAAATTCCGATCACCAGGTTTAAACATATCACAGCCAAAGTCTAACTACACATCTTGACCACTGACCAGTTTTTAACTTGATTTTACCTTGGATGGCGACGACTTTGGAGACGAGAAGTTGTCCATGGCTGTATCTGTACCCAGGAATTTGTATATGGGCAGTAAGATACTCTCAGGAAAAATTCTGTCATACAAAAGTTACATACAAGTAACTAACCTTAACTTACATAAATAATACTGAATAATACTGAATTACATGACTGGCTCCCAGTTAAGAGATTTGTGCCTAAAAGAATATATATAAAGAAATGAGTGCATCATTCAGTTGTATAACCAGTCTCAAATTATACTATTGATATATAATTTAATTTTTGATCTTCACAAGCTGCATTTTTGACATCAAAGTTACATAATGTTGACTCCAGATCATATTGACCCCTTATTTATATGAATATAACCTCTGAACTACACACACTGAAGTACCCTGAGTCAGTTGTACATCACTGACCTCTGATTTTAATGACTGAACTCTGATTCAAATGACTGAACTATGAATTAAATCATTAATCCTTGACTTATGTAACTGACCCAAAAATACATTGAATTAAATTACTGACCCCTAATTACACTGAGTAATATCACTGGCCCCTAATTTATGTGATTGACTTCTAAGCTACAATGAGTAATATCATTGGCCCCTAATTTATGTGATTGACTTCTAAGCTACAATGAGTAATATCATTGGCCCCTAATTTATGTGATTGACTTCTAAGCTACAATGAGTAATATCATTGGCCCCTAATTTATGTGATTGACTTCTAAGCTACAATGAATAATATCATTGGCCCCTAATTGATATGAATGACTTCTAAGCTACAATGAGTAATATCATTGGCCCCTGACTTATATGAATGACTTCTAAGCTACACTGAGTAATATCATTGGCCCCTAATTTATATGGTTGACTACTAAGCAACACTTTGTAATATCATTGGCCCCTAATTTATATGAATGACTTCTAAGCTACACTAAGTAATATCATTGGCCCCTAATTTATATGCTTGACTACTAAGCAACACTCTGTAATATCATTGGCCCCTAATTTATATAAATGACTTCTAAGCTACACTGAGTAATATCATTGGCCCCTGACTTATATGAATGACTTCTAAGCTACACTGAGTAATATCATTGGCCCCTAATTTATATAGTTGACTACTAAGCAACACTCTGTAATATCATTGGCCCCTAATTTATAGGAATGACTTCTAAGCTACACTGAGTAATATCATTGGCCCCTAATTTATATGAATGACTTCTAAGCTACACTGAGAAATATCATTGGCCCCTAATTTATATGATTGACCTCTGGCCTATATAACTGATCCCTAATTCATATCACTGACCTCTGGGCTAGGATGATGATGTACATGATGCGTGGCATAATAACATATGATGTATTCGTCAATATGGCCCGGACAGTTCGCTCAGCTACATATTTCTCTGATAAGGCAGGAATCAGCCAGGGAAATCTGTATTGTAACCACAACAAAGTAAACTTATAAACAAACATAATTCTTCAAATGCATGATGTAAGAAGAAGAAGGCATTTTGAAATGTCAGGTTCTTGATTCTTTTCACTCTATAAACTACTTGTGTCATCAAAAAAGAAACTTTAAGGATGTTATCAATGTTGAAAAGAAAACATGCCACTTTGAATGATTAAAGCAATTAGGACAACAGCTATGGATAGAGAGAGAATACAAAATTCAAGTATCTACCTTCTTCAGGCTCATCAATGGTAGACAAATCTAAAATTATTGACCTCATCAATAGTGGAAATATCTAAAATTATTGACCTATCAGTTTTAATGATAAGAACATGTCATTAGTCATCAGGTTTAGGTACATACAGGTGATGGGGTACCTACCTCAGCTTCAGTGATAAGAACCTGTCATATGTCACCAAAAACAGGTATGTACAGGTGATGGGGTACCTACCTCAGCTTCAGTGATGTGAACTTGTCATTAGTTACCAAGTACAGGTATGTACAGGTGATGGACTACCTACCTCAGCTTCAGTGATGTGAACATGTCATTTATCACCAAAAACAGGTACATACAGGTGATGGGGTACCTACATTAGCTTCAGTGATGAGAACTTGTCATTTGTCATGAAGTTTAGGTACATAAAGGTGATGTGGTACCTACCTCAGCTTCAGTGATGAGAGCTTGTCATTTGTCACTAGAAACAGGTATATAAAGGTGATGGGGTACCTACTTCAACTGCAGTAATGTGAACATGTCATGTCACCAGAAACAGGTATATAAAGGTGATGGGGTATCTACTTCAGCTGCAGTGATGTGAACATGTCATGTCACCAGAAACAGGTATATAAAGGTGATGGGGTACCTACTTCAACTGCAGTAATGTGAACATGTCATGTCACCAGAAACAGGTATATAAAGGTGATGGGGTATCTACTTCAGCTGCAGTGATGTGAACATGTCATGTCACCAGAAACAGGTATATAAAGGTGATGGGGTACCTACTTCAGCTGCAGTGATGTGAACATGTCATATGTCACCAGAAACAGGTATATAAAGGTGATGGGGTACCTACTTCAGCTGCAGTGATGTGAACATGTCATATGTCACCAGAAACAGGTATATAAAGGTGATGGGGTACCTACTTCAGCTGAAGTGATGTGAACATGTCATATGTCACCAGAAACAGGTATATAAAGGTGATGGGGTACCTACTTCAGCTGCAGTGATGTGAACATGTCATGTCACCAGAAACAGGTATATAAAGGTGATGGGGTACCTACTTCAGCTGCAGTGATGTGAACATGTCATATGTCACCAGAAACAGGTATGTACAGGTCATGGGTTACCTACCTCAGCTTCAGTGATGAGAATGTGTAATTTGTCACCAGAAACAGGTATGTACAGACCATGGTTTACCTCCCTCAGTTTCAGGGATGAGAATTTGTCATTAGTTACCAGATATGTATGTACAAGTGGTAGGGTACATAACTCAGCTTCAGTGATGAGAAGGCATCATTAGTCACTAGATACAAGTATATACATGTCATGGGGTACTTACCTCAGCTTCAGTGACAAGAACGAGTCATTGCTTACCAGGGACAGGCATGTACAGGTAATGTGCTACCTACACCAACTTCAGTGATAAGAACATGCCATTAATTACCAAATACAGGCATGTACAAGTGATGGGGTACCTACCTTAGCTTCAGTGATGAGAAGACATTTGTCACCAGAAACAAATATGTATAGGTGATGCATCGTTGGTAACCCACAGTCCTGACACTCATGTCTTTGTGCATAGGAGCCAGGACCGTGGGTTACTGACAATGAGGTGATGGGGTATCTACCTCAGATTCTGTGATAAGAACATGTCAGTAGTGACCAGGTACAGGTATGTATAGGTGGTAGGGTACCTACCTTAGCTTCAGTGATGAGAACATGTCATTAGTCACCAGGTATGGATGAACAGATGTGATGGAGATATCTGGATACTCCTCTACCTCCCAGTATAATGAGTCTAGCAGCCCAGCACTGGAAAATTTGGAGCTGCAGTAGTCGGACAGGCCAGCCATACTCATCATACTTAACACGGAACTGAGAGTCACAATATGGCCCCTCTGTCTGTCTATCATGTCTGGTAGGAATGCCTTTATTGTCTGAATTACACATATCACATCCTCAGTGACTCATGCAGATAACATTGGCTAATAAAATTGCTTAAAATATGAGAATTTGTCAATCTTATCTTAAAAATTCATCCTTTCTAAACTTCTGTTTGTTTGTTGAGGGTATTGTGCCCTCACAAGAGTCACATGAGGATTGGTATCTTGGGACACACCAAAAGCTAGAGTCACAAGAGGATGTAGGAAGACACCAACAGCCAGGGTCATATGAAAACAGGTGTCTAAGGAGGTAAAAATAGACAGGGTCATATGAAGACAAGTGTTTTGGTAAACACCAACAGCCTAGGTCACATGAAAACAGGTGTCTAAGGAGGTAAAAATAGACAGGGTCACATGAGGACAGATATATAGGGAGACACCTACAACCAAGGCCATACGAGGATGGATATCTAGGGAGAAACCATCAACTAGGGTTATATGAGCATAGGCATCTGGGTAACACGAACAGCTAGGGTCATATGAGGACAGTTGTCTTGGAGACAATTTCAACCAAGGTAATATCAGGACAAGTATTTAGGGAGACAACAAGAAAAGACACAGAAAGACAGAATAGCCTGGAGAGTAATAAGATGTAAGATTTCAAGTGTTGCACATGGGGTTGCAATTGGTCTCTTTAGTGTCGCCTTAAATGAAGAAAAGAAGATAAAATCTCAGTTTCTGCAGGAGGTATCAAAATTAGTCATATCCTACAACATGAATTAAAATACAATACCAAGACAGATCTTAATTTCTGCATAAGGTGCATGATATATTTAGATGTAAAAAAGAAATGAAAATCCTTTGGAAATCAAAAAGATGAGACCATTATAACAGTTCATGCTGTGTTCAGGTGTACCAGAACAGAGACTGTTTATATCATTATTTACAGAGATGTCTCTAAACTACTTACCCAAATATGGGCGAGAGTGTTGACTGCATATGTAGCCTCCAACTCCTCATCTACGCTTTCCACAATCTTTCGCCCACTCACTATGCCTGCATTGTTGACCAATATGGAAACAGGACCTATGGTGTCCTTTATCTCCTTTGCCTGAAAAAATGTCAATAAATTGGCCAAGAAATTTGTAAGTGTATGTACAACTGTCTTTCCATGCAATAGGGTCAGAAACTGTACACAAATAAATATTGCAACTCACTTCCATATCTCTTTATTTGCATTATTTGGGGGTAATTTTGAAAGAATATGCATTACAAGTAAAACTTGTTCATCTGGAGGAACCTGGACATGCATAGTCTCCATTTATTTGTAAAAGTAACAAAACTCACATATATGAGTATAGATTTATCTACAAACTGAAAAGATATAAACTCCTAAAAGTTTGAAGATTTTCGTTTCCTTCTAGACATATAACAAAACACATTATGAAAGTGATATGTATTAAGCAAAAGAAAATCAATTTATTAACCTGTGTTGATATACAGTTGGAATTTAAAATATTGTTCATTCTCAAGTCCATATAATTGAATTTGGTAATACATGTACATGTGCAAGTACATAAAGTATACCAGGATCATGAAAACCTAAACTGTGTATTCTCAAATACAGGTTTGTCAAATTATGTATCTCACCTTAGCATATATCTGTTCTCTGACTCCTACATCACAGGACATGTAAGAACATTTAATGCCAAGGCTTCGTACATCAGCAGCTGTCATCTCAAGATTCGAAATTCCTCGACCCCATAACACAATCTGGCCAACAAGAAATGTTACTTATCTAACTAGAAATGTTTTAAATGATTAAAAAAAAAAGCAATAGATGAGGTCAATCAAACGTCTAGTGTGTATGTACAATTACCATCAAAAACAACAATGATATTTTCATGTGGCTTGCAAGATCATCCTACGCCATTTTTCTTTTCCTATATCTTATATTTACATGTATATTATGATTCAGAACTTGTCCACTGAGAGGCCCGCACGGTTGTAATAGTGGATGTAAAACCTGTTAAATAAATAAATAAATGATTCTGAGCTTCTGATGCAGTAAGCAAGTAGGATGTCTTTCATCGCTGAGTTGTTAACAGTCTGTCTACCGACCTTAGGCTAAAGTCTTTAGTAAAGATAAAAAATAAAAACATATTTTATCAACACATCCGTGGAGAGGCTACATGAACATATATGGTGGAATAATTGCTTTTTACTCAACTTTTAGTGCAGTAGTTCTACACAAGCAAATGCATGAGTGTGTGTTTAGTAATCGGAGACTTGGGCAGACATAATGCAATATGGGTTTGTTTTGACTTGCTGTCACTCACGTGTTCTGGTTTGCATTTAGCGAGCTCCAACGCTAGTCGTCGTCCAATCCCACGGCTCCCGCCTGTTATCAACACGATGTCATTTGAAATATCCTTCAGCTTTGCAGGACAAAAACTTAAAACCAAAGATTTGCAACATAGAAATGGAATTTTTAAGACGAGGAGAAAAGCCAGTTGCAACCAATATCTGAAAGTGTCCGAGCGTTTGTTTACGTTCTCTTCCACCATGCTGACCTTTGAACTTTCGCCTCCAACATGACATTTATGACACAAAATATTTTTTTTTGCATTCCGTCTGGCCTGTATTTTAAGAACCTTTCCTCTTTGTCATTTCTAGATATCCTATTGCTCGTGTGTGCATACTCTCAGACACCCAACGTAAATAAGTGTTGTCTTAATGGAGCGCAGCAGACACTCTTCTCTCATTTTCCCCCACAAGAGAGCTCTTTTTGATAGAGTTAATAAAGTTACATGATGTTCGGGATATCTTTTGATTTTCCTTCGAAATGAATGTAAAAGTTTCTGTCATTCGTATGTCAGCCGCTGAAGCGAAGAAAACGGGAAAACGCTCCACATGGATCAGGAAAAGTATTTAACTTTCTCCGATCTCCCATTACAAAAAATGATTTCTTGTATTTACTAATCGTGAATATTTCATTTTATTTGAGTGTAGATTTGATTGCACGTGTTGTGCAGTCGGCCTACTGTACGATACAGCCGTCACCATCTTCATTTGTCTCATTTGTTGATACGATCAGATCGCATGTCTGTGATATCAATAGCTTACATGTATCAGGAATTAAGTGGTCATCGAAGAAAGTAAGCTATTAGACGTGTTCACCTTGTTTTTTGGTTGTTGTTGTTGTCATTTATCCAGACTTTTATATCTAATGTAAACCCACTCTAACTTTTTACAAAACATCTCTGTACTCAACCAATCTTTCTGTGAATTATTTTTCTCTTCTCTGCCCTTTAAAAATCGTCATGATTTTACTCTTTGCCGTTTTCCCATCAAATATTGTCCCCTGTCTGTCTGTGTGTCCGTCCATATGTCTGTCTGCCTGTTAGTCTGTTTAGGTGTCTGTGTTTCTCTGTCCATCCGTCTGTCTGTCTTTATTTCAGACCTGAAACACATATCTGCTTCTAGTGTAAACTCTTTCAATATTATTGAACAACCAATGGCAGAAACAAAAACTCTTTTTATAACTATAAAGCTGAAATATTAACAAAATGCAGTATACTGGACTGAAAATTAGTTTTATTGTTCTGTTCATATACATACTGCATGTATTACACTTTTGTCTTGGAGTGTGGTATAGAGACGTACTACAAGCCTTCTGTACCTGCATGTCGTTAAGTGAAGTGACCACCAGCTCTCCTCAAAATGACCATTGCTGGTCAAGGGCTGATAAACCCAGCAAATAAGTAAAAATGAACATAATAATTTTTCAGAGCAGCATATGGACTTGTTACTGAAACAAATCTGTTGTAATAAGAGTATTTTACTAATGCACCTTGTTTATAAACAATATTTTACAATTTAGGATTTACCTGGACTACAATGCTACTACTCCCCTGGAACCTGATGTCCTAGGGGCTATTTCCACGGCACTGTCTGAAGCCTGGGGAAATCCTAGTAGTTCTCATGATGCAGGTAATACTTAGATAGCAAACAGAATGTTTCTTTGTCTTGACTTGAAATTTTGACTTACAAGAGTGAGCTACAAGTGGGTATAATAATGTACATAAATACTTTGAAGTATGATTCCAGTTCTCTTTGGTTGTTAAAGGTGTTAAAGCCAAGACAGTTATAGACAATGCCAGGAGCAGTGTAGCTACCATGGTGGGAGCAAAGTCCTCTGGTAAGTTATAGAATCTATACAGGTGTGATATAATACAAGTAAACTATACAGGTATGATGTGAATATACTTGTGTGATATGATACAAATTATCTAAACAGGTGTGACATGTAAACAATATAGGTGTAACATGTAAACCATACAGGTGTGATACAATACATGTAAACAATACAGATGTAATTTGATATAGATAATCTACACAGGTGTGACAGGTGAAATGATACAGGTAAACTACTCAGGGGCGACATGATACAGGTAAACTACACAGAGGTGACATGATGCTGGTAAACAATACATGGGGTGACATGATACAGGGAAATTACACAGGGGTGACATGATACATGTAAACGGCACAGGGATGACATGATGCTGGTAAACTACATAGTGGTGACATGATACAGGTAAACTACACAGGGGTGACATGATACAGGTAAACAATACATGGGGTGACATGATACAGGTAAACTACACAGGGGTGACATGATAATTGTAAACGGCACAGGGATGACATGATGCTGGTAAACTACATAGGGGTGACATGATACAGGTAAACTACACAGGGGTGACATGATACAGGTAAACTACACAGGGGTGACATGATACTGGTAAACTACACAGAGGTGACATGATACTGGTAAACGTCACAGGTGTGATGTGATACAGGTAAAAATATTCTGAGGTGTGTCATTACATATTGGATGATATTAAATTAACAGGTTTCAATGTATTAAATAAAGTAATCCATTTCTTATAATTTGAATAAACATTTTATATTTTATTGTTTCAGACATTTTGTTCACCTCAGGAGGGACAGAGGTGAGTGTTTAAAAGAAATTTTGAAAGTTAGTTATCAAACCAACAAAGTGTGCTTGTTTACTTCTGTATATTTACTCATCAGTTGCTCATTTTAAGTACTCATTACAGGGACACATTTTCCAGGATTTTTACACTTATACAACTGTTCATGTATAATATATTGCCTGTCATAAATTCACGCTTAACTACATTAAACATATATCTCAGCTCTAATATCAAAACTTTGGTGTACTTTTTACTTTCTGGTAAAAGGATGTAGCAGCTGAACAGTGTATACGTTTCTTTACATAAAATCATGCAAATAAATTGATATGTGAGGTAAATTCTGCAGGATGTTTTCATCAACTGCCAAGAATTCTTGTGAATGGAATAGATTACTTTTACTACATTAACATTCCACAAAAAAGGGAATGTTGCTATAAACTCCATTGTACTGTTCATAAGAAGTGTTTGATATTTGTGGATGTTTGTTGATTGTAAGAGATATTTAATGAAACTGTCATAAAAAAAGGAAATAAGAATACTATGCTAATGCAAAGCAATATAGTAAATGAAGATAAGAGAAATTATAACAAAATGTCCTTCGAATACCTGTCTTTATAGTGACCCCTATTTTTCAAATTTCTTGTGAATTGACAAATGAAGATCATTATGTATTAAAGTTTCATTGTAGAGTGACAAATTGATAGAAAATTATTGTGGTATTACAATTTCATACCCCAAGTCTATGCAAAGCTAATACAATTTATCAGAGTGTTAAGTGTTCATGTCTCTCTCTCTTTATGTGTGTTATAAACATACTACATTAAATCTTTCTATTACAACAGGCTAACAACATGATCCTACAAACGGCTCTAAAACACTTCCACCTCTGCCAAGAAATCACAAATGGAACTGACCCCACTAGGGGAGATAATTCTGATCAGCTTCCTCACTTCATCACCTCTAACATGGAACATGATTCTGTGAAACTTGTCCTAGAGAACCTGGCTGAGGAGGGAATCGCTAGTAAGTGTAATCAATTCGACAACAATTTTTGAATAGCTTTTCAAATCATCCTTCATCCATGGTGTGTCTTGCGTGCATTCATCCTTACATCTATAAACAATTATTGCTTCCACTTTTTCTTGAAAAACACTGGGTGGATCATTTTCAGTTTTTGTACATGGGTTATCCTTTGTCCGTTGTTACCGTTTGATGGCCCTAATGACCTTTTATGTGTTGACGGGCCGTTAAGAATGTAATAATAATAATAATAATTGTCTGTTGTTGTGGCTTTGTTAACTTCGGGGCTGATGAAAAAATCAAAATGGCCAGCCGACATCCATCTTGGATTTTGTCAATTTAAGTTTAAGAAGTATTCCAGATTATTTTCCAATTTAACTTGAATTTTTCCCTTCATCTCTTGTTGTCATTATCTATTGTTGTGACAGATCAAAAATAAAAAGGGTCTTCATGCAGTATTTGTCAGTTTTACTCTGTTGTACCCATTACCCATTTCTTGATAAGAACAAGATTGATAATTCCCATATTTCATATTTAGCTTCCTTTTGATGGCTAGTTTAGCACTTTTGATTTTAGAACTGATCTGGATATCAAAATGTCTGGCAGGTGGCCATCTTGGATTTTGACAATGAAACATTGTTATCATTGTTTCTTGAGAACAACTTGATAGCTCTTTCTCTAGTTTCATAAGAATTCTCCCTTTGGTCCCTGATCATGTGCTGTTTTAATTTTAGGACTGATCATGTAACCCTGTTGACATGCTAGCTGCAGTATACTGCTCAGATCAAGAGATTTTTAGTTTATCATTGATCTTCCCTAAATTTTACATTTAAGTTCCTCTTAGTTTCTATTTGTGAATTATGTTTTTGTTTGACAAATTAGAAAACAAAATGATCAAATCATATCACTATTTCTCAGAAACTCTGATAGGAATTATTCTCAAAGTTCATATGAACGTTTCTTTAAGTTTTAGTTGTGCAGAAACAATGACTGACATTTACCCATTTTGGTTTGTGGAAATTATATTTATTTTCATTACATAATTTTCAAACAAGTAAGAGAGGAATCATACTCAGAATTAGCATGTTGGTTTCCATCGTGTAGTGATATTACTATTTATGTATAACTTGTTAATACAAGAGATGTTTAAGAGCAAAGAAAGAACAGACAACCATTACACATCATTGTATGGTGGTGAATGCCTTCTGGCATCATTTGTGATACTTTTGCATTATATGTGACAAATCCTAAAGTGATTTTGGTATTGAAGTGACAGATGTAATGGATTTGATGGTGATTCTAATACTAATGATAGATTAGTATTTATTTTGATACTTACATGACAGATGTGATGGATTTTTATAGTAATTTTAATACATATGACAGGTGTGACCTTCGTACCTGCCTCTCAGAAGACCGGCTGTGTTATAAAAGAGGATGTGATTGCTGCTGTTCGTCCATCTACCTGTATGATAACTCTTATGTTGGCTAACAATGAAACAGGTGTGATACAGGTAAGTCATAACTATGAATTACGTGTGATACAGATAAGTCATAACAACTAAACGGATGTCTGGTGTATTCCAGGTAAGCATTATAAGGAGACAGGTTTAATACAGAAAAGTTAGATTTTCAGAAGTTTTGTTCATACATTTATTGTCTAGTCCATATAAATATAGAGTAATCTCCCATTAAGATTCATTCTATGAATTCTGTATTCCCTTTTTATAACAGTTATAGACATGTTTTTGTCATTCACCTCACCTGTGATCTTGGTCAAGCTGGTCAAGCCCTAACAAGGTCAATGTCTCATTTGCTTTTGATTCTAAAATCCAAACAGAAAGTGAACATTTGAAAAAAACAAAGGAAGTAACTCTGGTCTTTCGGCATTTGGTTTGATGATGTCCGTTTAAACCATAATCTAAGCTATAGAATGAAGATTTAGTAACAAGACCACACATAGTAATTACAATTTTACTAGATATGCCAGCGATTGCTAGATCATTGTTTAGTTATAAACAAACTGCAATGATTTGAGTAAGAAGTACATGTGAGATATGAGCAAGAAGTACAGGTGAGATATAAGAAGAAAATACAGGTGATTTTTCAGCAAGAAATACAGGTGAGATTTGAGTAAGAAGTACAGGTGAGATATGAGCAAGAAGTACAGGTGAGATATAAGAAGAAAATACAGGTGATTTTTCAGCAAGAAATACAGGTGAGATTTGAGTAAGAAGTACAGGTGAGATATGAGTAAGAAGTACAGGTGATATTTAAGTAAGAAGTACAGGTGAGATATGAGTACAAAGTACAGCTGAGATATGAGTAAGAAGTACAAGTGATATGTGAGTAAGAAGTACAGGTGAGATATGAGTAAGAAGTATGGGTAACTAGACTAGATTTAGAGAAATTTACAATAGCATTTTCATCAATGGAGTAAATGAGCAATGCTGGATTTACTTTCAGCCCATAAAGGATATCTTTGAGAGTATCCGTCATATTAACATGAGTCGTAAGAACCTGCCGCGGATCTTGCTCCACACAGATGCTGCTCAGGCTATTGGTAAGATAGAGGTGGATGTCGTGGAATTGGATGTGGATTATCTCAGCATTGTGGGACACAAGGTAGGACTTTAATCAGACCATTTATTCTTTGTTTTTTTATACCATATAAAGGGGCAGAAGGGGAGGTTGGGTAAAAATATGGTGTTACCTGTATCAGTCGTGTCCTATCTCATCATGTTGCATAATAGTCCAAACCAATGTCGTATCTTGACAAGCTCTTTACAGATTTGGGTCTTATTTATCACCTAGTATCCTAACATCATATTCTACACCTGGTCAGATTCTGGTTTACACTTACCCCATAGTATTATAACATCATATTCTACACCTGGTCAGATTCAGGTTCACACTTACCCTATAGTATCTTAACATCATGTTCTACACCTGGTCAGATTCTGGTTTACACTTACCCCATAGTATTATAACATCATATTCTACACCTGGTCAGATTCTGGTTTACACTTACCCCATAGTATTATAACATCATATTCTACACCTGGTCAGATTCTGGTTTACACTTACCCCATAGTATTATAACATCATGTTCTACACCTGGTCAAATTCTGGTTTACAATTACCCCATAGTATCCTAACATCATATTCTACACCTGGTCAGATTCTGGTTTACACTTACCCTTTAGTATCTTAACATTAAACACCCTTAGCTGTTGATGATCATGTTGTATAGATATTTTGTAGTTTATCAAATAAACAAAATGAAATTTCATCAATATTCTATAGCAATCTTCAATTTAGTAAAAAATGTTTGTACATGTTTCAGTTCTATGGCCCACGTATTGGAGCTGTGTTCGTGAGAAACTTAGGGAGCAAGGAAGTACCACTTTATCCTATGTTGTATGGAGGGGGACAGGAACGAAACTTTAGACCAGGGTATGTATGGAGGGGGACAGGGGGGTAACGTTAGACCAGGGTATGTATGGAGGGGGACAGGAGGGTAACTATAGACCAGGGAATGTATGGCAGGGAACAGGAGGGTAACTATGGACCAGGATATGTATAGAGGGGGACAGGAGGGTAATTATAGACCAGGGTATGTATGGAGAAGGACAGGAGGGTAATTATAGACCAGAGGATGTGTGGAGGGGGACAGGAGGGTAATTATAGACCAGAGGATGTGTGGAGGGGGACAGGAAGGTAATTATAGACCAGAGGATGTGTGGAGGGGGACAGGAGGGTAATTATAGACCAGGGTATATATGGCAGGGAACAGGGAGGTAACTGTAGACCAGGGTATGTATGGAGGGGGACAGGAGGGTAACTATAGACTAGGGTATGTGTGGAGGGGGACAGGGGGGTAACTATAGACCAGGGTATGTATGGCAGGGAACAGGGGGGTAACTATAGACCTGGGTATGTATGGAGAGGGACAGGAGTATAACTATAGACCAGGGTATGTGTGGAGGGGGACAGGAGGATAACTATCGACCAGGGTATATAAAGAGGGGGACAGGAGGGTAATTATAGACCAGGGTATGTATGGAGGAGGACAAGAGGGTAACTGTAGACCAGGGTATGTGTGGAGGGAGACAGGAGGGTAACGTTAGACCAGGGTATGTATGGAGGGGGACAGGAGAGTAACTATAGACCAGGGTATGTATGGAGGATGACAGGAGGGTAACATTAGACCAGGGTATGAGTGGAGGGGGACAGGAGGGTAACTATAGACCAGGGTATGTCTGGAGGGGGACAGGAGGGTAACTATAGACCAGGGTACGTCTGGAGGGGGAAAGGAGGGTAACTATAGACCAGGGTATGTGTGGAGGGGGACAGGAGGGTAACTATAGACCAGGGTATGTGTGGAGGGGGACAGGAGGGTAACTATAGACCAGGGTATGTATGGAAGGGAACAGGAGGGTAACTATAGACCAGGGTATGTATGGCAGGGGACAGGAGAGTAACTATAGACCAGGGTATGTCTGGAGGGGGACAGGAGGGTAACTATGGACCAGGGTATGTCTGGAGGGGGACAGGAGGGTAACTATAGACCAGGGTATGTGTGGAGGGGGACAGGAGGGTAACTATAGACCAGGGTATGTGTGGAGGGGGACAGGAGGGTAACTATAGACCAGGGTACGTCTGGAGGGGAAAGGAGGGTAACTATAGACCAGGGTATGTGTGGAGGGGGACAGGAGGGTAACTATAGACCAGGGTATGTATGGAAGGGAACAGGAGGGTAACTATAGACCAGGGTATGTATGGCAGGGGACAGGAGAGTAACTATAGACCAGGGTATGTATGGAGGAGGACAGGAGGGAAACGTTAGACTAGGGTATGTATGGAAGGGAACAGGAGGGTAACTATAGACCAGGGTATGTATGGCAGGGGACAGGAGAGTAACTATAGACCAGGGTATGTATGGAGGAGGACAGGAGGGAAACGTTAGACTAGGGTATGTGTGGAGGGGGACAGGAGGGTAACTATAGACCAGGGTATGTGTGGAGGGGGACAGGAGGGTAACTATAGACCAGGGTATGTGTGGAGGGGGACAGGAGAGTAACTATAGACCAGGGTATGTATGGAGGAGGACAAGAGGGTAACTGTAGACCAGGGTATGTGTGGAGGGAGACAGGAGGGTAACGTTAGACCAGGGTATGTATGGAAGGGGACAGGAGAGTAACTATAGACCAGGGTATGTATGGAGGATGACAGGAGGGCAACATTAGACCAGGGTATGAGTGGAGGGGGACAGGAGGGTAACTATAGACCAGGGTATGTATGGAAGGGGAAAGGAGGGTAACTATAGACCATGGTATGTGTGGAGGGGGACAGGAGGGTAACTATAGACCAGGGTATGTATGGAAGGGAACAGGAGAGTAACTATAGACCAGGGTATGTATGGAGGGGGACAGGGGGGTAACTATAGACCAGAGGATGTGTGGAGGGGGACAGGAGGGTAACTATAGACCAGGGTATGTGTGGAGGGGGACAGGAGGGTAACTATAGACCAGGGTATGTGTGGAGGGGGACAGGAGGGTAACTATAGACCAGGGTATGTCTGGAGGGGGACAGGTGGGTAACTATAGACCAGGGTATGTGTGGAGGGGGACAGGAGGGTAATTATAGACCAGGGTATGTGTGGAGGGGGACAGGAGGGTAACTATAGACCAAAGTATTTGTGGAGGGAGACAGGAGGGTAACTATAGACCAGGGTATGTGTGGAGGGGGACAGGAGGGTAATTATAGACCAGGGTATGTGTGGAGGGGGACAGGAGGGTAACTATAGACCAGGGTATGTGTGGAGGGGGACAGGAGGGTAATTATAGACCAGGGTATTTGTGGAGGGGGACAGGAGGGTAACTGTAGACCAGGGTATTTGTGGAGGGGGACAGGAGGGTAACTATAGACCAGGGTATGTATGGCAGGGGACAGGAGGGTAACTATAGACCAGGGTATGTGTGGAGGGGGACAGGAGGGTAACTATAGACCAGGGTATGTGTGGAGGGGACAGGAACGTAACTATAGACCAGGGTATGTGTGAAGGGGACAGGAACGTAACTATAGACCAGGGTATGTGTGGAGGGGGACAGGAGGGTAACTATAGACCAGGGTATGTATAGAGGGAGACAGGAGGGTAACTATAGACCAGGGTATGACCAGGGTATGTGTGGAGGGGGACAGGAGGGTAACTATAGACCAGGGTATGTGTGGAGGGGGACAGGGGGTATTTGTGGAGGGGGACAGGAGGGTAACTATAGACCAGGGTATATGTGGAGGGGGACAGGAGGGTAACTATAGACCAGGGTATTTGTGGAGGGGGACAGACAGGAAACTATAGACCAGGGTATATAAAGAGGGGGACAGGAGGGTAACTATAGACCAGGGTATATGTGGAGGGGGACAGACAGGAAACTATAGACCAGGGTATATAAAGAGGGGGACAGAAGGGTAACTATAGACCAGGGTATTTGTGGAGGGGGACAGAAACTATAGACCAGGGTATGTGTGGAGGGGGACAGGAGGGTAACTATAGACCAGGGTATGTGTGGAGGGGGACAGACAGGAAACTATAAGACAAGATATATGTAATGGGTGACTGCAGGGACCTTGGTATATTGTAAAATGACATTAATTATTCATTTTTGTGATATCGTATTGAACATGCAGTTTTGTTATATTTGATTAATCAACAAATTTTGTGATTTTTTATTGAACATATCCAATATCTGGATTTGTAATATTGAATTAAAAGTCCAGTTATATGATATTTTTATAAGACTTTTCATTATTGTTCCATGCCTTTTAATTTGTTTACAAATTACAGGACAGAGAATACTGGTATGATAGCAGGACTGGGAAAGGTAAGATCTGTCTGACAGTCATGTTGATAAGGGGAGAATTTAAAGATATACTGTCCCCAATTATACAGGCACCAAATGAGCCAACCAAATTATATATTTCTATTAAGGCTTGACATAGAGAAAGAAGATGTCTTTATCAGAGATTGTTCTGATCGCCCTGTTATAACAAGATCTACAATATCCTCACTGATTCAATACCTGTTCTAAATTTGTAAAGGAATTTCTAATTGATGTTTATGGTGAAAGACAAAATGGTAACCAAAAAAATAGTAGTCCCTAAACATTTGTTGAACACAGTTGTTTGAAATGAAGGACTCACCTGAAAGGATACTGTTTTTATCCTTAATAAGCGTATTGGGCCAACACAAAACTTGACACTCAAAGTGAGGGGTGGGCTTATTACAGGAACCTGGTTTATGTTGGCCTTTGTTCTGAACTCAGTAGATGTGTTTATTACCTTACAAGACATGGATTTGCTGGATAATGATAATGGTTTATACTGAACGCATCATTTCTAGGGTAAAACGTTTGTGGATACCTCAGAACTATACACATGATTTCTTCGTTTGAAAGGTCAAAAGGTTGTAATGGTGGATGTTAATTCATTCAACAGATAAATTAGTTAAGTCCTGATGAAATTTCGTTCTTTGCATTTGATTCTTTTGGTTTGTTTATAACCACAAAAGTCTCTAAATATTAAAGATTTCATGCTTAGAAAAAATAATTCCCCCTTCCCCAACTTCCCGACCCGAAAAACGTAAAGTAATATATTTAACTTTGAAGGTGTCACCTTGATTTCTACAGGCTGCTGAACTGGTGGTCCAGTACCTAAATAACTACAGCAAACATATGGCCACTGTGAGGGACTACCTAGAGACACGATTACAGGTATAGGAAATTACTCAACCATATCATATAAAACAGGACGTCATTGATGGAAATGTGCTGACATGTTATATATTATATCTTGTGTCACCTCTAATGAAATTTATTTACTGTATCTCAGTCCTCAACTGCACAAATACTGTGTGTGATGGTGGTTGGTGACTCTGTGTGTGTGATGGTGGTTGGTGACTCTGTGTGTGTGATGGTGGTTGGTGACTCTGTGTGTGATGGTGGTTGGTGATCAGCTCATTGGATGTTCTACAATATCCATAGATAAAGTTGTGATGGCCCTGACCTATGTTTGAATTAATTAGGAAGTTGCAGCCCACCATCATCTGTGGTCCGTCCATCTGTCCTTAAACGATTCTTGTCATTGGTATTTATTTAAAAGCACAGGATAGATCTAGCAAAATTTTAAATGTTGGTGTCCCTTGTAGTACATGTTCACTTTTGGGCCTGATCAGAAAAACATATATAGCTGACAGGCACCCTACCCAACCTCAAAAAGAGGTTATTTTTATTCATTATTAATATTTCTTATAAAGTAAAGGCAAATCTTTCTTAAATTTTAATCCAGACTTCCCCCATTTACTGGTTATTGATGTAAAATTTTGGGAATGATTAGACTAAGAACATGGAGGACAGGTGGCCATCTTGGATTACGGCAGTTTGAACTTGGTTATCATTATGTCTTAAGAAGTTCTGGATAGATAATTTCAAATTTGATATGTTGGTTCCTCTTATTCCCAAGCTGTGTATGATTGATTGTTCGAGGGACAGGAAATAGAGAAAAGGGAGACAATCCAACTGATAAAGAATCAATAGAAATTGTACAATGATGGGTGCCAAGATCCTTCTGGGATCTCTTCTTCATTATTATCATTATATCGTTATGTCATGTGGAGAGCAAAGGGCTGTAACTCCAATTAAGTTATCATCATGACCTATACATCAGATGTAATTCATGTTAAATTAAAACTATGCAATGTTTTTTCTGCATTGATTCCTTTTCAGGAAGTGTTTGGGGATCGCATCCATCTCAATGGAAAATTTGCCACCAGCGAACGTCTTCCCAATACCTGTAATGTGTCGGTCTTAGGACAAGGACTATTTGGTACGTAGTTCTGATGGTCAGCACAATCTTAGGACAAGGATTATTTGATACAGAGATACAATTTTGGACAGTGTTCCTTTTTTCATTTCGTTACATGGTATATAGGCTTGCAGCCTCTTGAACAGTTTTCTTGGTATGATGGAGTTATGCCTCAGCTTGACTATATTTTAGAGTTAAGGCCCTTTACTGAGTATTTTACTACAACATTACAGTAATGTTTACAATTTATACTTTGCTACAGGTCACGTGATATTATCTCACTGTGACAAACTGCAGGCCAGTGTTGGTGCGGCATGCCATGCCCAGAACAGGTCAGTACATCACTGTAGGAGTCTTTTCTGATTAACAGTTTATAAATTTTGTTTGATGCTTATATGGATCACTACTTTCCAATCTTGTAGTCTTGAAATTTTGCTCACATGTTCAGTATCTTAAAGGCTAAGGCAATGAATAAATTTGATTTACATCTATTGTTTAAAAATACATTTGGTTTAAGGGAGAGTATTTAATTAGCCAATGCAATTCATTTCAACTTCTTACAAACATTAGTCAAGTACGGAACATTGATAATCCATTGTAATGAAATAATGTTTGTGTTTTGTTTCAGACCGTCGCACATACTGCTAGCTATTGGCATTCCTGAATCTGTTGCCAGAAATGCACTGAGGCTCTCAGTGGGAAGGGAGACAACTCTATCAGATATTGACACAATCATTGATGACCTGAAACAAGCCGTGGAATTCATCGAGAACGACTCTCATACTACAGAATCCATAACTTGCTGAGACTATCATACATACCATAATCATTGTTATCACTGTCAAATCAAACGTTTTAGAGTTACAGATGTACATCCTTATCTAAAAAAAAAAAAACAGTATCAGTGATGCTTTAGGCAAAGACTTCTTACAATTTATACTCAAAAATTTCACTCTCTGAAAAAAAAAATGGTTTTCGATCAGTCTAAACTTTGCCATTGCCACACACATGATTATTTCAGTAAGGAGTAGTGAAACCATCTCTTTGTTGTTAAATTTGTCGTTTTTTTGGAAGGATAGAAATGGTGAAAGTTTCATGATATACAGCAATATTTTTGAAATATTTTTTTTATAGAAGAAAGAAGTATACTAACCAATTATGTAAAAAATAACATTTTTTGAAGCAACACTTAATTAAGGTCGTTTCTGTTTTATTCAATGAGGCTGAACTTTATTTCACAAATTAATATTACTGTTAAAAAAAAATAAAAATGATACGAATTCCCAAACTGAAAATAGTGCATAAAGGCTGCGGCAATTTACAAATTATTTCAATTTTGATGTGTGCAAAAAAAGGTGTAAAACACTGAAGATGTTTATGTATTGAAATGATATTAGTTTATTTTTTAACAAACATTTCAACAATGAAGATGTTGGATGCATTATCCTGGAAGTTAAAGAATCAGAGTATGACATTAAACTTGATATTTTCTTGCCATTTAAAATATTAGCTATATCATAGGTATTTACAAGCTTAATCGATGTCCTGTTCTCATCAGAACTCTGCTAGAGTTACAGCTACAGTTTTATTTTGGCTGTGTCAAGCTCTTCATGTCTAAAGGTTGTGATGTTTATTTAAACCTGAACAGCAGTAATTCAGTTCTATTTCTGATGAAATATAGGGAAGATTTCCAATAACATATTTGGATAATTCTCAATGACATATCAGAAAGATTTCCAATAACATATTTGGAAGATTTCCACTGACATATCAAGAAGATTTCCTATGACATATTCGGAAGATATCGGATGACATATTGAGAAGATTTCAAATTTCCAATGACATATCTGGAAATTTCCAATGACATATTTTAAAGTTTTTGGATGACATATTGGAAAGATTTCTGATAACATATTGAGATGATTTCCAATGATGTATCGGAGAGATTTCCAAAGACATTTTTGAAAAATTTCCAATGACATATCGAGACGATTTCCGATGACATGTCTGGAAAAGCATCATTGCCAAACGTGTGTAAATTCAGGTTCTGTAGATCAGTTAAGAGTTGATAAGCAACTTATTTTTTTCCATACTTACGAAATATTAATTTAAAATTTTTTAAAATCTTTTTTGAAAAGCATTATGAAATACTTGTATCTTTCTGTTATTTTATTGATATTTACAACTTCTAGAACATGTTAATTGTTGTTCCTGCAGTGTGGTCACATTCCATTAATTTATACCCCCACTGTATCTGTTGAAAATTTGTAGTCATGCTTGTCTGTTGTGTTTTTGAGGATGAAATAAACTATGTTAATTACCTAGCATGTCCTATAACCCTGGTAGGTGGAGATTTTGTCCTGAATACACAGGTTTACACAGGTAGGTGGAGATTTTGTCCTGTATACACAGGTAGGTGGAGATTTTGTCCTGTATACACAGGTAGGTGGAGATTTTGTCCTGTATACACAGGTAGGTGGAGATTTAGGTGGAGATTTTGTCCTGTATACACAGGTAGGTGGAGATTTTGTCCTGTATACACAGGTAGGTGGAAATTTTGTCCTGTATACACAGGTAGGTGGAGATTTTGTCCTGTATATACAGGTTGGTGGAGATTTTGTCCTGTATAAACAGGTAGGTGGAGATTTTGTCCTGTATACACAGGTAGGTGGAGATTTTGTCCTGTATACACAGGTAGGTGGTGATTTTGTCCTGTATACACAGGTAGGTGGTGATTTTGTCCTGTATACACAGGTAGGTGGAGATTTTGTCCTGTATATACAGGTTGGTGGTGATTTTGTCCTGTATACACAGGTAGGTGGAGATTTTGTCCTGTATACACAGGTAGGTGGAGATTTTGTCCTGTATACACAGGTAGGTGGAGATTTTGTCCTGTATACACAGGTAGGTGGAGATTTTGTCCTGTATACACAGGTAGGTGGAGATTTTGTCCTGTATACACAGGTAGGTGGAGATTTTGTCCTGTATACACAGGTAGGTGGAGATTTTGTCCTGTATACACAGGTAGGTGGTGATTTTGTCCTGTATACACAGGTAGGTGGAGATTTTGTCCTAGTTCAAGGAATTTCCAATCTATTCATTGGCCTATAACAGGTATGATTCAAGCACATTTTTCCCCAATCCAACAGGCAAATTGTTGAATGTGCTATGTTTATAGTTCCAAATTAAACATAAAACATCACTGAATCTTGCCTAATTGGATTTGATTGGCAATCTCCAAATATGGTAAGGTAAGTGCCTGTAGTTGTGGTTGCCACTTGTGATTGGCTGGTGTCTAGCTTATGGCAATCATATTGTTATTTCATAGAGTATAACCAACTTATATTTTACCATGATCAAGAAAAAAGGATTAGTGTTTGATATAAAATGATCTTGAAGGCAAATTTTGTGTTCAACAAAAGGCTTAAATACAATTTGAAAAAAACATGATGACTTGTGTATCAGAGATATTTTTGGTGTATATCCATAGCTGACTTGTGGTTTGCTTCTTTTGGTAATTCTTATTCCCTTAAATTTATTGATCTTTTTATTTCGTTTATTTTTGTTTAAAACAAAAATGAATTCAAATGTTGTAAAATGTTGTCAAAAAATAAGTGAAATATTCTATTGTCTGATGTCTCAAATCAATATTTCAACTTCATATTCATTATTTTGTAGACTATAACCCAACAAACACTTCATGAGGATCTCTTTCAGTTTTCGCATCTTATGGAAACCTGTTTGTGATTTTGACATTATATGGAAGTCTGTTTGTAATTTTGACGTTATGTGGAAGTTTCTAATTTTTTGGAACACTGTCTGTAATTTTGACATCATGTGGATATCTCTTAGTAATTTTGACTTTATATGGATGTCTGTGTGTAATTTTGACATTATGTTGAATTCTGTTTGTAATTTTGAAGTTATGTGGAAGTTTCTAATTTTAACTTTCCTCTGAAGTCTGTCTGTAATTTTGACATCATGTGGATATCTCTTAGTAATTTTGACTTTATATGGATGTCTGTGTGTAATTTTGACATTATGTTGAATTCTGTTTGTAATTTTGAAGTTATATGGAAGTTTCTAATTTTAACTTTCTTCAGAAGTCTTTCTGTAATTTTGATATCATATGAATGTCTATGTAATGTGACACTGTGTGAATGTCTCTATGTAATTTGACACAATGTGAATGTCTCTTTGTAATTTTGACATTTCATTAATGTCTATAATTTTGCCTTTACATAAATGGCTGTTTGTAATTTTTGAAATTATGTGAATGTCTATTTATAATTTTGACATAACATGAATGTCTGTTTGTAATTATAACATTATGTGAATGTCTGTTTGTAATTTTGACATTATGTGAATGTCTGTTTGTAATTTTGACATTATGTGAATATCTGTTTGTAATTTTGACATTATGTGAATGTCTGTTTGTAATTTTTGCATTATGTGAATGTCTGTTCGTAATTATAACATGATGCAAATGTCTGTTTATGATTTTGACATTACCAGAATGTCAGTAACCCCAGCATCATGTTGTTATTCCTAGCCTTACAGATCCAGCATTAGTTTTCTAGTCAACTCAAATCAAAACCAGATATCATCATGATTCAGAGAAGTATATCTGTAAAAACTTATATATTTAAACAAATGATATATAATCTTTTATTCCAGCAGGGTTGTATGTAATTTCCCCCGACTTATTAGTAATTCAGACTCCAAACGTCTTTATGAAAGGCGTGTGTGTTATCCAATATGCCACCTGTTCACCACATATAGGTTCATCCTGAACCAACAGCTCATCGCTTAACCTAGGTGTATATTGTACAAACTTGGTGTGTTTAATGTTGTGAAATATATAACAAACAAAATAATCAGATTTCACACTACGCTTAAGAGAGACAATATTTTGTTCAAACTATTTGCTCAATATTTTAAATATGTTGATTTTGATTTCAGTATATAACACTTCAGTAACTAAGTTTCATGAATATCCTTTATGTTGAATATATTGTCATATTTGACAGTATATTATTTATGACACCTGAGTGTCATTTATGATACCTGAGTGTTATTTATGACACCTGAGTGTTTATGACACTTGAGTGTTTATGACACCTGAGTGTTATTTATGATAACTGAGTGTTTATGACACCTGAGTGTTATTTATGATACCTGAGTGTTATTTATGACACCTGAGTGTTATTTATGATAATTGAGTGTTTATGACACCTGAGTGTTATTTATGATACCTGAGTGTTTATGACACCTGAATGTTATTTATGACACCTGAGTGTTATTTATGACACCTAAGTGTTATTTATGAAACTAAGTGTTATTTATGACACCTGAGTGTTATTTATGACACCTGAGTGTTTATGACACTTGATTGTTTATGACACCTGAGTGTTATTTATGATACCTGAGTGTTTAAGACACCTGAGTGTTATTTATGACCCTTGAGTGTTTATGACACCTGAGTGTTATTTATGTCACCTGAGTATTTATGACACTTGAGTGTTATTTATGACACCTGAGTGTTATCAACTGTATATAACAATGGCTATTTTGTCATATTGTTTTTTTCACCACAATAGCTTTGGCAGGTCCAGGGCATATGTTTTAGATACATATATATATAGAGAGAGTGATGTAACAGAGGTCAATAATATATCATTGCCTTTGCTGTGATTCCAACCCAGGACCTCTGGTTTACTAATCTGATGCCAAACTGGTCGAGCTAAAGAGAAGGTCTCTATAGCAGAGCGGTATATTGGAGCTGGAGTTCCATACTCTACCTCCTGGATATAACTTGTCCCCGAGTTTGCAGGGGTCACAGCAATACTTATAGAGCAACGTATGGTATGATTACTGAGTCTTTACATTATCACCAGTGTAACAGAGGTCATTATTAATTTTGATGCCTTTGTTAGGATCTGTGACTTACTTGTGTTAACACTCAACCGATCAAGCCAAGAGGAAGTTTTCTCTTGCCAATCAGTAAACTACAGCGAGTATTTACCAGGGTTATGTAATTAGCTAATTGGTGTATTGCAGCTTGTCTTTAACACAGTGAAATTCTCTGGCCAAGCATTATTGTAGCTTATATTTAGCAGGGAAACGTTCTCGATAACAAATTGGTATATTGTGGCTAGTATTTACCAGGGTTACATTCTCAGTAGTAAATTGGTATATTGTGGCTTGTAATAACCAGGATTACTTTCTAAATAGAAAATTGGTATATTAATTGCTGGTATTACAGGAGTTACATTCTGAATGGCTGATTGGTATTTGACTGGCAGATTGGTTTATTATGGTTGTTATTGAGCAGGGTTACAAGGAGATGACAGCTTTACATCGAAGGTTCCTGATACACAAAATTTATTTTTTGGAGTACAACTGTAGAGTGAGACTACCAGAGCATATTGAAGCCTTCATACAAAGGATACATAATATTACCAGGGAATACTGGAGGACCTTGACATGGGATGTTGATGATAAGGGAATTGTAATTACCACCGTCTGTTACTGCTGATGCTTTACTGTGTATGTTGTGACCGAGCTAATACATGTATATGTTGTGTCTGTTTAAATTACATTATCACTGAATTAGGGTCTGTATTAATATTGTGATAAAGTATAAGCTTCTCTTCATTAAGTGCAGTTCATTTTTTTATATGATTAATAATTGGTGTAGAAATTATAGGTACACAGGTGTGACAGAGAATTATCCTCCGGAGGGTGACATTGTTAAGTCCTTGAGACTTCAATGTTTCCCTGGAGTGTGACAGGGAAATATCCTTACGAGGGTGACATTGTTAAGTCCTTGAGACTTCAATGTTTCCCTGGAGTGTGACAGGGAAATATCCTTACGAGGGTGACGTTGTTAAGTCCTTTAGACTTCAATGTTTCCCTGGAGTGTGACAGGGAAATATCCTTATGAGGGTTACAGTGTTAAGTCTTTGAAACTTCAATGTTTCCCTGCGATGTGAAAGAGAAATATCTACACAAGGGTTACAGTGTCAAATCTGCGATTTCTTCAATATTTCCTGGAGTGTGACCAGGTAATATCAACCTGAGGGTTTCCTCAGTGCTTCTTCAGAATGCATTTTTGTGGCTCATATTGTCTTCTTAATTAATATTTGTCAGAAGAATCTAGCTCTTTTATCAAAGCTGAAACGGCAATAAATGTATGTAATATGTAGTGAAATTTTTTGTTATCCCAAGTGTGATATTTACATGATGGGTAAATAAATATTGTTTTAACTTAATATAACTAATAAGAATAAAGTTATCACAGTAATAAAGAGTTTTGAAGATGCTGAATTCTTAATCTTTTGGATGTTTGTAATGTCCTAATCAAATAACAGTCTTGAGTTGGATATTCTTGTTGAGGATATTATCGCTGTCACACCTGGTGGCACCTGTTTAATTTAGTGTTTTATGAGGTGATGTACTGGTCTTCTTAATAAACATTGAAGTATAATATGATGTCTGTTATTTATACTGAGCGTAAAAACTGTGTCTGTAAGCTATGGTACAGGATCTATTATCATTGTAAACAGAACCATGAAATAATAGTAATAGATTTTGCAAGAAAAAAAAAACAGTTATTTTCATTTCTTTTTTCCCATTTCTTCAGGAAAATAATCTACGTTCATGGCCACTGTTGTAATGTATTCATGTCTAAAACAGGTTTTACATTTAGATAACAAAGCAAAGAGAATGATTTGAAGCCGTCCTGTTTAAGTAGAAGCTGGTTAGTGAACGGCTATTAATGTTATTAAAATACATTGTCTTAACCTACATTTGTTGAAACAGTTGTGGTTACATGGAATTTTGGTCAAGCATGTATTCAGCCTGTAGAGTGCTAAACTGATAATGACCTTAGCACTCAGCACCAGGAATGTCTTTTGACACTCGTCATTCGGAACTGTCGTGCCACTCATCATTTTGATCTTGAAACTCGTAAGAAATGACAATGACACTGCCATGAGGATTGGCCTTGACACCATCAGGAATGACCTTGACACTAATCATCAGGAATGACCTTGCCACTCATCCGAAGTGACCTTGCCACTCATCGTGAGGAATATCTTTAAGGCCTGTCAGCAGTAATAGACAATGTAATGATTCCTGACCTTGTTGGAGTATAGACTACTGTGATTAAGATCCCTAAATAACAATCCAGGCTGGTATGTGTTGTGAGTGTCAAACCACATACCTCAGATCTTCACATAAGTATGCGAAGGGAAATGCTTTACCGATTGAGCCATCGTGACTCCTCTTCTTGGGGTTGGGAAGGGTGTTCTACCGATTGAGCCGTCGTGACTCCTCTTCTTCAGGTTGGGAAGGGTGTTCTACCGATTGAGCATCGTGACTCCTCTTCATAAGGTTGGGTAGGGAGCACTACCGATTGAGCCATCGTGACTCCTCTTCTTAAGGTTGGGTAGGGAGCTCTACCGATTGAGCCATCGTGACTCCTCTTCATAAGGTTGGGTAGGAAGCACTACCGATTGAGTCATCGCGACTCCTCTTCTTAAGGTTGGGAAGGGTGTTTTATCGATTGAGCATCGTGACTCCTCTTCATAAGGTTGGGTAGGGAGCACTACCGATTGAGCCATCGTGACTCCTCTTCATAAGGTTGTGTAGGGAGCTCTACCGATTGAGCCATCGTGACTCCTCTTCATAAGGTTGGGAAGGGAGCACTACCGATTGAGCCATCGTGACTCCTCTTCATAAGGTTGGGAAGGGTGTTTTATCGATTGAGCATCGTGACTCCTCTTCATAAGGTTGGGTAGGGAGCTCTACCGATTGAGCCATCGTGACTCCTCTTCTTCAGGTTGGGAAGGGTGTTCTACCGATTGAGCATCGTGACTCCTCTTCATAAGGTTGGGTAGGGAGCACTACCGATTGAGCCATCGCGACTCCTCTTCTTAAGGTTGGGAAGGGTGTTTTATCCATCGTGACTCCTCTTCATAAGGTTGGGTAGGGAGCCATCCATCGTGACTCCTCTTCATAAGGTTGGGTAGGGAGCTACCGATTGAGCCATCGTGACTCCTCTTCATAAGGTTGGGTAGGGAGCACTACCGATTGAGCCATCGCGACTCCTCTTCCTAAGGTTGGGAAGGGTGTTTTACCGATTGAGCATCGTGACTCCTCTTCATAAGGTTGGGTAGGGAGCACTACCGATTGAGCCATCGTGACTCTTCTTCATAAGGTTGGGTAAGGTGCACTGATTCCAAACGCCAACATCGAAATTGAAATATTATCAATCCCATACTGTATATACCCTGAATAGATTCTAGTATTGGATTGTCAAAATTGAAAATCGCCATCATAAAAATCTGTCCGAGCGCATTCGAAACTAAAACCAAAACGGAACATGCACATAGCCCTACCATAGTACATAAAAGTAGCGAAAATCGTGTTGACAAATTTAAGATGTCTAGATCCGAAATGACGCCCGATGGCACCTTGCAACTCTGATCAAACTCAAAATAACATTTAAATTGTACACTGAACATGTCCCACAACCTTTAACAAAAAAAAACCCATATACAGGAAATAATGGAAACAAACTTCAAATGCCTAAATCCAATATGGCACCTAGTGTGGTTCCTTACCATCTCTTACACTACTACATCAGTGCTAGTACGTATCACACTAGTTATTTGTCTGAAGATGGTGACAATGGTAATCGACACGTCACACTCTAATCTTCTACTGGTTGTATTATGAGAACTTCTTTTCTATTTACATTACCAACCTGAAGAAAATGTTCCGAAATACCTGATGGTCATCTTGAAAAATTGGACCAATGCTTAGAATATGGCACCCACACTTAAGGCCCTAGAATACGTTGTATTATATTGCGGTATCCTTTTGTCGACACTTTAATGTCCACCCTCCGTGGTTCGTTCATCCTCATATGGTTTGATGTTATCAACATATCTCGAGAAAATCACATTTCGAAACGACACACAGATTTTACTGGTTGTAATAAAAGAGTACCTAGTTTGTGACAATTTTTAAGACTGAGATATGTAAAATAGATTGTCCTTAGATTGTTATCGTTATAACTATTTCTCATATTTCAATTGTTTATGATTCTGATGGAAGGGAAAACCCAGCAGACAGGCGACTATCCATCTCAATTGTTGACATTCTAGGCTTACCATCACCATTTCTGAAATTTTCGGCGTCTTCTTGAAGAGGAGTTTTTAACAAATTGGTGAACAGTGCGCCATCATTTTTTTAAAAACATCTCGGGACATTCTAAGCATTCTTAACTATATTTCACTTGTCGGGTAGGTTTTCTCTGGATCTTGGTTGTGTACGGTTTATTTTAATACTAATTTGGAAGACCAGACTGCAGTCTTGAATTCAAACCATTTACATTTTCATGTTGTTATGTACAGAATAAACGGTGAGAGATTCCTTAAAACATCCTCGTTTCCATTTGTTACCTTGCTTTGAATGATCTACATTTTGACACATCGGAAGCTTATTGTATTTATTACTATTTCTCAGAACGAAACGGAAGAATCTCTTCTCTATTTTAAATGTAAGTTGTGGAAAGTCACCTATGTATTATTTAAAACCTCTCCTTGGTCTTCAACGGTGTAAGTTCCTCTTTGAGTTTATAATTGAAAAAAGGCAAAAGGCGGCCATATTGGTCGCTACCATGTTGCCAAGCAACAGTATGTATAGTTTGATGTCGGGGATCATTGTGGCCAACCGAATGTAAGACGGTGTTGGTCTGTGGTGTATTGTTTGTGTCATTATAAATAATGATTTAAAAGCAGGTTACTTCTGTTGTGTCATTTTAATCATAATAAAAACAAATTACTTTCATATCAAATATTGTTTCAAAATACTTTGTAACTTAATTAAAAATAGTTTCATAATTTTATATCACAGAATTAATTCATAACGATGATAAAACTTTACACAATATAAGGTTAACACTACATATCATTTACATCCAATCTACAGTCGACAGATTCAGGAAATCTCCAATCACTTTCTCTCAGTCTTGTTTATAAATATGTATGCCTTAAGTCGTGCGTCCGATCAACATCCACTGTCGACAAAACTCGACATTTCTATCTTGTCCATCAATAATGAAGTATAGGGTATGTACTCGACTAGTGCTGGTAATTTGTATTCTTTAAACACAGCTACGTGTTTTATCTGTCACTGGATTCTTACCCCATATCAATATATACAGACGTATTACCTATTATACTGCTAGTCTATAATTCATGTTTCCCTGAAGTACAGCTAGTTATTCCGATATAGCCGCAACGCACCTTCGTCTCTCGTTCTCAGTGTCTGACATACTTTACAACTGCCCAGGCCGCAAAGCCTACCAACAAACTTATCCCAGACGCCATAACAACATTCTGTAACCTTGACCTTTGACTTGGTGTAGGCGTTGCTTTATTAAACCGGTCCTTAATCCATTCCGGACTCCATTCCGGACCATTCGGTTCACCGTCTGTGAAATCATAAGGTAACACACCACAAAGTTGTTTCGCTTTCGTTGTTTTCGCAATTTCCGGAAGTTGTGTAAACCAACCAACATTCTTTTGATTTTTTGAAGGCAAAGATGACATGATACGAACATCTTGTGATGGCCAATGTGTCGTCATAGCTACGTCATCATAAGCCTCTTTCTTCGTCTCCAGATCTTTTTTAGTCGCCCATCTGGCCGGAGTCATACAAACCATCACACAGTACCGCCACCTTCCAGGATGTGCCCTTCCCTTTAATGGGCGAGCGTTGGCATGTATAAGTCTGGAGTCCCACAGAACCATTCCGCCACGTGGTACCGCCACGCGCTTGGTTACACAACCTTTAGAGTGAAGCCACGCCTCGTCATCGTCCCGAAGGTGATAGTATTTGTTAATCGAACTCTTTAGCGCTGCTTTCTGATTCCGGTCGTAAAGTTGGTCGAGGTACAGATGTGATCGTTCCATCACGTGGAATGTCCAGTCGTCCTGATCCACCGCCTCCAGGTAAACTGCTCCCTGGTAACCATGCAGACCCACCTTCTCCGAATCTTGGTCGGCATGTAACCAATGGCGATTTTCAGTAGCGAATGCTTCTTTTCCATCCTCTGGCGGCCGACCTATTGCGATTGCGTCCACACTACTGAGCAGTTTGTCCGTCTTCCACAATTTTGAAAAGACTTCTTTGGCTTTGAGACGAGTCCTCCATGCGGCTTCATGGTGACCAATATTATATTTTTGAATAAGTGAATGAGCCGTGTATGGCCATTCATCCTCTGGGAATTCAGAAAGCCAATCCCTGAATGCCTGAATGTTATCCCCACATTCCTTGTCTGTCATGACGTTTTCCACTACGGTGTAGCCTCTTTCTTCAAGCTCTTTACGATGTTGCTCTGTAAACTCCATGGTCGATGTATTCTAGAGAGGAAAGAATCTTATAAACAAATGGAAAAATAAGGATTGGTTTTATAGATCTTTTCTGTATCTCATCAACGTGATTCCAGGAAATCGACTGGAGCTCGTTAACTCTGATTCCTTAAAATTGATGACTCACCGATGTAGGCATCTTTTAAATTGAAATAATAATGTAAATTTCAGTGGTTTTTGAAATGCGTTTTCTCTTTGTGACTTGTGAAGGTTATAAAATGAAAAAAAAATTGTGGCTTTAGAAAGACTTTTTTTCTGAATGTTACAGTGACTATTCAATGTTTATTATTCTGTAAAGTTAACTCGGCGTGTTATATAAATCTACTAACTGTGTATCCAATCAAAATTAGTATAAAGGAGAAACTTTATGGTTGGCTATATAACGAGGCATTTCATTGGTCCAAGGCACCGTCCTCAAATTTCTCGATAACATAAGAATGGATGTTATTGATGACGTAAATGACAGTATGGTGAGTAGTTAACACGAATTTGGATAAGGCCAAGTTTCCTTTTCATCGACATCGCAGATCAAAGCGAGGAAATCTCACATTATTTGTGTTGTAGTAAATAACATTCCGCCACAAACCTTATACAGGAAAAAATATTTATATCCCCACTTCAGCTACCACATTAATCACTAAAAAAGAAAACTGCATTCACAGTGTTATAAATGCAACTCGATCAGGTCAATTTCATATTGGAGCGCCTCCCGCCTCAAACAAGGTAATACCGTTTAAGAAATCAATAGTTTGTGATAACAGACTAGTACTGGTTTGTAGATTACAATGGCAATAAAAAAAACCCCGATTATCTACACGTAGTACAGCATTCATGATTATGTTTCGTTAATGGCTAAAAATAGAAAGTGTTTATCTGATACCTTCCATATCGTTTTATCTTCCGAGATCTCTCTCTCTCTCCCCCCCCCCCCCCTCGAGATCTCTCTCTCTCCCCCCCCCCCCCCCCCCTTCTCTCTCTCTCTCTATAGTCATGAATTTCCGTTCTAATCATTTCATTACTTTATCCTTATTTAAATTCGAAATTTAAATGAAAGTTTGTGAACCGTTAAAATTTGTAGTTTGTGGTCGATAACCAGATCTCGAGACTTTCTGTGTAACACTACTAGGTCAATGTACAGACTTCATAAATGGAAACAGAAAGTACTAATTACCATGATGTCCAGTGTATTGTTAACTATCTACAACTGTGTACAACAGGTACACTGATAAATCGACACTTTAAGAACTATCACTCAATAATACATTACCAGACAGATCAATACACACCTGTTGCCCGTCAAGATGTCACGCAGGTAATACCTGGCAGACGGTATTTCCTGTTTATAATGGTGTACTTAAGTAATACCTATAAATAACAACCGACGTCACATCCTCCACGACTTCATATACTAACTGAAGTGAAACTAGACAGCAGGTCTATCTTTCAAATTCCTGATTAAGCATGGTACGATGTCCTTTAATGTTATATTACTATTGAATCAAACATACACAGGATGGGTAGATTTATAATCCAATAGCTCTATGTAGGGATATATTTTGTTTAAATAGCTTTTAAAATTGTTAAGCACATTTGTCAATAGTGCGTTAAGTTTCAAACAGGAAAAAAGGACTTATGAATGACGAAGAATATAAATTAGCTGGTTGGTGACAGGTTTTTCCGTCCCCGTGACTCTTCCTAAGCTTTAAACGTGATTTAAAAGTGTTAAACACACCTTTAATGCATTAAATGCTAGAGCGCTAACCCTACTGTGTTAAATACTAACGGATGGAACGGGTTTGAAATAGATAAAGAAATAAAAGACATGATTGGGCGAGATTAAACAATGATTCATTTAGACGAGGACAGTGGTATGAGTCATGAACGAGGAGAGTGGTACGAGTCGTGAACGAGGACAGTAGGACGAGTCGTGAACGAGGACAGTGGGACGAGTCGTGAACGAAGACAGTGGGACGAGTCGTGAACGAGGAAAGTGGTATGAGTTGTGAGCGAGGACAGTCGAAAGAGTCGTGAACGAGGACAGTCGAATGAGTCGTGAACGAGGACAATGGTACGAGTCGTGAACGAGAACAGTGGTACGAGTCATGAACGAGGACAGTGGTACGAGTCATGAACGAGGAAAGAGGAGAGTCGTGAACGAGGACAGTGGTATGAGTCATGGGCGAGAAAAGAGGTACGAGTCATGGACGAGGACAGTGGTACGGGTCATGAACGAGGACAGTGGTATGAGTTGTGAGCGAGGACAGTGATACGAGTCATAAACGAGGACAGTGGTACGAGTTGTGAGCGAGGACAGTGGTACGAGTCGTGAACGAAGACAGTGGTACGGGTGATGAACGAGGAGAGTGGTACGAGTCGTGAGCGAGGAAAGCACGTGTATGTCTCAATCCTTTGTCGTTTGAGACATTTGACATAACTGACATCACCAATGAAAGGAACCGTACGTCCCCATGATACATTTGATAACAGTACTTGCGAAAATCTCACCAATTAGGTTATTTAAAAGGGCCAGACCAATTCTTTTCTTTTCTGCTATTTGACCTTTGCCTCAGTGACGTCAACTTATTAAGGAGCTGGAGTTCGAGTTTCAAAATCTGAGATAATTTGATGAAAACTACAGGTCTTTGGGCCCCAAGTCGTGAACGAGGAGAGAAGAAACAGAACTAGGTGGGGACATCAAACTTGTGGGAAGAAACTACCAGAATCTCTTTATAGATTTGATGGGTACTCTGTAGAAACAGAGACGTATATATCACGATATATACGTCTCTGGCAGAAACAACACGAAAATACAAACATGTCAGTAAAATCAAAACTCAAATCCAATAAAAGGAAAGATTTACACGAAGGCTCCGGAGAAAGTGCAAGGAGAATAAGGTAATTAGGACAGAACTTCGTTCTTTTTCGGGGCAAACGGTTAATCCTGGTCTTAACACTGAGGTACAAATTACAGATGTATAATGTTTTCAGCTGTTGTTTATATCTTCACCATTATGTGGGGATTTGGTCTTATAATTATACATTATATTTCTAAAGATTTCGATCAAACTTAATCCAAATTTCAAAGTATTTAAGGGGGTATACAGCCAACACCGTCATGTATTCAAAGTTTCTCACGTGACCCCTGGATACCCGAGGATATGTAGGTTTACTGATAAATGTTACATCAGTTAATTATGATCGGTCACAACAGGCGATAGGACCGGGTTCATAGATGTATTAGTCGGGTTTCATGCTCTTGTAAGGCATCTTCTGGACACACATATTACAACAATTTCTTACTCTAATGTGCACCAAAGGTCTTTTGATTGTCCTTTTATGAAGCCCATACAATGGGAGGCAGATAAAGGGACGTAACTCTAACGACTTCTGTCGATTAAGATTATAAGTTCCTATGTCCAGGAAAGAATCAGTGTTAGTATTTTTCTTTAGTGCCCTACTCTCCAGACAACAGTCTGGTCTCATGATGATAATTGTGAATAGAAAGCTGATATTTTTTATGTCTTTGGAAATTCTTACACGTATCCATACGTAGCTTGATAAAATGGAATGGGTAGATATTTTGTACCCAAAAAACTAAGTTTTGTGAGCGTCAAAAATAAAACAGCACTATTTTTTTTCCCAAATCACTTTAATGATTGTCAGCGATTGACAACAATCGTATTAAATTTAATAACACAGTACTTCTGACATAGTACACAAACAACACACCATCAGAACAGTGGATGGCTAGGCCCCTCATCACTGTTATCATTGTCTTCAGTAATTGGTACAAGCGCAAATCATCTACATGCACAAGGTGGCACCCTGCTTTCCACAAAAACCTAACTCCATTCACAGAAGAGTTCCATCTTAAGCATAATTGGATGTGAAAGAAACTGTGTTCAAATGTATCTTTTCCTAAATACTTTTATCTTAAACCTTGATACATACATGTATTCTCTAGCAATTAAAATGTTTAACAAAAAAATCAAACTTTATTTGAGGAAAAAAAAAAAAAAAGAAAAAATTGACTTTGACAATACTTGTATTAAAATAGTGAATAGTTCTACACATGTTCACATAATAATTTTTCTTTAAGACAATATTTGTACAATTCAAGGTTGTAAAAGACAAACTCTGATATTTAGTAACAGTTGATGAACTCTTTTGTATCAGGAGGTTGTGATGTGTGGAAAGGAGTGTGTCACCTTAAAAACTTCCTAATTTCTTTGGTTTTAATGGACTGATCTACATCAAGATCAAAAAGGAAATCAAAACTATTAACTATTAATAATATATATACAACCTGATTTTCTAGGTCACCACCACAGAAGTGACCTCTTTTATCACACCATACAATGCTATACAATTTAAGCAGGAGAATCATCAAGCACAAAAACATGGAAAATATAGACTGTGATTCTCATGAAAAACGACACTACCCAACTAGTACAACATACAACAGAGAAATATCGGTAGATTGTGTCACATGATACAGAATACACAGCATTGGAGTGATTTCGTGTCTTTTTGGCATTGCTTTTACTTTCTTTACCCATAACCAGCTGGAATAAAAAATAAATATTCATAGTTTTATTGACTTACTGTGGAGGTTGTAATTATCAAGACCTATTTTTGGAAATTTGTTGATTAAGATAGCATTTGTGGAATTATAAACCCTGAAAATGAAATAAATTGAGAAAATCAATGTTCATTTTAATCCTTTTCTTTTTGTTTTTTCTCCAAGTTATATTAGATAAAAGAATTGAACCAGAATTAAAAAACCCTTTATAAAATCTGTTGGTATTTCTAGAAAGGTTTATAAAGTATCCCAGACCCTGTACTTTAATCACTGAAGAATTTAACATATTCAAGTCATCGCTTTGTTACCACTTTGTAGTATTTTTTAGGAAAGACACTGGGACAGTGTCATGTGTTCATACAGTTTTCTTAGTCAGGACAGGTAACTGAATACAGAGAATCTAGTTTACTGATAGTTCCTGAGTCAGGACAGGTAACCAAATACAGAGAATCTAGTTTACTGATAGTTCCTGAGTCAGGACAGGTAACTGAATACAGAGAATCTAGTTTACCACTAATTCAGAACTTTTTGCATTACATATAGAAATAATGATTACTTCCATACCAATATCCCACATTTGTTTAAATCCTAGCAAAGGCTTTCTAATTTTGTCTGTCTTTTCTTTATTGAAATACAAAACTAAAACTAGATTTAACAGGTGAGTTTTAATGTTAAAACACCAAACAACATATCTGTTTCATTCAATCGACCAAACGTTAAGTTTGCTTCATTCCATCAACCTTCATCATCTCCTTTAAATGATGACCAAAAGTTAAAATCTGGTTTTAAAATCTCAGAAGAACTTTAAACAGTGCTTGAACACAAATGTACATTATCACAAAATAGCAATTCTGTACTTCACTTTTTTGTTTGGGACAAAGATAATTTTACACCATTTGTAGCTGCCCATCACTTTCATTCCTAAAGTAAACCTTTATAGCTTTTACATCTTAACTGTACAAAGACTGATGGATGTGTTTTGTCAAACAAATTATACAAATCGGTCGCTGACTTTTTTTTTCAAAAGTCAAACTGGTTTTTTTTATTAATCCATTTGTAAAGAATTTTCAAAAAGACAAAAAAAGTAACAGAAAGCATAATTACAAATATATGCACAGGTAAAACAGTTGATACTACAGAGAGGTGAGGTACAGAAACACTATGAACAGCTGTGGTTGGGGTTACTGGTCAATAAAAAAGTGTTTTCAAAATGCAATAAGATTTTCTTTAGAATGCTTAAGTGAAGACATTTGATATGTACCTGTGATGTTTCTTACAATTTACATAAAAATGTGTAGATCAGAAACAAGCTCCGTGGAGAACATCGTCAGTACATATGTCCTATGGTATACTAGGATTTCTTCAAGGGACATAACTTATGCAAAACTGGAATTTTCTGTTTGAATATAAATTAGTTTTTTTTAACGCTGCATTAAATAATAAGTAGAATATTTTTTGTATAAAAAAGGCAAAAAAAAAAGTGAAAAAAAAAATCATCCAACTGAACAGGCAAATCATTTTGAACCAATAGAAAACTGGTACTAAACCACTAGTGAAAAGATTCATTAGAAACGAGAAAAGGGATCAGAAACTTGGGGAAAAGAGTAAAAAATTGGAAAAGGAAATGCAAACTGAAAAAAAGGATTAGAAGCTTGGGAAAAGGAACAGAAACAGGAAATCAGAAATAGGAAAAAAGGACTAAAAACTGAAGGAAAAGAGAAAGAAACTGGGACAGAGGATTAGAAACCGAAGGAAAAAGAAAAATGGGAATAAAATGGCAAATTCCTGATTGAGGGCAATCATTTGATTACCAGTAAATATATCATTAGAGAGGTTGTACAGAAAAACATAATGAAACACTCATCTCATTATAGACATCAACACAAAATAAAAAATATTGAGGATTTCAAACATAAGCACCTTATCCACACACTACATTAAATTTTACTGAATATCTGACTTATCCAAAATGTCGCTCTAAAATCGACAATTTGGAGAAGCTTCATGGTCAACTTTGTTTACAAATGAAACAACCAGTTCTTACCACATCAATCAGATGTTTAAAGCTGGAGGTCATATGATGGTAGCATCCAACTTGATCCTACCATCACTATATCACAATATCTAAACAGTTTGACAATGAAGTGTCACTACAGTTAAATTTGGCAATGTTACATCAAATCCAATAAAGAATCATCATATTTCACAACAAAATCATTTTTTCTAATCAATAAAAATAAATTCATCATAAAACTGAATTGTAAAATATGATCTGAAATTGTATTTAATTACTGCAACTGAATATATATATATTTTGTTATTTATACAATATATTTTATAGTATTAATGCTGATTTAATACAAAAAATTCAACAAAAAAATTCCTTTTTTAATAGAAAATATTTGGCATGGTATTTTCAAATAACAAAACATAAATAATTGTCATTTTATTGAAAAAGATTCAAAAATTTGTTTGTATTTTTAAAGTAGGACAATATTTAATAAAAATTTGAAGTTCAGTAATATTTTTGTATAAATTGTATTTGACCTTATACATATTTCCTCTAAGATCATGTGACAACAGCATTAGCCAGTGTTGATTTTATTATTCATAGCAGAGTTTTTTTCTCTCGAACCAAATGACAATTTAACTTTTCATTTCTTAACAGCTTTCAGGTGGAGTTGCTTCCCTTGATCCAAATGACATTTTCTTTTTTTTTCTTTTTCTTCCTTTTTTTCATTTCTTAATAGCATATACCAGTAAGGTAAAAAACATATTTCAACCATAGAATAATTAAGAAAATAAAGCTAAACCATCTTTAATCAACATATCAATTTGCATTAAGTTTTATTCTGTAGATTCTTGGGATAATTTTTGTGAACACCAGTCAGATAGAAGATTCGAAAGCACATTGTAAACCAATACAAAAATTAACCAGTAATCTTCATTACAAACTCATGACAAAGGGAGTTAGGTAAAGTCTGGATTTAACAGGAAAAGATTAGAATGGTTTGAATGTGTCTTTTGTGATGAAATATAACAGAATTTTCAAGTCTTGGTGCCATAAAGCTAATTGATAATGACGAAACAATGAGGAATAACATGATGTGTGTTACATGAAACACTTCTACAATAGATACAAAATCAATGGAATTCAGGTGATTGTCAAAGCAAACGATAATATATGTATATATATATATATATATAAATTTCTACATCGCCATAGAAACAGTAATCAATACAATAACACTAACGAAACAGTCATACACAAACAACCTGGGATTTCATAACAAATGCAATAATCAATTTTTTTTATGTACTCAAATAACTTAATTAAAAATATAAACAAAATTAAAATCTTTTAAATCATGAAAAGTTAGCAATGAAATGATACCATGATAACAAAATGATTAGACCTTAGATATCAGATCTGAGAACACATCTTCATGTCTATAAAGACAGTATACAGAGCTTTTTCTCAAAATTAAAATCAATTTTCTCACGTTCCATTATCGGTCAACCTGTGAAATTCATTGGTCTAAAAAATAACACTGAATCTGTATTGTATACAAGCTTATCTCCCTTCAGTAACATTGGTGTTGTTTGGCTGTACATAGGCTTATCTCCCTTGAGTAACTTTGGTACTTGCTGCAATAGACTACCATCCTAAACTGAAAATTTTTTTTGGCTCTCCTTTTGTTATAAAGATTCTTAAATGAGCTTTCACTTTATATTAGATCTAGTGAAACAGATCTTAGAATCTTTTCTTGTTTTTACAGCTCTAAGCTCCAGAGTAAATTACCATTGTAAAGTAGGAAAATATTACATAGAGAAAATTCACTGGATAATATGCCTATTATGTTATGAAAAATAATATTAAGGGCTTGATACTGATTATGAGAACTGTAACAGATATTCGTTACACAATGTATTTTTATAGTCTCATCACTGGTTATGAGGAATTAATTTGGCATCCTAAAAAATCTGAAGAAACGTTTTTTGACTTTTAGAATATACGATATGTACTGGCCACTCGGGTAGAGAATAAACATTCCAGACTTGTGACCTATAAAGCTACTAATGCTGAATGGTACGTATTGGATTCTAGTTCTGCAGATATAGGAATAGCTCTGTAGACATAGATCTACAACAAACCCGGGGTACTGATGAAATTACCGAAATCTAACTGTTGTAAATGATTGGGATGAACTTAATACTTATTTTGCTTCCAATCACAAGGGAGTTAAAAATTTTGGACAATAATTTTGTTGATTCAATCAAACAGCGACTTCAAACAGGAATTGATCATTGTGGATATTTATATAAAGTTTATTGTTTCACAAAGTGATGAAGTGACTGACTTCGCAGACAATATTAAGGGCATTTATTGAAAGAAAAATTGTTCTGGTAAAGCTTTGCTACAAGATACTGAATTTGGGTGTAGACGACATTCATAAGTTCTATGAAAAAGATACCTGTATTTTCAGCCTTGACCTTGAAATTCAATAGGGCTTGGAAATTAATGGCAAGGAACATTTCAAAGTTCCATAAAATTTAATTGAGATAATAAACTTAACCCAATACTCTTCAGACAATTAAATGTTGACAGGCAAATGAAAGGAGAGAAAATGTAATGCTATTATACACCCACCTTAGTGGCAGACTTAAAAACAAATTAATTAATCTAAAACACATTTTATATTGTTTGACAAATTGATAAATATTTAACAAAATATGGATGGCTTACACAAGGAAAGCAGTAACAATATAAATCAGAGTACTAAAGATGGCAATAAATTTGGATTAAAAATATTCAAAACATTTATAACAAGATGCTACAGCTACGATAACTTTCAAAACAATATTGCAGAAATTTGAATTTTACATATCATCATAAATCACAATAAGCCTCAAAATGGATTTCATCATCACACACAAGGTTCTAGTAAAGGTTTCCGTGGGAACTAACAACGAGGTCTATAGAAGGATATGTATACATAGACACAACAAAGTAATGATGACATTCTGAACCGTCTGTAAGCTTTGGACGTAGGGAATATTTCTAGAAATCCTCCGTTTCACTATGCTGGTTTCAGCATCTGTTGCAGGACAGGAAATCCCTTGTCATCTGCTGCTCCAATGGAGTTCTGAGGATTTGAGCTATTTATGGATTCACTCTGAACTAGTGTGGAATTCTGGGATATGGATGGTAACTTTTGTTGTCCACTACTCACCAGTGGCACATTCACAACCCCGACCAATGAGGGAAACCCTGCTTCTGAAGCACCAGCCACCTGCCTATGAACATCTCCGTTTGACAGTTTAGGAATTTTGTTTGTGTCATTTCCATGGTTACCGCTGTTGCCCTCTTGTTGACGTTTGTTAGGTGAAGAGCTTTGTTGACCACTGACAGAAGTCTGAGACGAAGTTCCCATATTCTCAGTAACCATGACAACATCTTGACAGTTAGCAAGTGTTTTGTTTGGACTGGACACTGAAGTGACATATGTATAGTTGGTGAGATTTTGACCAGTGGATAATTCTGTAGTGTTCGTTTCCCTGGCTGCTTCCTCACCCCCTTTATTCACAACCGTATATAATTCTTTCTCATTCCTAACAATCCATTTATTATTTCCAACAGAAATAATCTCTACTTCCTTTTCACCAAATATGAGCATGTTCTGTTCATACAACAGTCTTTGTTTGTTAGATAGTTGTTGTTTATCACTTAAACTCTGAGGAGATCCCGATGCAGTCTGTTTTCCTGGTAGGACCTGTTGTAATTCAAGCGACGTCTTCACGCTGGTATTTTGAGATGTTGTGGGAGAAATGTTATCTGCAGACAGACACTGCTCCTTCTCCAGTTGTGGAGGTTTGGGAGTGATCACATCACTATGAGATGCAGTGTCATCTTTTTCCATATCTTTTGGCTCCTCTTTCAACTTTGGCATATCCCTAGGATGAGCAGCTGATAGGTCTAGAGGGGAGGGTCCACTTCTCTCTGAGGTGTTGGGACTGGTGACAGGCAGCTGGGCCGGAGACTGAGGATAGTGCCACATGGCCGGAACCAAATTAACCACGTTTGGGGTTGTTGACGGCCCGGCCGCTGCTGCCTGAGGGGCTGCAGGTCTTGGAGGAACTGTTGTACCTCCCCCTAAGCCTCTATCTGGCAAGTTATAATCATAGTATATGGCACCAAATTTGTCAAATCCAACTGGACTGGGATTTGAATTGAACACAACATTCCCATTGACTGGGATCCTACTTGCCGCCTCTCTGTTGGTACGCGACTTTTGTCCAGGATTGCCTCGTGTGACACCAGTAGGAGATGAGCTGTTAGAAGAGTTGGCTTCACTTCGACTAGATATACGTGAACGACCTCTTGACACCTTGGTCTGTGGACTTCTCTGTGAGGGCATTGTTGGACTGACACTAGAGGGAACTGAAGAGCGGAGGTGGTCAGGAGACTGTGCACCAATAACACCTGAAGCCATTTGTATGGACTTGGTAGCTGCGTCAGTTTCATCCAGACTCTCGCCCTCCTTCATCATGGCTGCCGTTTGCGTGGAGATAAGGTGTGAGATGACAGCCTGTAGGCTGTTGTGTTTAGACACATCAGACCGACCATTGGAACCAGTACTCCCTCCACTCTTGTTAAGCTCATCAGAGTTTCCATCCTCAACAGAAATAATTTGTGCATCACCCTCAGTGACCCCAACAGTCTGACCTTGACCTTTTGCCTGAGCATCCTTTGACTTGGGTGAGAGTTTTTCCTTGGGTGAGGCTTTGTCGTTCTGGGAGGTTGGCGACTGTGTGAGGACTTGAGGAGGTGACTGAGACAGTGAGAGAGGAGTCTGTGTTAACATCATCTGTTGATTGACCCCTGACATGGCTGGGACCATGATCGTTTGACTGGCATCCAAGGTAACGGCCTGTACAGGGATAATTGTGCAGGTGGTGTCTATGGGAGCTGTTCCTGATGACGCTGTTGTCACAGCCACCTGCTGCATCTGTGCGGCTGCAGCATGTAGGTGTGGCACAGACAACATATACTTCTGTATGCCTTCTGTGTCCAGTGGCAAGTCATCCATGTCCGTAGTCTGTAACATAAATATATAGAGTCTGTCATAATGTTGTAGGATGTGTCATCAGTCATACAGACACTAAAGGGTATTACAGGTAACATAAATATATAGAGTCTGTCATAATGTCGTAGGGTGTGTCAATTATCATACATGGCATTATAACTGCCACTTTTATACTTTAAGAATATCAAATCTGGTAGAGATAACCTTATGACCTTACATTAAAGTATCTCAAGAAGTGATTTTTTTAAAACAGGAAAGCATCAATGAAGCTTATGTAAATTTTCAGATTTTTTTTCTGTAATTCTTTTCCCCTTGTAAAGTGTCAGTGTTGATACACTTAATAATTGTTGTGAAACTGATGTCATTGTCAAAATGTTGCACAGAGAAAGTATCAAATTAATACTGAATTAATTACTGACTGCATTCATGGTCCAATAAAGTTTATTTCTGCTGGTCTATTAATGAAGTATCTTGATTATTTCATTTTACTGGTTTTTTTCATGTCAAACTACAATCTTTAAAAATTCATCAATATACACCATTGTAGTAGCTGGTGGCTACTTCACTGAACAACATACAGGAGGCCCATCACTTGCTATCCAGAGCAAATTATCTTGCAAAAGGACACAATCTAGGACAGCACCATTCAGTCCATTTCTCAGCTCTGGAGAAACACGAAATGGGCAGAGTGCTGAACTACGCACCTCACAACTTCACCTGAAGTTACATAGGCCCAACACTCTAACTGAGCTATCACAACAACAAATTTCCACTCACATCTTCAGAGTCGGTGAATCCGGCCAGGTCCAGTGACCTTCGCTGTAAGATAGCTTTGTCACGGATGATCCGGTTGATTGAACTTATTGAAGGGATGTTCTTTTCTGTGCAAATTCCATCGCTTAACAATCTGAAAAACACAAAGTTGTTTAAAGTATTTCAATTTTCTGAAAAATTAACAGATAACACTAGGAAAATGTAAGAGTTTACATAATATCAGGCTACCATTGGGAATGGGATAGATGTCTGTCTTGTACTAAGTTTCAAACATAAACAATTAGTGGTGTATCTTGGACAAGCTATTGGTGGCCTCTCATTTAGAAATGTCTTTTCCAACTACCGCTAGACTACCACAGTTTTCCAAACCATCTCAAATTGTGGCGATACTTGTTCCCGACCACTCTGTACACACTCGGCCAAGCAGTTGGCGTTATTATACCTTGTTAATTTCATAATGTCGGTATTGATTTCTCTTATCGCGAGACCATCAGACCCTGACAAGTGATTAGGTCAAACAACTTCATTCATTTAAAAAATTACCAATAACTCTTATTTTTAACAATCTAAATCTGAATTTTTATCAAAGAATCAAGTTCTGAAAAGTCAAACATGATCAAATTTCAACTTTTCTGCAAGGAAACAAAACTAGAAATAACACTTTAGAACAGTTCAATCAAGCTATTTTAAACTAAAAACTAATAATAAAAATGTAGAAAAATCACAATTAATTAAGTTTTTCTAAAGTCTGGAGTTATTTCCCTTCTGTCACACAGTTAGATTTGGAATCCAGCATAATCATTGTCATCAAGCCCAAGAACAATGGTTTCTTGCTAGTTCATAAGTGAACTTTAAATGGAGGACACAAGACTCCCCCTTATGGATCTAGTCTTTAACGTTCTTAAATTAAAAAGGAAATTTTCAGAGTACACAATATCAAACAGTTTGTGATTCAAGATGTGTCTTTAAAACAGCAGTAAGATAAAATTCTAAGTGATGAATAATACTGAGATAACAATTTCATGATACCTATCTATTGTGATCTGTAAATATTCTGGAGCACCGAGACACTATTCTTTTGAGGAAAAAAATTGAAAAGACAAAAGGTGATGAAATCCAAAATCTTTACTACTATAGTAGACAATGATAAAGAAGCAGAGAGAACACTAAGCCAGTAGACAAGGCACTTCAATCTGGGGACATTCTGGTGTGGTTAGGGAGATAAAATCACAGCATTTCATTAAATGGGAAGTTCTTATCCTTTAAGTTGCCTTTTAAATAAATCTACATTCCCTTTCTTTTCATTAAGTACATTTCAAGATTTCAGTCCCTTAAGTGTGACCTCTGTACCCTGCTTCATAAAATGGAACAACTTAATGAATTAAAAGCAGATCCCATTGTCAATATTTAGGGACAGTAGAGTTTGATTAAATTAAAAAGGATAGTACTTTTGAGATTGGAAGATGGTGTGAACTCTGATAGTCGACAGGTTGTAAGATTCTATTCCCTATCAGACACTGTACCTAACAATCTTTTAAACTTTACTACGAACGCTTTGATTTCACAAAGAGAGAAAAAAAAAAGACCAAAGAAAAAAAAATATGTCACAAAAAACCCATTCCAATATACATGCTGTTATATAATTTTAGAAGTGTACAATTTCCAGGCAGGTATTGGAGAATGAGAAATTACAAAGCACAAACCCAGGATTGAATCTTATCTTTTTCCGACATCACCTAATCCAAGAGATGCAACGAGATTTTATCAAAGAAGTGAAGTGTATCATGAAACCATTCCGGCAAATGCAGGGTATGACATCCAACGGCTCAAAGTAATCGTCGTGATGCCAAAAGCAATCATTGTATAGAGAGATACGATCGTAACTTGGGCTAAAAAAACGAGTAAAACGGTGCGAAAAAGGATTACATTGTGTTTGGGCAATGGTGTATCATCAACTAAGCTGTTACGCCTTGATGCACAGTGTATTTCGTCCGCTAGCACAGGTGATAAATCGCGGCCTGGGTAATGACGATGATAGGATTGAGATGCTATCGAGTCAGTTTAAATTGATTGTGCAGAAAGCTTTTGAAAGCTAAGCAATTATGTTGGAGTTTCCTACACAAAAGAAAAACGCATTGACCGTAAAAACACGGTAAAAAACTTCCTATATTCATTGAAATAACAAAGTGATAACATTAGGTAAAGCATACTAATGTGTTATTTCATATAGAGGGCCCAAATTGACTGTGACGTGTATAAATGTGGCAAGCAGCCAGTGCTAACTGTAACATTGTAGGAGCATGGTACGTCCCTGAATACCCACACCCGGTGACGTACATGCTTGACAGTACGCTTTTAACAGCATTTCCCCTGTGAGGGGCCGGGGCATAGTAACGGTTGTTTGGCGATGACAGAACCTGTCTCCTTTCGTTGTAGGTCTGTTGTAACATGCATGGTTTCAATACAACTGTAAATGTTAACAGTGTTTAGATCCAATGACATGTCACGCATCGCTGCTCTCCTTCTTTGAAATCTGCTACACGAGTTTTTCTATGTCCTGCTTGCTTTGTAACAATGTAAGATTCTAACACAAATTACCCTGAATCAATATGTTCAATACTGCATTATGATTTCATCTACAAGAAAACCTTCACAAGGACTGCTTTGCATTTAGGTCTGATAAGGCTACCATTAGGCCATCAATATACGAGCCATGCGTGAACTATGATAAAAATTGGGATTGAATAGCGATGGTTTTCCAGCCATAAACCTATAAATCTATGAAGTTCAGCTGTTAAAACCCTGTGTCTCCCTCCATATCATATCGCTGTGGCCATCCCCGTTCACAGCTGAGAATATGACAGGTCACACTTAAAACTAAATGACATTGAAAGTAAACTTGTAGTGTTATACAAGTAAACAAAGGGATTTAAGTATCTGGAAGGACAAAAAAAAATATCACAACATGACAATAACTTCTTAATTCTGGTTCTAGTTCAAAGAATATGAAACTTTGTGAAATTCATGTGTTATTGAAAAAAAAAAGTTTTAATTAAAAAAAAAACAAAAAATAAAAATTTGATGAATTTCATGCAAGTAGTAATTTAAAACTTGAATTTCATGAATATCTAATTTTGAAAAATCAAAAGGACTCATTTTGTTAAGAAATTTTTCTATAAATAACTCTAACTATTGTCCAGGGGCCGACTCATACCAACAAGTATTGTGGAAATCAATTCAGAAGTTTAGGAGGAGTAGCTACAACATCATTGCATCTACAGACAGACCAACCAGACAGACAGACAACTTGAGTCCAGTATAATCCCCTCCCTCCACTTCTTTGTTGCAGTGGGGTTGGGGGGATTTGAGGGGGGAGAGGGGGTTAATTATAATGCCCCAACAGATTTCAGTCTGCTGATGAGTTCAGTCAAAGAAATTTTTAACTTCAACAATATTACTAGGTACTCAGTCATTCATTACAACAAATCTTTTACCAGATAAATAAACTTAATTATCTAAGGAAAGACAGCAGCACTGATACTGTAAATATGAATGTATAATACAAATGTAAGAACACGACATAATCATGGAACTTTATGATCAGACTTGGGGCATAGCATATAGAGTTTTAACGGAATCAAATCATTCTATATCAGTTGATAGTTTTATTTAATTCTTTACCAAAATGAAGCAAAATTAAAGAGTTACATTACACCTAATTGACTGTACAATGCCTACTGGAACCAAGTCAGAGATCACTGATACACCAGCAGAAGCATCTAAGCTTCAATCCAGCAAACATCTTCAGAGGAAGAAACTTTAGCACTTCGCAAAAATTTTTTTTTATCAAAAGTCAACAAAATATAAAATATCAGCTTCAATCTCTAGCCATGTCTTACATTAAGTACCTAGTCAGGAAGCATTGCAAAAAAGGAAGATTTTTTCAATAAAAATTGATAATAGTATAGAGCATCTTAAGATAAGCATTACCAAACAGACAATTTTTTTTTCTTCAATAAATTCGATAAAAATATTGTTTAGTGCCAAAGTAAGCGTAACGAGAAATATTTTTCAGGAGAGACAAAGTTTTTCGTATCAGTAGCTGATTGATGCCAATCATAGCGTTTATGTTTTTACACAAGTACACGACTTATCCCCACTGGTATAACAACTTCCATAAATCTCACCACACTTCCTAAACCGCACAAATTGATCCATTTTCTTGGACAAAACTTTCCTTATCTATCCTTAACCATAGTTTAAGCAACTACATACATCATATATTTTTGACATATAATGCTATTCCACATAAAATGAAGAAATTGTACAAAAATTTTATCACAGTTTTGAGTTTTTTTTTATCTGATATCTCTACACATATGATCCCTGAGAGCAGGCCACGGCACACTGCCGCGTAGTCACCAAGAGCTTTGGTCAAACTGATCAAGACAGGCGGTCATCTGTCCCTTTTCTAGACAAGCTCTGGGTCATATGAGAGGAGTGTTGACCTTCACATTTCTTACCTTCAAATCGAACACTGAATAAACATTGAAAAGAGAACTTGTTTTTTCTAATTGAAATATTCTAACATTTACAAAATTGTTTGGTATTTATAACTAATTAATTTACTGTGTACTTCCACAGGAATCAAGATTTAATTTGAAGCAAAATATGAAGATTTTGGATCTAAATTATTGAAATGATCAAGTATAGTGAGCAGTGAGTGCTATCAACCATTATCTGTCATTAAACCTTAACAAAGGGCCATAACTCTGTATAAAGTAAAAGCATATATTACACATCCATTTCAAGAGGTACTGAGATGCAGTATATGGTAGTTGAGGGTAAAGAGGAATACCAGATATGTTTCAGTCAAGGACTGAAGTAAATATGGAAATAAAACCAACAAGGGAGATAACTACTGACATTGATAGACCAAAGTCTTAGATAAACCTCTGTCCAAACAGAAAATTCCAAATGACATCTAATTGTGGTTACCCTCTAAATTCTATAAATTAAGTTTTTTTCACAATCCCCTGAAATTGAAAGCCTTCAGAAAAGGACATTACAATAACCACCAGTGATTGCATGGTACAGGTATATAAATATGCTCTATGCTTCCAAAGTGTTCAGAAACTCCGAAACAACGAAACGAGCACATCACAGATTCTATTTATCAGCTAAAAATATAAAAAACAAAAACTTTGTTGAACATGAAGATCTGATAATGAGATGAAGTAAACACATACTTTTGTCGTATTTCCCAGGCAAACATCTGTGGGTTTTCTATCTTGTACTGCCGAACCCTGCTCACCACACCAGGGGTCGTGACCTTCGGTTTACTTCCCCCTATCTGACCAGGATTGATACTGCCAGTCTTCCTATACCTGTAATATACAAAATATTTTGTCAGCAAATATCTGATTAACTAAACTGAAGGACATAGATATAATAATGTTATAATGATCAAATCTTAATTGTTGTAATTAGTTTCAACCGTTGTAAGATCAATCTTAACTATAATAAGATAAAATCTTAACTGTCATAAGTATCAAATCTTAACTGTTTCAAGATCACATCTTAACTGTTGTAATTATCAAATTTCAACTGTTGTAAGATCAAATAATAACTGCTTTAAGATAAAATTTTAACTGTAATAATGATAGAATTTAAGCTAATACACACAAATTATATCTCCCAAGTTAATCAAAAAGTTTCAATTGGTACAGTCCATCTTGGTCAAGATAACTGATTTTTTTTTTTTATTTCAAATATCATTTCTGTACAAACTAATGTAACTAGACAAGGCAAGGTTATTAAAAAATCTCAATAAATTGCTTAATTTATTTCTATTTTGACCAAGAACTTTCTGCAGAAACAGAAGGCCCTGGTCATTTTTTCACAATTTACAAAGGTGACTTCTGAGTAAAACAGAATTTCCTTTTTCTTCTTATTAAAAAACTTCAGTAACAGCTTTTTTTCTTTCTTATTTTGTTTTTTCACACTTTTTCTGTATAAATTAGGTCTAAGAACTTTTTATTTTATTTTCCCATATTTTTTTTGTACATTAGGGTTGTTTTAGAGCGCCTGCTTTCCTTTTGATGACTATATTTTGATGTATATTTTTCACTTGATGAAAACTCTGCTTAGAGGTACAAACAGAGACCCTTGTTTACTCATTCCTTTAGCAGTAAGAACTTGACTTGACTTATCACTACTGTACTAGGCAAGACATGATTCCAACATTCCAACAACACTTTGTATATACATAATTAAATGTTGGACAAATATTCAACAAGGATACCATTTTTTTTTAAGAAGACAGGTAATTGTCGAGTAGTCTCATTTTCACCACAAGTAATGAGCCCTACACCCAGGAGCCCTGTGACGAGCAGCTTTTGTTACCCAGAATCCTATCAACCGGTTTCATGTCATGCTATTGATGTGCGGCGACCCGAAACATGAGGTCATGCTTGACACGAAAAAGGAACAAGGCTACTATGTTTGCAGGAGAAAAGTTGCCTTTATTTTCTCCTCTTGAATCATGACAATTGTTAACGTTCTTGTATTTGAAGATTTGACAAAGACTAACGACCATATTCACTGAGGCATAACATACCTGTTAATATCAGCGTGCTTGCATGAACCTGAATCAGATCTGTAAGGCCTTCAACCATTTATAGCATGGCGGCACACAACAGGCAATGTTGTCTACATATTTTATATCCTGGTGCCTTTTCATGATAAAATTTCATGCTTCAGTTTCGCCAGACTAATCGAATAGAACAAAAAGCTCTGCGTGTTTTACAAATGGGTTACACTGAGTTACTGCATTCTAGGTACAGCTGATATACCGAACTTGTGTCATAGACCAGCTTATTTTACCTATGTAAATATCTCACAGAAGAGAATTATGTCATATAACAGACAAGTTAACATCATTAAACATCACATTAAAGACCAGTCTTCTTACATAACCACCTTTTTTATCAAGCTACCTTATCACACAGTAAAACATCATTGTACTTAAATGTTTTATTTTATGATTATTGAGAAGTTGTGTGATATAAGGACTAGTTATACAAGTCTATATATCACACTATCATTATGTCATATAATTGTCAGCTCCATCTAAAAAAGATATTTTACAGATAAACCTTTTGTCACAGAATGGTATATACCCTACCCTATAGGACTATGTTACTTTTTGACTTACTACAAGATTGTATTTCAATATCAATAATTATATTATTTCTTGTTTCTGTAATTATTTCTACTCCTCCTTATCATAGGTAAGGAAACTTACCTGTTGAGGATCTTACTGACACATCTGTGAGATTAGCCCCTCTCCTCATTTCTAATCCATCCTCACTAATAGGTTATATATGTTGAGGATCTTACTGACATACCTGTGAGACAATCCTATCTACTCATTCCTATTCTATCCTAACCACAGCTTATATAATGAAACTTAACTATTGAGGATCTCATTGACAGACATGTAAAATAATCCTGTCTCCTCATTCCTCATCCACATTCACAACCAGCTTATATAAGAAAATTTACCTGATGAGGATGTTACTGACACACCTGTGAGATAATCCCCTCTCCTCATTTCTAATCCACCATCACCAATAAGTTATATATGGATATTTACCTGTTAAGGATCTTGCTGACACAGCCGTGTGACACCTGAAGTTGTCGACTGATCTCACAAGGCCTGATGCCCTGGAGAGCCAGCTGTAGTATCTGTACTCTAAGATGGTCAGGAAGAGGGCGTCCATTAGTAAATTCTCGCCCATACTGGTTAATATTGCGACCCCCAACTGAAATGAAAATGAAAGATCGAGAAGTGTATGGCAAAACTGCTGGATTAAAATCAGAGCAAATTGTAGCCTCTCACTATGAAAATAAAATAAATTTGTAAAACATAAATAAATTAATGTTTGCCTATGGAATAGCATTAACATTCATGTGATATTTATTTATTTTTAAGCAAGCTGAATGGAACCAATGAAACATTGATGGAACATAGAATATTATACATGTATATAAATATATAAGCTATTTGCAAAAATCGCTTAGAGTCAACTTATAGATTAAATATACAAGGTCAAGGACAACGATAAGGTCAAGGTCTGCCTATAGGTACATGTACATTTCCTGCATCAATGTCTGCTCTAACATGATGTAGAATTCGTTTCTTAAAGATCATCAATCGAGTCAACAAACACCAGAATATGATCCAATATCTATGATCCCAAGTCAAAATATTTCAGGTCAACTGAATACCTATTTTGAATTCTAGGTCAAATTTATTAAAAATTTCAGGATTTATCTATGATTCAAGATAAACGTTTCTGAAGATTATATGTCAATAATTATTAATATTTTAGGTCAACATAATGGCAACCTTTACTTTAGGTTAAACATCAATATTTATCGAGTATTCAAGTCAGCATTTATCTGAAGAATCCATAGCAATCTTTGGGGATCCAGGTCAACATATAGATTTCCATGTCAAATTTTTATCTAGATTTCATGAAACTTTTATCAAAAAATCCATGTTGATGTTTAAATAGGATTACATGTCAACATATAAGATTCCAAGTCAAAATTTATCTAGGTTTTTCTAGTCAACATTTACTTAATATTTCATGTCAACAATTACCTAGTATTACATGTCAACATTTATCTAAGGTTTTAAGTCAGCATTTATTGAAGGTTCTATGTCTACATTTATCTAAGCTCAACGTAAACATTTATCGAAGACTGTCAACATTTATCTAAATTCTATGTCATCATTTATCTAAGTTTCCCTATGTCAACATTTATCTAAGACTTGTCAACATTTATCTAAGGCTTGTCAACATTAATCTTAGTTTCTCTATGTCAACATTTATCTAAGACTTGTCATCATTTATCTAAGGTTCTCATGTCATCACTGATAGTACCACTTCTATAGCTACAGTGAGTCCAGGTCTGCTTATAGGCACAAGTCTACAATCTGCTTAGAACTAAAAACCCATATGATAATCTAATACTTAATACAATATACAGCAGCTGTTGACAGTTTAAATATAGGGCCTAACATGTTTTTTAGTGAACTAGTCGTGTAACATTAGTTAACACTGGATATCACTTTACACAGATTTACTATCTGTTCATACAATTTTTCAGTGGACAGAAGACTTGGTAGGCTTTTTACCTTAATATTGGTGTAAGGAAGTATATTATTGGTAATGAACTCTGATCTGATCTGTCAACAGATCTGGCAGTGCTTACAAATGAGAAGCAACTGTCCCTTCGACTGGCAGAAACTCTCCAGTTTCACTTACTTCTATCTTTTTCTCATTACAAAATGGCAATCTAAAATATCATGATGTGTTCAATAATTCATGTGTGCCAAACCAGGCAGGTCGTCTAGCTTTAGGCCAGAGGGTAGCAGTCTGGCACTAATGAATTAAAATATGGCTGGTACCTGTCACACTAAACCTGATATTAATACCCACAATGCACTACAGTCTGAGACATTCATCATGCAATCATCAACAGCTTGTCCTCGGAAAAATTTATAACCTGCCTTCTATATCTGGGTCTACAAATCTTGGTCAGTAACATGTGTAAGTGGGATATAATAGTTGAGCTGATATTTCCATCATTCAATGTGTATCGTTATGGTGAGCAGGTCGTGTGCTACATGGTGTTTGGTCTCTTCCCTCCAGAGAAAAACATCATGAACTTTCACTTAAGAGTACATAACTGTTTAAGGATAAGCACATAAAAGCAAACTGTACACACCAACAGACCTGAGTTGGTAAAACTAAGGGCAGATAACCATTTTACATATAAAATGTACCTTTAGATAGACCTTATTTGTAAAACTAAGGAAAGATAACTAAGCAGATAAAAGCAATCGGTACCTATAGAGACAGTCCCATGTAAAGTTAAGGGCAGATATTAAAAGCAGCCTGTAACTATAGACATGTACCATTAAAGTCAATGGCAGATTACTTTGTTAACTTGGGGGCAAGCACCTGTAAAGCTAGGGGCAGATAACAAAAGCAGACTGTACCTATAGACAGACCTGTGTGTCTTATCCGTCCGTCCACCTTCTTAGGTTTTCCGTTTTCATCCAACTCTTCCTCTATAAACATACTGTCATCAAACTCCATGGCATCCACATCTGACCCAATTTCTGCACTCAGTCCTTCAACAGTTCGCTTTTGTCCATCTTTCACCATTGTAATGCCAGGTGATACCTGTTGGTGGGCAACAGGTGCTTCTGCAGTTGTCTCCCCTTCCTTGCCCTTGCCATCAAGGGCGGTGAGAAGACTTTGATGATGCTGTTGCAGGGCTGCTTGGCCCTGAAACATGGACTGTTGGAACTGAATAAGATTAACCAAGTACTGCTGCTGTATAAGTCGCTGTAACTGCTCGGCATTAACATCCGTCACCTGGTTACCCTGCACCATGGTAACTGTTGGCACAACAACTTTATCAGCATCAGTAACCTTAGCTCCACTCTTTTGGTCGCCCTCACCATTTATAGCTACTTCAATGGCGTTTCCACCGCTGTCGCTGGAGGACTTTGCCTCAATGTCGAGGGCAGTGGCAGACTTTGACTGGTCAGTCTTGTCAGCACCACCGTCCATGATTTCCTTCTTGACCTGGACAGATAGGACCTGTGCGGTCATTATGGCTACATAAGACAGCCACGGTGAAGCCTGGACTTCTACAGGTTAGGTACTGGCTCCAGTCACTCGCTTACAACAGTCTGCAAAATAATTTTAATTATATAGTGACAATCCCTTATCTAGAACTAAAATATCTGAAAATTAACACTTTTTGTTACTTCATTTAGCATATTTCTGAGAACTTTATATGATATGTCTCACTGGATTTAAATATGTGGGTATCGAATTGTAACAAATAGTGTGAAAATGGAAGTATGGGGTATAATAATCTTCTATTATATTACAGTGAAACCCTCTTAATATCATGTTCCAGTTGTAGGAGGAGGAGGATAATAAACAGAATGTGACATTAACATTAAGTGGATTCCACTGTACTAGGGAAAAGATCTTTTCAATACAAGCATTTGTCAAAAAAAAAATTCCAACATCACTTTAATGATTGCTGTATATGATGGTTTCATATCATGCAAAGTAAGGCAAAAAGCGTTGTAAGGGTATAGATTTTGTTGTTTGTGAACGTATGATCAATTTTGTTATTATTTATTAAGGACTTGCCATAGTCATGTAAATATTAGTGATTAGTGATGTGGCAAGTCAAATTAGAATCAGCAGTTTTTTTATGGTTTTTCTTGATGACACACATCTGTGTGTATGGTTTAAATTCATTCAAATTTATTTCATATGTAAAATCATTTTAAACAAATCAATACACTTTAGATTTTCTGTTTAACACCATTCAGCTGGTTGGTTATTTTTCCCTGAAAACAGAGAATCTGTGACAAAACTGTACCATAAAGAAAGTTTATACATGCTAAGAAACAAATTCATTGACAGTCATTCAAATATTCATTGTAACATGTTTGTTGAAACAGAAGCAGTCATTTTCTGCAATTCACAAGAGTTTTTCCATGGAACTTTACTTTTCAATTGTGAAGAGATTTGGTTATCATCATAAGAGGGAAGACAATATTGTTGTACTCTTTAAATAATTATAACAAAATTATAAAATCATAAAAAATATTGTATTGACAGGTAACCTTATAAAGTAATACAGTTATCCTGTGTCGAGTTCCCTATGGACAGGTAACCATATAAAGTAATTTATAGATCCTGTGCCAGGTTCCCTATGGGCAGGTAACCTTATAAAGTAATATATTTATCCTGAGTTGGGCTTCATATTCACAGGTAACCCTAAAAAATAACAGATTTATCCTGTGTCAGGTTCCCTATGCACAGGAAAACCTATAAAGTAATATATTTATCCTATGCCGGGTTCCCTATGGACAGGTAGCCCTATAAAGTAATATATTTAACCTTTCAGATTTCCTTTGGACAGGTAGCCCTATAAAGTAATCTATTTATCCTGTGTCAGGTTTCCTATAGACAGGTAACCCTATAAAGTAATATATTTATCTTGTACCAGGTTACCTATGGACAGGTAACCATAAAAAGTGATATATTTATCCTATCTCAGGTTCCCTATGGATAGGTAACTCTATAAAGTAATATATTTATCCTGTGTCGGGTTCCCTATAGACAGGTAACCCTTTAAAGTAACAGATTTATAATGTGTCAGGTTTCCTATGGACAGGTAACCCTATAAAGTAACAGACGTATCATGTGTTGGGTTTCCTATAGACAGGTAACCCTATAAAGTAACAGATTTATCCTGTCGGGTTCCCTATAGACAGGCAACCCTATAAAGTAACAGATTTATCCTGTGTCAGGTTCCCTACAGACAGGTAACCCTATAAAGTAACAGATTTATCATGTGTCAGGTTCCCTACAGACAGGTAACCCTATAAAGTAACAGATTTATCCTGTGTCAGGTTCCCTATAGTCAGGTAACCCTATAAAGTAACAGATTTATCCTGTGTCAGGTTCCCTACAGACAGGTAACCCTATAAAGTAACAGATTTATCCTGTGTCAGGTTCCCTACAGACAGGTAACCCTATAAAGTAACAGATTTATCGTGTGTCAGGTTCCCTACAGACAGGTAACCCTATAAAGTAACAGATTTATCCTGTGTCAGGTTCCCTACAGACAGGTAACCCTATAAAGTAACAGATTTATCCTGTCGGGTTCCCTATAGACAGGTAACAATATAAAGTAATCTACTTTCATTATCACTGACAGTAACCATATCTGGTAATTTTGTAACATTTGTCCATTACTATACAAGTTCCTTACTTACTGTTTTGTTGATGCTGTGATCAATCTGACACTGACGAGGAACCAGTGTATATATTTGTAGTCACTAGAATCTATACAAATTGTAACACAATATACAGTTTACACCGAGAGTACGCCAATCAGTGCATTAGTAAAAATTATACAATGTTGTCATGTACTACAGTTAAAGTTGATGTACCGTAGTAGTCATTTCTGCTGACAGTAATAACTAACATGTCAGGCCTCATTTAGCAGCGTTAGTGACCACCAAGGCGTATCTTCGTGATGTCCACATGGTCCAGCTTGACCATCAGCAGCCCTTAGTGATGTGATCAGAATCTCGAGGTATCCAACAGACACTTTTAATCCAACTGACCAGGAATTACCTAGAATACTGTTAACAAATAGTCCACTACACTGAGCTATGTACCCTGAAAATCATTAAAGCTTTCTTTCCAAATGGAGCTATTTCCTGTCTACCCTAGCCTACGTCACGGTTGGATGAGAGCTAATATAGCATGTACAATCTATTATTTGACTAAATTGTTTGTATGAAATGGCCTTTGGGTTTAAACCAATGAGCTTTGTGTGTGGGTATAATGGCCGACTAAGCCTCGTGAAGCGGGTGGGTGCCAATCTATATGAGTGCAATGGAGCGAAGCCGAGTGACAAGAACGATTAACAGCTTTTCAGAGTCGACTGCCTGTTTGATATTCATCTAACGTATATCAAACATTGATTGTGTCCTGGTCACACTCTATCTCTCACACTCTCTATGCTGTACACATTATTACCTTTCTCACCTGTGTACCATAGTACACACCTCCCTGGTCACAGGACTGTTAATATTATGCAATTTTATTTTTTATTATGTACCAATAAAATTCATCAACACATGTTAAATGTCAACATCAATTTTAAAATTACAAACACCATTTTTTTGTAAATAACAAACAGTATTTCTCTGCATTATTTCAATGAAGCAAAAAACCAGTGAGAAATTTCAAACACCAAAATGTTTCTTTTCAATGACTTTTTATCCACTGCAGAAAAACTATCTGAATAGGAAAATTAAAGAACAAACAAACAAAAAAGGGCAAAATGTCGAAATAGATAGTCTCCACCCTAATATATCTCTACACACCTGCTGGACCAGATAACAACAGGCTGTATGGTACCTGCACTGTATTGACAAACATTTGAAAAATTTACCATCTTTATACAATGACATCACTACATGAATCTGCCAAATAGAATTACAATCATGGATGAGTTGATAAATTACATCATAAACTGTTTTAGGTGGAGAACACCTTCTCTATATTACTGAGAAATCTCATTACTAAGAGGCATAATGTGTTGGTTTTTTTCTATTTATTTTTAAACTTGTCATTAAGTCCAATTCTTTTCACTTGTTGGTAAGTCCAAAAGTCAGAGCATGAATCCAGGAGTCCATTATCTCTGTCCAAAAATTACTCTGTACTTTGCTTAAATAAAATTGACAAAAATTTAAAGATTAACTTTTTTATTTTATGATATTTTGCATTTTGACAAATAGTGATATCTATTTTTCTTACTAACTTAAGAATCTGTATGTAAATTTAATGAAGTTAACAATGAATGTTTTTTTTTAAACTCGATCTTTATAACCTTTCCCACAATTTATGTTTGATTTAGGCCTACCCCCATGTTCCTCCAATACAGATACAATGTTAGTTATGCCCCTATTCAGGAAAATTTAAAATGTCTCCCATTCACTTTCTGGAAGGGCAGACAGTATACGATAAAAATCCTGGCCAATTCAATTGTTGAGAGACAGATTCAAAGTTAGGTAAATATTGTAGATGGTTGAGGCGGGATTTGGAATACACCATCCAATCAAACAGACCCTATTGATCACATGGCTAGTCAACCGGTGACAACCAGACGGATCGGGTCCACACCAACTTAATTCTGATCAGAGAGTTACGGTATTTTGTACTAATTTCACGCAGGTTTCGTCTATGCAAAATCATGTTTTATGTGGAAAATGAAATTCAAAGTAATTGTTTAGCATTTAAAGGCGCATTAAAGATCGTGACCCTGACTTCAATGGAGTCTAAAGGCACACCTCAATAACGGACCAGCCATGCATGATGCCCATTTAATGCTAATTTTATGCTATCTAAATTTAAAAAGACTTAACTACTTTAGTGAAATTTTCTTATCCACAATCAGTTAATCCAAATGTCTGAATAAAAAATTTTGGCATGAAAGCATACTAATTACATCTGGTGATTACTTTTCACCACATGATTTTTACCAAGTAGACAATGTCTTAAATGATCTGCCCAAATTTGTTTCCCTGATTGGAGATATGGGGATGTTCAACACTCAACAATTCATCAGACTGTCCCTACCCTTCATCAGACTGTCCCTTCCCTTCATCAGACTGTCCCTTCCCTTCATCAGACTGTCCCTTCCCTTCATCAGACTGTCCCTTCCCTTCATCAGACAGTCCCTACCCTTCATCAGACTGTCCCTTCCCTTCATCAGACTGTCCCTACCCTTCATCAGACTGTCCCTTCCCTTCATCAGACAGTCCCTACCCTTCATCAGACTGTCCCTACCCTACATCAGACTGTCCCTTCCCTTCATCAGACTGTCCCTACCCTTCATCAGACTGTCCCTTCCCTTCATCAGACAGTCCCTACCCTTCATCAGACTGTCCCTACCCTTCATCAGACTGTCCCTTCCCTTCATCAGACTGTCCCTACCCTTCATCAGACTGTCCCTACCCTTCATCAGACTGTCCCTACCCTTCATCAGACTGTCCCTACCCTTCATC